TTATGCGCACCGATTCTTGATTAGTTTCACAAGAAAAGTTTCGTACACAACTTAAAGCAGTTTCTTACCTCTGTTATTCTAAAGGACTCTCATTATTCTTTGCTTACATAAATAAAAGATAAATAGTAAATTGGTAGGTAGACTTCTCTTTTTACAGCAAAATTTTATATAAAATTCTCTTTGCTTACATAAACAAAACTTTTACACTCATTTATGGGTTTTGTGCCTTTCAACCTTGCGGTTTTAGAATTGGATTTAGGGATTAATGTGGTGTGGGGCCGCCAATGTAAAAAAATAAAATAAAAAGAAAATATGGCCACACATACTTCTATATATTTTTTTTATCTCTATCTTACTTCTTGCTATCTAATAATGCTAGATTAGAATTTCACTAACTTTCATAATTTCTCTCTCTGTTAAGATTTTGCTCCAATAGTATTATAGAGATAAGTAGGGATAGGTTATTCTGCCTACTCCCTTCTTGTCTACTTTTTGCCTACCCCTTTGATCACTGTTGGATTACAATCTAATCCAACGGTCCATAATTGCGAAATAAAATAACCTTTTTTTTTCTTTCTCTCTCCTCACTTCTTCCCACACACTTTCTCTCTCCTCTCATTTCTCTCTTCCTCTGCGATCCGGACACATCCTTTTGATCTATCGATACTTTTTTCCCCCTTTATCTCTGATCTCTGCCGAGGTGAACGTGCGCAGAAGCATTATGCGATTCATCTACCACAACATTTGAAATTATAAACATAAGTAAATGAATAATTGAATAATAAGAACATGCTTGTTCGGCGTGAGTGCACTTGGGCTATCTATACAGTAGGGAACAAACTCATTCTGAAACAGTTGTTTGTCTTCTTCAGTGCACAAATTTCCAACTTTTTCTGCTCCAATTCCCAATCTTTTTCAGTTCTATAATTTTTCCACTATCTTACAACAATTCATCTAATTTCTTTCAATTTTGCTTGAAGAATCCTTGCGTTTTTATTTGTTAGGGACGACGTTGTTTGTTTTCTACTTTTTCAATTCATCTACTTTTTCAATAGTTGTTTGTTTTCTTTCAATTCATCTAATTTCTTTCACCAGCTATGAAGAAAAAAAAAAAGAGACGGCGTTGAGGAAGAGAGAAAGGGGGGAGAGAGAAAGGGTGTAGGAGGAAGCGAGGAGAGAAAAAAAAAAGGGTTATTTTATTTCGTAATTATGGATCGTTAGATTAGATTGTAATTCAACGGTGATGGAAGGGTAGGCAAAAGGTAGGCAAGAAGGGAGTAGGCATAATAACCTATCCCATGTATATAGAGACACTATAATAGACATTAAAAAAGGTAGGCATATATATATATATATATATATATATATATATATATATATATATATATATATATATATATATATATATATATAGGGATAAGTTATTCTACCTATTATTTTTTCTGTCTATCTTTGCCTACACTCTCCAACACCGTTAGATCAGAATCTTAATTAACATTTATCTTTCTCTCTTCTTGAAATTCTGATCCAACGGTGTTGGATAGTGGTAGGCAAAGGTAGGCAGAAAAAATAGTAGGTAGAATAACCTATCCCTATATATATATGGAGAATATTAGTCTCATGTTACACGGGAATAGTTCTCTCATGTTATAGAGAGAATACAAGTGGAGCCCACCGTTAAAAAGCAAAAAAGAAAAAGAAAAAAAGAGGGGATGCGATTTTCGAAGTGAGAGAAAATGAGATAACTATCTTATGTAAAATGAGAGTAGTATTTCCCTATATATATATATAGGGAAAAACATTTCTCAAGCTGTTTGAGATAAGTTTATCTCCGGCCACCCCCAAAACTACGTCGTTTTGATTATTTATTTCCTTATAATTATTGATTCACCTTTGAATGGTTATGATTCCATTTTTCTCTCTCTTCTTTTATTACCATTGATCCATCTTTGTACGTTTATGATTTAGTAGCCGGAGATAAAATTATCTACAACAGCTTGGGAAATGATAAGCCCATATATATATATATATAAGGGTACGATTTTACTCTAGTTGTTGTACGTTCAGCAACTAAATTCGGGGAATCATAATTATGTGTTCCTAAGAGTACATAGTTATAAATATGTGGTTTGAGATAATTTATCTCAAATGCCTGTAGAAATATTTTTTCATATATATATGTATATGGAAAAATATTTCTGCAGTCACTTTAGATAAAGTTATTTACAGCTACCCTTTGTAATTACGTACTACTAGTAGTAGATAGTTATAACATTAAAGTTGATTTTTTCTCTCTCTTCACGTTAGTAGACAGGTTTTGAAAAGTGATAGAGGAGAGAAAAAAAAGCAACTTTAATGTTATAACTATGTACTACTGGGACACATAGTTACAAATGATAGTTGTAGATAACCTTATCTAAAATGACTGTAGAAATGTTTACCCCATATATATATAGAGAGAGAAAAGTATTTCTCCAATCACTTGAGATAAAGTTATCTCTAGTGAGTTCAAAATAACGTCATTTTGGGATTAAAAGATTAAAAATTTAAAATGATAAGACTAATATAACCCTATAATATATTAGAATTAAAAAAATACCTTCATTTTCGCCCCAAAATGACGTCATTTTGGACTCACCGGATATAACTTTCTCCATTGACTGGAGAAATCCTTTACCCATATGTATATATATGGCAAAAAGATTTGTCATGTGATTTGACCTAAGAATTGGTTAAGTTACACTATGTACTACCGGTACTATACTGTGTATTTCAGAAATTAACTATGTACTATGGATAGTACATAGTTTTTCTCTCTCTTCAGAAATCATATACTCCCCATACTACATAGTTAATTTTTAAAATATACTATGTATTACCCGTAGCACATAGTGTAACTTGACTAATCCTTACGTCAAGTCACGTGACATCTGCTTAACCATATATATATAGAGGGCATGATCCTTTGACATTGGTGTTAAACTTTGAAATTTGACATCAAATCCTAACCGTTGATTTCTGTCAATCAACGGTTATCATTTATTGGAAATCAAACTTATTAATTAATTATTATTCCCAATAAATAATAACCGTTGATTGGTGAAAATCAACGGTTAGAATTTGATGTCAAATTTCAAAGTTTGATGTTTACCAAAAAAAAAAATTTCAAAGTTTGATATCGATGTCAAAGTATCATATATATATGTGTGTGTGTGGGGGGGGGGGGATGGATCTTTAATAGATGGACGGAAATCAACGGTTGAGATGAGGAGTAAGAGTTGTAAGTCTTACTTCTTATCTCAACCGTTGATCTCCGTCAATCCAACGAATATAGTTTAGAAAGTCATATTAATTAATTAATTATTAATTACATTATAAATAATAACTATTGATTTCCGTCCATCAAGACTTATAAGTCTTACTTTGGAGTCAAAAGAACCCTCCATATATATATATATATTGGGAAAAAATATCTAATGTTATTTTAAATATTTTTGTTTGATATTCACCAAAACGATGTCGTTTAGTTGTTGAAAAATTAAAAAATTAGAATGATAAAGATTATTATAACCCTGAAATAAATTAAAATTACAAACAAACTTAATTTTTGTCCCAAAACAATGTCGTTTTGGTGAATAGTAGATAAATTTGTCTAAATAACTTTAGAAAAAATAAATAAATAAATATCTATATATATATATATAAATATATATATATATGAAAAAATGTTTGTCATTTTAAATGACATAACTTTGTGTCATTTTTAATGAAACTACGTCGTTTTGGTGTGTTTTTACATTCTCTCTCTCCATTTTCTTTTTATTTCTAATTTTATAAATTAGAAAAAATGACAAAACACACGAAAACGACATAGTTTCATTAAAAATGACACAAAGTTGTGTCATTTAAAATTACAAACAATAAACTCATATATATATATATATAAATATGTATATATGGCTTTTTGACCACTACAACCTTTTTTTAATAATTAATTACCAAATTGACCCTATTTATAAATTATTTCAAAAATTTAACCTCTCTAGAAAACATAACATCAATCTGCCCCTATTTGACTGTTGACCATGAAGCCTACCCGAGTACACCCTTACCTACCCCGGTATATTTTGAAATTTTTTAGCTACTCAGGTATATTTCTTGAATCTAAAAAATGTTTGAATTATTTACCCGGGTAGAGAGTGGTGTACCCGGGCAAATAATGATTTGTCTTTGATGAGTGATTGATACAAACTCGGGTTGCACAAATGGAAAACACAAATGAAATGAAAGAAAAAGCAGAAACAATGTAGCAAACACTTCCCAAACGCCATCTCTGCTTGGGGTTTTTATTGTTGACAAAATTAAAATTAAAAGTAAAAAGTAAAAAGAACAAAAAAAAAACACTCACCCCGAGCTCAAGCTTCCTCCAACACACCAGAAGATTACAAGAACACTCTGCGTGTCCCGTGCACTGCACCACACATAATCAAGATTCAAAGAAAGAACAAAAAACGATTCGCGTAGTTGAGTTCAAAAGATTACCAAAAGAAAAATCGATGAGGGAAACGGTTCTTGAAGAGGGCGCATAACGAATGTTTTCTTACTTAGCTTTTGAGACGGAAACTGAATGCAACAAAGCATATATGTTGTCCTTCACCACTCAACAAGCTATGATTATTTACCCGGGTACACCTCTTCTTACTCGGGTAAATAATTCAATTATTTTTCAGATTCAAGAAATATACCCGGGTAGGGAGGGGTGTACCCAGGTAGGTGAAAAATTTCAAAATATACCCGGGTAGGTAGAGGTCTATTCGGGTAGGCTTCATGGTCAACGGTCAAACATGGACAGATTGATGTTATATTTTCTGGAGAGGTTAAATTTTTAAAATAGTTTATAAATAAAGTCAATTTGATAATTAATTATTAAAAAAATTATACCGATCAAAAAGCCGTGTATATATATATAAATGTGCGGCTTGAAATGACCCGCGAAGAAATCAGCCGATAAGGCAGAGTGGAAGCAAGCAAGTAAGCAAGAAACGAAGCGCCCCTTCCATTCCAATGGCGACTATGCAATTCACTTTCTCTTTACCTCTCTCTCGCCATTCCCCAACCACTCTAAGAAATCGAACCTTCCTTCCCAAAGCTTCAGCTTCGAGTTCGTCTTCAGGTTCAGACTCTCTTGAGCTGTTTAGTAGGACCAGGAGAAGGTTCATCAGCGAAAGCGCTGCAATTTCGCTGTGGGTCCCTCAACTAGCGAGGTCCGAAGAAGCGTTATCGGAATGGGAAAGAGTTTACCTCCCTATTGATCCTGGCGTTGTGCTTCTCGACATAGCTTTTGTACCTGATGACCCCAACCACGGTAATCTCAACCTTTTCCATTTTCCATTTTTATTTCTTTTGAATTTGTGAAAAATGATTTTTGTTGCTTATTATTATGTATATATGTATGATATGGTGTTAGGTTTTCTTCTTGGGACGAGGCAAACCATTCTGGAGACAAAAGATGGAGGAAACACTTGGGGTCCACGTTCAATACCCTCTGCAGAAGATGAAGATTTTAACTATAGATTTAATTCTATCAGCTTCAAAGGGAAAGAAGGATGGATTGTCGGAAAACCTGCAATTCTATTGCACACTTCTGATTCTGGAGACACTTGGGAAAGGATACCACTTAGTAATCAACTTCCAGGGGATATGGTATTATTCATTATGCACTGCTTGTTTCCAATTCCTATACTACATACATGCTCCTTTACTAAAATTAGAAAATATTCATACTCACATGACATTGAAAATATAGAAGTATGGATCTGGATCCTCTCATGTTAAAAAAAATAAAATGATATGGTCATGTGGTGAATCATAATCATACAAAGGTGGATCAATGATAATAAAGTGAGAGAAAAAAATATTGAAATAGGTAGTTACAAAATCAGAACCGTTGATTCACTTTTGTATGGTTGTGATCTTCTTATATGACCATGTCATTTTTTTACTTCCACATGAGAGGATCTATTTTCATAGAAGTATAGTTAGTTCGATTGAAGAGTCGCAACTCCTCGAACCTCAAATTGGATTAGTTAGGCCGTTAGGGCTTCAGACACTCATTGATATCTACAAAAAAATATAGAAGTATATAGAGTAAATGCAATTGCCATTCAAGTCATATGATATAGTTTCTGATGACCTTTTACATTGCCTATATATTCATTCTAATATTTTTTTTATTCCAAATTTTTTTTATAGCTTTTTAAGTTGTAAAATTTCTACTGAAATTTCGGACGTTATTACATGCTCTTTAAATATGGATATTGTTGGTAAATTTTGTGATTATGGTATTAAATATGCAGGTATACATAAAGGCAACTGGTGAGAAGAGTGCAGAGATGGTGACTGACGAAGGTGCAATATATGTTACATCAAACAGAGGCTACAACTGGAGGGCTGCTGTTCAGGAAACAGTGTCAGCTACTCTCAATAGGTGAGTTTCTGATAGACAGCAAGCTGCCACACTTCATTTCATGTAAATTTCCAAGAATGCATCATGTATGTATGTATGTATGTATTTCGTTCACTAGTGTAGTGCTATTTAAGGAATATGCCTCTTTCAAATTAGTAAGTAAAGCATTTATAATTTGAAATGTTAAAAGCTTCGCTTGAAGAACTTCAATGATGCTATTGCCAATTAGTGAACAAGTTCAACTTCTTTTTTATATGCTTGAAAAGCTCATTCTTTGTGTCGTCTTTCACGTTGTCTATATTGCAATTTTTTTTTTTTTTTCAGTTTTATACATCAAGACATTTATCTATCTATGTTACCTCTTCAGAACAGTTTCTAGTGGTATTAGTGGTGCAAGCTATTACACTGGAACTTTCAATACTGTCAATCGCTCTCCAGATGGAAGATATGTTGCAGTCTCAAGTCGTGGCAACTTCTACTTAACTTGGGAGCCTGGTCAGGTGAAGCTTTTACTTTATGATGGCATTTGCTTTTGCTTCTATTTGCCTGGTACTTGTACTTTTGGTATGCCTACCATGGCATTTGAATTATGCTGAAGCTTTCAACTAAATTGAGCCCAACAATGTGGAAATCTGAAGCTGCAGCCATAAACTGGTTAGGTAGAACGTATTATATGCAGTTGCCAAACTAATTAAAATTGTTAATGAAGTTGTAAGTTTGGTCTATTTAAACATCAGGGTTATGACTATGATGACATCCTCCTTTAACATAATAGTTTGATACATTGAAATTTTCTTAGAAACATTAACACTCAATCTTCTTTGATGTAGGACACATGGATGTGCTAAACTAAAGTGATGTACTAAACTTTCTTTTGATTCATACCCAAGAATTTTCTTCTACTCTCCACTTTAAAAGCGTTTCTTTTCTTCTTTCTTTGTTTTCATCCAGCTGATGCAATAGATAGGACAGACTTTCTGAGGAAAAAATTATACCAACAGACAAAATCAGAAGAGATTCTCTCTTTTGCTTTTTGCTTTTTGCACCAGCTTTTTTCTGTAGAAATTTGTCCTTCCTTTCTCAGTGTACCGTGATTCTAATTCATTAGCTCTTTCTTGGAATATATATATCTTAAAATGGTTGATGGTATTCCATTTAGCCACCGGATGACATTTTGATTGATGGTTTATATCAGCATTAGTAGTGCTTAATTGTTATTGTTTTATTTAATTTCCAGCCATTCTGGCAGCCGCATAACAGAGCAGTTGCCAGAAGAATCCAGAACATGGGATGGAGAGCTGATGGTGGTCTATGGCTTCTTGTTCGTGGAGGTGGTCTTTATCTGAGCAAGGGTACAGGGGTAAGGAATTCTGCGAATATCATTTTAGTGTATCAATATGAGAATGGTAGTCTTCCTTTTCGCTCCTTTCCATGTCATTCTGGGCAACTTTTTAACTCTTTTCTTAGGTCTTAAATTAGCTATTAATTTGTCACCCTTCTTCAGTGGGACATTTCCATCTCTATGTTGTACATTCGCAGACTACTTGACTTACTCTCCCTTTCCTTATTTGTTAATGAGGCAACTTCTGTCTTCAAAAGTTTTTCTTTTTCACGCTCTCTTTTCTTGTGCTGTGGTATATTTACTTTGGTATGCCTGTATCCACTAAATTTATCATATTCATCTGCATTCCCAATTCAACCAGCCCAAAATGTTGGAGTTACTTCTTGGAGAATTAAGGATAAGTGGAAAAGGAATAAGTGGTAAAACCCTTTCTAAGAAAGTACACAAGCAAGTGCTTGGACCCTTTCGTTTCTATCTTATTAACTTATTAAACTAACAAAAAATATTTTATTGTTTCAGATAACTGAAGAATTTGAGGAGGTTCCTGTTCAAAGCCGGGGTTTTGGCATTCTTGATGTGGGGTATCGTTCAACGGTAAATTTTCCTGTATTCAGAGATTTGCCCAATTCTTGCATGTAACAGTCTTGTCCCTTAGTTTTTGAAGAAAATAAAATTTTCAAAATATGACTATTGCCTATTCAGTTCTTGCAATATTTTGAAAGTAAAGAATAATGATGTAGTCCTTTTATATATATATTATTTGCTAAATTATGCATGCAGGAGGAGGCTTGGGCAGCAGGAGGAAGTGGTATTCTCTTGAGAACTACTAACGGTGGCAAGTCATGGATCCGTGACAAAGCTGCTGACAACATTGCTGCAAATTTATACTCAGTGAAGTCAGTCTAAGTGTCGAACTATTAATAGACCCCAATTTTATATAATTATACTTATTGATTAGTGAAGATTTTAAAACCACAACCACACCAGGCTCCTAATGTTGCTGATATATTCTCCACTTATATTGTTTCATCTGTCTTTGTGATATTCCTTTTCAATTTGTCAAATATCACTGATGCAGTTAACCGGAAGTAAACCTATATCTGTTATGTTGATCAAATAGTACGGGGTGAAAAAAAAAATTCCAGGAGTTATGAGAATTAGTTAACACTATTTTGAAGGTTATGGAACTTTTATCTGTAAACGGTCTACTTGCTGCAGGTTCATTGATGACAAGAAAGGGTTTGTATTGGGGAATGATGGAGTCTTGCTTCGCTACCTTGGATAGAGTGTAATTCAACATGGTAAATTTTGATCTCCTGATTCTGGTTGACATAAGCCGAATTTCTTTTAATGTCACTTGTAGTTTTAGCTAGCTACCTCATCTAACTATCTGTACAGTTCTATTATTAGTATGTGATCGAGAACTAGAAGCTAGGGATGCCTGCGGAGCATCTCCTCATCTTTCTGGATTTATTTATTGGAAAAATATAAAGGAACAGAAACAGTTAGATAGAAGTCATAGATAGAAGAAAAGAAAAAATTGATGAAGAAAAATAATTTATTAACCAGACAAGACAATGAAGAAGTAAATTTGAAATAGTAGCTTCAACTCTCAGGAACATGTTATCTGAAGATTACTTATATGATTTTGAGTTGATCCTCCTTGACGTCACTAATTTTGGGGGTCACAACACAACTAATTCTTGCTAGGTTTATCAAGAACCTCAAGGGATCATGGGTCGTCTCATACAATTAAAAGTGTGGAGCAAGTCCAAGTTGGAATATTGATTTAAGGCTATCTGAATAGTTTGATTTTCTGATTTAAATCTGGAATTTTGTAGGTTTGTCAACTCGATTGCAATTTTGTAGCAGATTACGTGTCCATGTTTAGTATTCATTACTGTGAAGAGAGCTCTGGGATCAAATAGACTCCTTGCTGTTATGCCAAAAACGTGAGGAGATATAGAAAACTTTACTACTGTGAAGAGAGCTATATTATGTAAATTTAACGTTGTTATTGCTATGTTACTATTGCATAAAAATGCAATTTTATGCTGCATATGTTGTTCTGCAGAAGCAGAATGCAGCGTTTTTTCAATGACTGGTATAGGTTAGTCAACTTTGAAACTTGCCCATATAACATCTACATTTAGTCTTTCCTGGTAATCACTACATTTTCTTTTTTATATCTATATATTTCATTATGCTGGTTTTTTTACCCATCTTACTATTATTATAATAAACGATATAAGATTTAAATGACATTTAAAATCTCTCTCTCTCAGAGTCTCGCCACAAGTGCTTCACGAGCATAACTGTAAATTGATAAAGAAATGTTTTAAAAAACTACCCTTTCAGAAAAATGAGTAAGGACGGGTCATTTGGGATGGGAAGTCGGAATCATCAAGACAACCTAGGCTAAAACCATTTCAACTTAATAAATTAGAGTGTATAAAAAAATAATTATTAAAGAAAATATATCAACAGCTAAAATTTGATATTAAGACAATATTTTTACAATAAAATGATCATTTGTCATTCCATGTACAAGAAAAACTTTGAGTATTGGCATGCTTATATGAAATTGAGAAATAATCCCTAGTTTTTTTCCCCCTTCATTAAGTGAATCCTCAAGCTTTTTATGTTGTTTTAAATTCGATCTTCTGTCTAGCTATCATCCAAATTATTAATAGAATTCATACATACAGTAATATTTTAAAAATCAGACTGGATTAAACAGTCAAATTAGTCAAACTATAAAGGGATTATATTTTTATTTTGGAAATTATGTGGTTAAATTACAGTTTAATCATAAATTTAACCAGTGAAATGATGAACGGAATATTTGGTTAGTTTAATCTCCACTTTGGTTTTTGAAACATTGATGCGAAGCGTGAGTTTTTTTCTTTTTCATTTTTAATCTTTAAAAAATAAAATAAAAATATTATCTTTGCTTGGAATTACGATATCAAATTTTAATGTAATGTTCTCTAGGTATTTTAAAATTGAAATCTCGAATTTTCATAATATTACTATGAAATTGTAAGCAACTAAATAAAATTTTCAATCATTAAACAAGACTATAAAATTTATATTTGTTAGAACTTATAAGTTAAGAAGATTAATTGTACATTTTATACTTTACGGTAACATCCATATGCAACAACTCTGATCTGACTGTGAAAGCTTGATACATTTTGCCACTATTTTGGTTGCTATTACCTCGGGTGAATAATATCTTATGCAATACATGGGAATTTTTAAGTTTAGATAAAACTTTTTTAAAATATAAATTTAAACCTGATTGCTGAATAGTTGAAGAGAAGTAGATCTTTACTGTACCACTACAATCTGGGTACAGCACATACAGCAAAAGTAATTTGATAACAATTTTTTTTCCCGAACAATGACTGAATTAAAATTAATGTAAATATACAAAAAATAAAAATAAAAATAGTTTGTTTAAAAATTGAAAAAATAAAATAAATATCTTAATGTTTATATAGTAACTATAGATAAGTTATGTATATTTACTCTCAAAATAATATTATTTTGTATTAAATTTTTTTAAAAATAATTAAAAATATTATTAAAACTCTAAAATAAATTATAATTACAAAAATATCTTAATTTTCACCGTTATTTTAAATTTAACGTAGATAACTTCAAACCCTAAAATAAAATCAGATAACTAAATAAAATAAAATATCTATTCCTTATTTCACAAACCTTTTAGCAATAAAAGCCTTCAGTGCCGCGCAAGACTCTAACCCTTTCGACACGACCGTGATACCATCCTTCGTTCCCACCGGCGGCGGTGGCGGCTGCGATCTCAGTTATCTTTTCCAGCTACAACAGAATCTCCGCCTTAAGCCATGGTAAGTTGAGCTATTCTCTCTTGTTCTCTGTCCTATTATTTCTACTTCCTTGGAGGAACACACTCGCACTGTGTTCCTTTGAAGTTTATCTCGTCTAAATTTCGATTATTCTCTTATTTATGGAACTGGGTAGTGGTTTTTATCCTATTTTGTCTCAAACCCAACAAAAAAAATCCAAACTTGGTTCGTTTTTGTTGTTGCATTCTGCATCGAACTCACTCTTCTGAATGAAACAGAGGAAGAAGAAAAATGGGTTTAGGAGACCTGTTATCATCAAGAAGAAGCAACAGCAACAGCAACAGCAGCAGCAACATCAGCCCACAGTGGATCCTATTACGGGAAAGAAGATCCCAAAAAGTTTTGTGTTTTCACGAGGGAAGTTGCCAGGTCCTCTCAAACAGCTTCAGATGGACATCAGAAAGTTAATGCTTCCATATACTGCTCTCAGCCTCAGGGTGAATATTCCTTTCTTCTTGTTTATTTTCTTCATTCATGTTTAGATGTTTGAATCTTTCACACAACTATAAAGTGAATGAAATATTGTTTTAGTGGCAATTAGTTAATTTATTAATGTGCTTGCAACAAGTCTAACTCATAGGTAGAATAGATTTTTTTTCCCCCTTAAAGTTGTATTGTATGGTGGGTGGTTGTAGCTATAATAGTAAATGCTTAATTTTTTTTTTTCAAGCACTTCCCTTTTGCTAGATGCCCCTGGATCCATCTGGAAGAAGATTCTTTGATGTGTTTGGAGAATGCTGAGCATGCCTTATTAAGTTGTAGAGTTTTTTAAGATGAACTTCAGGGATTTTGTTAATTTGCTACCTGATTTGGATTGATTAATTGGCAACTTAACATAGTTTTTGCTGATTTCTTTATTATGGAAGAAGTTGTAGGCAAACTATTGTATATGCAGAAATTGACTGTCATACCATGAAGAGTTTAAGCTTTTAACCTAATAGCTTGTTGAATTTAGCCTAGCAATCTAGTTTCTATTGCAAATCTTTAACCAACTCTCGGCAGCTTAGATTTTGCAATTATTTACGTTAGTCAACCACTCAACCTAATTATTATTAACAGTAAGATGGATTTTAATTTCATAAGAAAAAACAATGAAATTGATTTTAGTAGGGATTTTTGGTTGTCAGACTAGATAACATTCATATGTCACTGGTTTCAATCTACTTGGGCCATGGTGGCTTATGTGTTGAGTGTTGACTATACTCTTAATGTCTTTTGCAGGAAAAGAAACGGAATAATCTAAAAGATTTTCTGAATGTTGCTGGACCTATGGGTGTAACACATTTCCTCATACTGTCAAAAACTGCAACTGCATCTTACTTGAGGGTTGCAACTACCCCACAAGGACCCACTCTTACGTTTAAGATACATGAATACTCATTGGCAGCTGACATTGCTCAATCTCAATTGCATCCTCGATGCCCTAAAGATCTTTTTAAAAATTCTGCTTTGGTAAAGAATTTCTTCCATACTCACAGACAACCGAGGCATTGCAGCTTCTTAAAATTTAGTAAATAAAATGAAATTTCAGAATTGATTATTTTTCATGTCATCTGCTATTCAATGCCATTCATTCAGTTGTTATCACCAGATTAAAATTTGCTAATGGAATGCAAGAAAGGAATTATTTATTAAACTGGTGTCTTTGCTTCTTATCCTTATCAAATTGAAGAGAGATGAATAGTCAAGACCACTTGGTTGGTCTGCTACTTACTAATTATTATTAACACTGAACAGGAATTTGCTTAATCTCATTGTTATATCCATTCTCTGGTTATTATCAATTTCTTTTTTGGCTTAACTGCAACCAGTTGAAGCTTTGCCCCTAAAATGTGTAATTGTCTATTGCATATTGTATGCTAACTATTAATAGTTAACTTATATGGTTTTGTTATTCATTCAAGATTGATGTCTCCATGTTTTCTTGCCAGATTGTACTTTCTGGATTTGTGAGTGGAGATCTTCCTCTGCGGCTTACAACTAACATGTTTCAGAATATATTTCCAACAATTGATGTTAAAACTGTGAGTTTTACAGACACATACACATCAATGACTTACTTGATATCTAAGTCCCAAATCATTAAGTGTCACGACATATTGTTTCAGGTCAAACTCTCCTCTTGCCAAAGGATCGTGTTGCTTAATTACAACAAAGACACCAAGCTCATTGATTTTCGGCATTATTCCATAAGATTACAACCTGTAGGTGTCTCACGCAGAATAAGAAAACTTGTGCAGAGCCATCAGGTGCCTGATCTTAGGAATCTTCAAGATGTGAGCGATTTTGTTACAAAGTAAGATGCTTGTTTACATAAGCTTTCATTTTTTCCGTTTTGGAATGTTGAACTGGAAGAGAGAGCTGATATATTCCATTTCTGACATTTGCATTGCACTCATTATATCCTTCTTTAAGCATGCAAATCTGATAATTCAGAGTATTGAGACGTGTAATGAATAGAATCCTATCTAACTTGCTCTTCATTCCTCTTTTTTTGTTTTTTGGTGTAACTCTTGGTTTCTCTTTCAGTGTATTGATATTTTATTTTAATTGTGACTTGTGAGGTTAAAATATTAGGTTGCTCTAGAATGGAAGATACATTTGCTTATGATTTAATTTGATCAACCTTCTCTTCCCTCAGGTGCTAAATGCTGCAAGATTTCAATTATCTAATTGTGAAGTGTTTTTTCTTTTCTTTTCTCAACTATTCAGCAGAGAACATGAGATTATCCTTTAAAGCAGTTGTCTGTACAAATTTGCTAAATGATTTTATCAGTTTTTTGTTTTGTTTTTTTTAGTGAAATATTTCCTGAACTGTCGTATTTTATCTAATTTTATGTGACAAGCTGTTAAGATCAGATAAAGAACAAAGTAGTTCAGAAATGATCTAAAATTATGTTATCTATACAAAATAATTAAATCATAGTTGATGCTTCTTCTTCTTTTTTTACCCCCCCCCCCCCCCCCCCCTCCTCTCCTTTCTCCTTATCGTTTTACTTGTGATTTGTAAGGGCTGGTTATGGATCAGAAAGTGAAGCAGATGAAGAAGCAGCAACAGTGACTCTGTCAAGTGATATTGGTAGAGTTAACCGTGCTTCTACAAAAAGTGCTGTCAAACTTCAAGAGGTTGGTCCCAGGATGACTCTTCAACTAGTTAAGGTTGAGAAGGGGCTGTGTTCGGGTGAAGTCCTCTTCAGTGAATATGGTACATCATCTTACACTTTTTTCTCAAGGAAATTTACTTCTTTTTGTTTAGAAATCTATGAAATATTATGCCACACTTATCTTGGAAGGCATAGATGTGAATCTATACTTGACTGGGACTTCGTATGATGGAAAAAAAAAAGGATTAGAGATGGACCAATGGCTATTAACTATTTGCTTGTGCAATATAGCAGATTCATTAAGGAATATTTTTTTTAAATGTTCAGCAGGATCATTTTATTTATGCATTAAAATAGAGTTTTATAAGAGTTATGTTATAGGAAAAGTGATTGAGTAATGTTATAGAGATTCGTTTTGCGTACTGTAATTTCTTTTTTTTTCTTTTTTCTTCAAAAAGTGTGGGCTCTACAAAATGTTGTGTGTGTAGGAAAGTTTGTTGTGTCATGTTAAATGACAAATGCAAACCCCTAAAATATATTTCATATCTTGAATCTTAAGCTCTCAATCCATATTTCCTTGATGGTGACAGAGAAGATTGCCATTAAAGTTGTCATTCTTGTAAGCTTTCTGGCAGCCGTGATTAACAATCCTTTATGATCTGAATTGCATATATCATTCTTCAACAATTCTCATGAGTTCATTTTCTTTTCCTTTCAATCATTCCTCAGTTCCTCAGTCATTGTTTTCTCATTTATATTCTCCAACTGTGTGCATTTTTTGTCAACGAAACACCTGTCCTGTGCACATACTCTTTTGTGCCTGTACTTACTTTCCACTGCTCTTACTCTTCTTCCCTATTAGGAAAAGCTGGTGACAAAGGAAAAAGTGATGATGAGATGCAGGACAGTCAGGATGGAGAAGATTCAGAATGTAGTGAAGATGAAGGTCAAGACGGAGAAGATCCAGAGGGTAGTGAAGGTGATGAACAACTTGATTAGGAGCATAGTGGTAATGGGGTGGTTTAGTATTGTAAAAGTTGTCTAGTAGCTCCATAACACCACAGAACTGAAAACAAGTCACCGGAAATTTTTCGTGAAGCATTCCAGTGGCTGTGATATACTATTTATTTGTTTTTGTTAAATTATATAAATTTAGAGTAATCAAATGCGATTTGTCTCCTTACAATTGTCTACCGCTTTTCTAACTTTTCTCCTGAAACGCATGCTTGTGCAATTATCAACATAATCTAAATATTCAACCTTAAATTGGTTATGTTGGTTTTAACTTTTAATTGGTAGGGTTGACTAGCGGCTATAAATACAAATAAATGGAATAATGCCAAAATTGCATTTGGAAGACAATCTTAAATAATAATTATTGATAGAAATAAGAAGATATTGTTTCATGATTTGTTTTCACTTCAAACTTAAGATTGTTAAATTTTTTATTTATTTTTATTTTTTATTTTTGAGGATGTTTATATTATTATGCAAAGATGCAAAAGAAACAGGTTTTATGTTTTGGTAACGGATTTTGAGATGATATTATGGAAGGTTCTGATATTGTGCCCATTGTAGAAGCCAGGATAATAACTGCATTGCAAGGCTTGGATTGGCAAATGGGTATTTGGGTAAGCAATTAGGTAATCATCAAGCACATCATGTTCACAGTAATACTATAGAAACTGTCTAAAATAAGATAAAACGCATTATAATTTGGAAACTAAGGGTAAAGTAATTAAGATGCTGACAGTTACAATAAATTATTATCATGTTGAATAAAATTGAAAAAAAAAAAAAGATATTTACTTTACCCACATTCAAAAATCACTTTCTTTTCTTTCTTTTTTGGTGGGACTATTCAAAAGTTAACTTAAGCATACATATTTTTACCGTAAAAGTTGAAGTGGAAGCTCTGCCACTCTTGTTCTTTTAAAGAGGAGCCCCAACTCCCAAACATTCTATGAAGAAAACTACATCTACATGCATAGACAAGTTCGCCGCCAAGCATCATCCAAAAAACAAACCCAACAGCGTGAAGAGTATATAAACTTGATCACCCGGCTCGCATTATCCAAGTATTACACTTCCCTTATTTCTGTAGTATCTCGAGACCATCCTGTCGTAGATGCCAGTTTTTCTTGAGGTTTTCCAAATTATGTCCACAAACTAACCTTATACGACATAAATTATCAAATAAATTTTGTAAGATATTGACATTATTTACATCCCTAAAATAAGAAATACAAAACTATTAAATCTATTACTATTTTAATAACACAAATTATGCCCATAACTTATCTGAGCTCCTAAATTATATTAATCTTTTGTTAAATGAAATTATCTCTTACTAAAAGAATGAACATGCTAGATACATTAATCAATTCATTTTAATTTCGACTATAATAACATAAAAGATATATGTGCAGTCTAGAGTACATTTTTAAGGGGTAACTGAAGTGCATTTTTTTTCCCTGTACTTAATAAAAAAATAATAATCATCGCTGGAAGTAATGATATTGATCCTTCCCACTGATATTGTCTGTCTTAAGTTCCTTCCCTCGTGTAGAATGGATCCTTCCCACTAGACTCAAACTTGATCTCTTAAAGAACTCCTGAAGTCCATATTTTGCTACTACTTAAAACATACTATGTTGGTAACTTTCAATGATGACAAATGGATATTTTAATGTAATGACTAAAAATAATACTATTTATTTTAGTACTGCCCAGAAAATTTTATAAGAATTATATGAAAATATTCAGTTTTCAAAGTGCCACCTTGATTAGAATTGAATTTAAACTAAGATAATTTATTTGAGTGCTGCCCGATAGAGCATTAGCATCCCATCTTCCACTTTTCTTCAATTATGCTGATGAACCAAAATTTCAGGTTTATACCAAGTCCAACCCACAAGTTGGTAACCCTTTCAGGTTTGACGAATTAGTAATCTAGAAAAAATTGAGTTTGACATAACGTACTCTACCAAGTAGATACATGGAAGAGAGAGAGAGAGAGAGAGAGAATTTGCTAAGTTTGATTTATTGTGAAGATACATGCTGTATAGATCTAATCTTTACAGTCTCCCGAAAAGGAGGAAAAAAAATAAAACAACGACCAATATATGAATGTGATATAATCAGAATGGATTCCAACCAAGGAAGATGAATGAAATTGTGAAAGAAGCAAATGTATATATAGAAGCAAACAAGAATATGCGAAAGAAAGAGTTACGGTCTCATGAAAATTAAAACTATAAAGAATATGGCTTATAGTGACAATCGGAAATTATGTTTTGCCATGAACATCTTACACATCCCTAAAAAAATTTCAAAAAAAACCCACAATCGCGCACACAAAAACGAAATGATGCCTAGTTTCAAAGTCGTATTTGATTTAGACGACAGCAATGCTAATATATACTAAGCATAATTGCTTGAAAAAAGTTTGCTTCAGATCATTTACAACCTTGAAAGAAGCACAAATCAAGTACAATATCATGCATGCAGTATAGCATCTTTTAGTGTCAGAATTTTTGTTTACATAGGTTTGAGCAAATTATGGTAATCAATTTCAAACGAATAGCAGACTTGCATAACATTCCAAAATATGCAAGCATAGCCTCAACTCTTTCCCTTCTGATCCTAAATATTAACATTTAGTTTCAGCAGAGTATCAAAATTTAGTTAGAACAATTAGCTTGTTAGTTAAAAGAGATTAGAAGGACAAGGGTTTTAGCTCAAAAAGGAGAGGGTAGAAGGAAGTAGAGCTATTAGCATTGAGAAAACAGAACATTGCCACGGTGGGAGATTTCTCTCCTTTTCATATTGATACTCGATCATCAATAAAGATTCCTTCTTTCTCTTTCAATCTTTCATATGATTTCTCAGTTTGTTTGAGGGTTCATAATACCTTCATTGGTAGTATGTCATCTATACGAAGGATACGATACAATTAATCCCAACTTATAGTCAGAAATACCAAATCCCAGGCAATTTTACTCAAATATATAGTATTAATATGTGCCACTGAATCCATCAATTGAAATCCGTGTGGTGAACAGGCAATCGAAGTTGATGTACTGATCAGATGTTTCAAAAGTAAGACATTATGGAAAACGTTAGCACACGCGCACACACAAAGGCCTTAGAAATAAACTCCCACAACACAAGGGTTTCAGGAATTTAGTGACTATCTTAATCATTCATCCGTGTTATCTGTCTCAGCCAACTTTTCCTACGGCCCACAATATCCCATCATTAAATCATTTTACTTACGATACTACTCTTGTCAAGCTTTCATTAATAAAGTACGAGTCTCCAAACATATTGAACCTCTCCGCCAACCTTGAGAGATGGAAAAGCAGATATAAACACATGACAAGGTACTTATGACGACAGATTGTGCATTAGCTCTCATGGCAAGTCATGGTCAATATCATCATTCTTAAATAGATAATCATATGGCTAAGGTAGACACAGACCAAAGTCATTAACCAGATAAGAGTTATGCAGCTAATGACAACTTCCTAGTTCAACTTTCGCTTGTAAGAATTCAGAAAAACTAAGAACTAACTGTATGGAGATGCAAACATTACACAGTACAAGAAAACAACCTAGACAATGTAATGTACAACAAATGTTAAACCTATCACAAATAATTTACTGTAGTTCTCAAAACGTCCATGAGAACTATGCTTTCAACTATAGATGCCCTGGCATAGTATTTGAAGTCAGTAAAGTACAAGACTAAAGCATCATCTGTTCTGAAATTCCGTGACAATATTTACCTCAATGATCGGCATTCTCTGTATCTGATGAAATTTGACCTTATTCTTGTTAAGTTATCACAATCAAAACATGAGAAAGTGATCACCATCTTCTTTTGTTTTGCCAAAACCTGAAATAGTTAAGTTACTCAGAATTCCTCCTAAGCAATATAGGAAGATTAACAGAACAAATCGTTATATGTGATTGTACCCAAAAACCGGACTAAAAATCTTCAGAGAGTACATAAGATGTCATCAACATTAAAATCAGGTACACACCATGAAATGCTAACATTGCGACTGTGATTTTATAAATCCAACTGAAAAGCAAGGTTCGGAGAAAAAAGAGCATCTTAACTTTCTTTTAATGTCAAAAACACTTGGTTGGGGGAAGGGGGGCATTCTAACAACAAACAAGGGCATCCTGAGCACCATTAATTCAAACTTTCCTACGCTAATGATAACAAGAACTCCATTGTAGAAAGGCAAAGCTTCTAGCGCTTGTGCTACTCAAAAAGACAAAAACTGCTTGCAAAAGTAATTAATATAAATTACACAAATATGGACGCTGTAACATCCCGAGCACTGACGAGGGCGGGGAGTGACCGCCGGTGCGCAAGGGCATGGACAAGAAGCGGCTCCTGGCAGGCTTCCAGCGGCGGGAGTACATGAATGAATCGAAAAACACCGGAAAGAGAGGGATTCCAGAGATTGTGCTGGTATAGGACATGACAGGCTTCCAGCGGGGGGTTACATGCATGAATGAATCGAATCGACACTCGAAAGAGAGAGATTCCAAAGGCTGTGCAGGTATGAGACTGCACAGTTTGGGATAGCTTATAAGAATTAATTGGTACTACCTATATGATGTGCCTTTGGCAAGTGTGATTTTTCAGTATTAAAATTGATAAGAATTGGGTCATAAGAGAGCAATTTAAATACATATTTGCTATTTATATTGATTCTTTCTATGTCAATAATATTCACCTTTTGGTTGTGTTTTTACAGGAAAAAGAGGAGTGAAAAATTACAAATTATAAAAAGCCTGTTGACGCGACTCCACACACAGAAAAGTTCCATGTTGCATCATGTTGCATAGGCCAAAGTCCAGAGAAATGGCGCAACTTGGCACCACAGTGGCGCAAGTTAGCGCCATGTTGCATAGTACAAAAGTCCAGGGAATTGGCGCTAGTTATCAAACAAGTTCTTTGCTGAATTCTTCTCAATGGAGAGGTACAATCAAATGGTGAATGATATCACCAATTTCACTCAAGCTGAGGGTGAAACTATGTGAGCAGCCTGGAACCGCTTCAAAGATCTAATGAGGAGGTGCCCTCATTACCCCATGACCAATGGTGATCAGGTTCAGATCTTCTTCAACGGTTGTAAACCGAAAATCCGGATGGTCCTGAATGGTGCAGCAGGTGGTAGCATCAAATCGATGAGAGCAAATGAGACTCTTACATTGATTGAAAGAATGGCTGCCAATGAAAATGAAGGGTTGTCATCTAAGCCTAAGAGAGGTATTCTTCACCTGGACAATAATGATGCAGTGCTAGCTGAAAATAAATTGTTATCATAGCAAATGGCAAATCTAACATCGAGGCTTGACAAGATGCAACTCGCTAGTGTCCAAGCCCAAGCTGCTTCAGTAGTTTGTGAGTACTGCAAGGGTGACCATGAATCCAATGACTGTTCATCTATATTATCTTCTGACTCCCCTCAACAAGTGCAGGTGAATGGGGTATGGTATGATCAAAGATCTCCGCCACGAAACAGTCCGAGGAATCAGAATTTCCCTTCTGGAAATAGCAATTTTCAGAGGAGAGGTCAAGGAGGTGGTCTTGATTATAGTTCTAACAATTATCTGCAGCCTCCACCAATTCCAGCTAAGGAACCCTCTGAATTGGAGAAGCTAGTGGGACAGATGGCTCAACACTCTAGTGCTTTCATGGAGGAGACAGGGGCCAATACCAAGAACACACAGGCTTCTATCAGAAATTTGGAGACTCAAATTGGCCAACTGACTAAGCAAATTGCTGATAGAACTCCAGGCACCTTCCCTAGTAACACAGTCACCAATCCGAGGGAAGATTGTATGGCCATCACAATTAGAAGTGGAAAAATACTTCCATCTCCTGAGGTTAAAGAAAAGCTAGACATTGCAGGTGAGCCAGAAAAAGAAAAAGAAATTGAAAAACCTGCTGAAGTGGTGAAGCCAGTGGAAAAGAAAAAGCATGAATTGAGTCCCGAATATGTGAGGGCCATGGCACCCTATCCTGAAAGATTCAAGAAGGATGCTCAGAAGCAACATTATGACAGATTTCTTGGTATATTCAAGAAATTGCATGTCAACATTCCCTTTGCTGAAGCTCTGGCTTGCATGCTCAATTATGCCAAGTTTATGAAGGACTTGTTATCAAGAAAGCATAAGCTGCAAGAGTGCCAAACTGTAACACTCACTGAGGAGTGTAGTGCCATAATACAGAAGAAGTTTCCACCCAAGCTGAGTGATCCAGGGAGCTTCAATATTCAAATTGAAATTGGCAACACCAAAATTGGCAGGGCATTATGTGATCTTGGGGCTAACATTAATTTGATGCCCCTTTCTATTTGTAATCCTTGGGGATCACCGAGTTGAGGCCTACTTTGGCATCTCTTCAACTTGCTGATAAGTCATAAGGAAGTATAGTGGAATAGTGGAAGATGTTCTTGTGAAGGTGGACAAGTTCATCTTTCCTGCTGATTTTGTGGTGCTGGACATGGAAGGGGGAGCTGAGATGCCTCTTTTGCTGGGTAGACCTTTCTTAGCTACATCTCGAGCACTGATTGATGTTGAAAACGGGAAGCTCGAGCTAAGAATGAATGATGAAACCGTTACTATTCATGTCTTTGATTCTTTAAAACAGTCTTCTCACAAAGACGATTGTTTTAGTCTTGAAGTCTTAAAGGAAGAAAAAAATGTAGCGGTTGAGATACCTGAAAAAGCAGACGATTACAAAGAAAATAGTACCTCAAAAGTGGAATTGAAGAAGATTCCTCAAACTCTGAAAGATGATGACAAACCTGGGAAGAAACTCAAAAGGAGGCGTCATCCTATACTGAAGAAGGTACTAAGAAAGGAGGTGGTCAAACTTTTTGATACTAGTTGGACGAGTTGGAAGAGACACCAGGAGCTGAAGTTTGACAAGAGACACCGAGACTCTATCTCTCAGAAAAATCAAAGCTTCAAAGAGTTCTTAACATGGCTTCATGGTTTGGAGCAAATTTGGGAATGGTGGTCTCATACACCAAAGCATCCCGTACCACCGGATCTTCCATTTGCTGAGTCATCCCACGCTGCTGTGGGGGATGACATGGAGGGTTGATTACATCTCCTTGCTGACGGAGATTTTGTATATTAGTTTATTTTTCTGTTTTGTATTTTTTTTTAGTTACTTTGTGTTGGTATATTTTTCTCTGATGTTTTAATGTGCGCATTATAGTTTATCCTATATGCCACTGTTTGTTCCATTGTGCATGTTTTTCTTCTTTCTTGTGGTTTAATTATTGCTGAGGACAGCAATTCTCTAAATCTGGGAATGGTAGGCTTGCACCTTAGAACTGCAATTCTTCTATCAGGGGAGATATTCTAACTCTTTTAAATTTCTTAGTTATTTTTTTTAGTATTTTGTGTGCTCTTTATTTTTATTTAAAAAAAAAAAAAAAATTTGTTTCAAGCAATTCTCATGTTTAAATGTGCTTATATAGTTAATGTGTTTGACTGAATTCTTGGAATATATTGTATGACTTTCTGGCATGACATTGCATAGGCATAATTGGATTGCATGATTGCTCGTTTGTCTGAATTAATATTGTGAAATTCTGATAATGTCTGAGGTCAATTTTCTTGAGTCTGCATTGATACCATAACTGTGAGGTTTGAGCCTAAACACTGAAATTTTTGTGGAGAGGCCTCACTGTTGTAATACTCTAGAACTTGATCAGTTTCTCTGTTATGCATGCATTGATTGATATGATAAAGGTATTTTGTTCTTATTAGCTTATGGCCAAAATAGCCCACCTTTATGAAATTTTCCCTTGCTAGCCCCTTTGAGCTTGAACTTATTTGTTGATAAATAACATGTGCCTGATATTATGGCTTAGCCTATGTCCATGTGACTTACCTTGATTGAGATTAAATCACTGAATGTGTTAAAAATAAATAAAGAAATTGAGGTAAGCTCCACAAAGGTCAAGTAATTAAGGGATGAAAAATTCATCTATGCCGTTATAAAAGAAAAAGAAAAGAAAGCAAGAAAAAGAGAAAAGAGTAAAAGGTGGCTGGAAGGAATTAATTCCCGAAATTCTGTGGGAATGTTAGTGGAGCAAAATCATTGAGTTGAATGTGTTAAAGTGAAATAAATTTAGTTTTTCAATCTCATTGTTGTTTGAACTACTATCCATATTTTCCTACCTGTTACCTCGGCCAAGTTACAACCTGTTAAGTCCCTTAGATCAATTGATGCATGTATTTGATTCTTCATTTTTAAGAATTTTTTAGAATATGATCAAGCTTATGGTAGTGTTATAGCTTTGAGTAATTGAGTGCTCATGATACCCTTAAACACTGAGTGTTGAGTGAATATTATTATTATCTGTGTAAGGGGTAATCAATGTAGACTTGCATATTTAAGAAGCTGATGACATTATTGAGAGTTTATGATGTTGAGTCTGAGAGTATCTATGGAATGTTATGTTGGATTAATTAAATATTTCCTGGATTGAGTCTTGTACATTGTTGGGGACAGCAACGTTTAAATCTGGGAATGATTTGATGTGCCTCTGGCAAGTGTGGTTTTTCAGTATTAAAATTGATAAGAATTGGGTCATAAGAGAGCAATTTAAATACATATTTGCTATTTATATTGATTCTTTCTATGTCAATAATATTCACCTTTTGGTTGTGTTTTTAATGGAAAAAGAGGAGTAAAAAATTACAAATTATAAAAAGCCTGTTGACGCGACTCCACACACAGGAAAATTCCATGTTGCATCATGTCGCATAGGCCAAAGTCCAGAGAAATGGCGCAACTTGGCACCACAGTGGCGCAAGGTAGCACCATGTTGCATAGTACAAAAGTCCAGGAAATTGGCGCTAGTTTGTATGGCGCAAACTAGCGCCACCACGCCAATTCCACACAAAAGTGGCGCAAGATGGCGCCAAGGAAGTGAAGAAGTGGCGCTAAGTGGCGCCCAAAAAGTGAAGGATGGCGCCAACTGGCACCATGTTACGAAGATTCGGTTCCGACTTTGCAATTTTGCACAGAGGCGCGGCGCGAAGTGGCGCCAAACCGGTGCCAACTGGCGCCGGTTTGCGGGAAAATAATATCGTGTTGCCGTGGGGGTATTTTTGGAAGGAAGAAAAGAGGATTATAAATAGGATCCATATGACAGAATTAGGTATTCAGATCTATTCTTCTGAAGAGAGACGACGACAGAACTCCGAGAGGAATCCTGGGATCAAGTTCTTCTTCTCTTTTCTCTTTAATTTTATGCTTTTGAATATTGGATTATTTTTAGCCATGATTATGCTTGGCTAGTTCTTTTTATTGTAGTTAGGGTCACAAACCCTACGTGAACCCTTGTTACGCGGATTGATTTACAATTGCTCGTTTATATAATTATCTTTATCTCTACTCTGTTCGTATTTTATATTTTCTTTATTAGAATTGATCACTCTAATAGTTGATAATAGTCTGAGGGTTAGAACCCCATATAGGGATATTGGGGTTTTCATCCTGAAAGGGAGTAGGATAACGGTTCGTATGCATGCTAGGAATAGATGTGTATTGAATTACGGATGCCTAAATTATAGAGTTCATCGCTTAATTTTCATGAGGGGTTGCTAAGGGATTAGGATTCTAATTGGGGATTAAAGGATTAAATTGCCAAGGGATTGAGATTTAACTAATTATTTTAGATAATAATTTATCCGAGTAATTTTATAAATTAATGTTGTAAATCAATCCAAAGTAATAAGTGGGGATCATAAGGCAAGTGCGCTCTAGCTACAATACTTTTCTCATTTTTTTCAAATCAATTCTCGTTTTTATTGTCTTTTTCTCATAATTAAAAATTCAAAAACAAGTCTTTATTTTCAGTTCTCAATTTCAAACCAATCGACAATATTTGTCAAAACCATTTGAACACTTCCATTCTTGAAAGGAACAATTAATTGATATACGATCACAATCCCTGCGGAGACGATACTTTACTTATCATTATATTACTTGTGCGATCGGTACACTTGCCGGTGAGCATCACTATACTAACAAGATGCATCTGCTTTTCGGTAGCCCGGAACGGAAGAAAAGCGTGCTTGACTTGGGGCAATTCTGGGATGGGTGACCTCCTGGGAAGTTTTCCCAGTAAGTGTATGAGTGAGGAAAAAGCACACTGAAAAGTCTCGTGTTAGTATGTGGGGATAGTCATTGATTCTTGAAGCGGTCGGGCGTTACAAGTGGTATCAGAGCAGGGCCTCTCATCCAGTACGGTGTGGTTCGAGGACGAACCAGGCGGAAGCTGTTGGGCATGTAACATCCCGAGCGCTGACGAGGACGGGAAGTGATCGCCGGTGCAAAGAGACACGGACAATGAGCGGCTCCTGACAGGCTTCCAGCGGGGGGTTACATGCATGAATGAATCGAATCGACACTCGAAAGAGAGGGATTCCAAAGGTTGTGCAGGTATGAGACTGCACAGTTTGGGTTAGCTTATAAGAATTAATTGGTACTACCTATACTAACAAGATGCATCTGCTTTTCGGTAGCCTGGAACGGAAGAACTCGATAGTTAAGCGTGCTTGACTTGGGGCAATTCTGATGTGGGTGACCTCCTGGGAAATTTTCTCGAGAAGTGTGCGAGTGAGGAAAAAGCACACTGAAAAGTCTCGTGTTAGTATATGGGGATAGTCATTGATTCTTGAAGCGGTCGGGCGTTACAGACGCTAATAGTATTTCTTTATGTATAACTACTCATGCATTCTTTTATGTTTATAAGATAAAAGCATAAGTAGCTTCCAAAATTTCTCTCAAATATTCTGTTAGAAGCTACTTGTGCTTTTTTCCTTCAAACACAAACATACACAACACAATTTCAAAAAATAAAATAAAATAAAATTAATGAGAAATGCAATGGACATCACCTATTTGTTATATGCCTTCTCTCACTAAATTTTAGAAGCAGCATTTGAAAAGTACATGATATACAAAAGCAGCTAATCCTTCTCATTATTATACGATCTCACAAAAGGGTTGAAACTCTACTACCACGCTCTTATTGAGAACTTTGCAGAATTGTTTGAGATGATTAACTTATTTTATTCAGTAGATCATTCGCATCGATTTACTTCATGTAGAATTTCAGCCTCTAGAAATTTCTATAAACATTTATTACCAAGTAATCCAAGCTCAGACCTCTTAAAATCCTGGAATGTTCACAGACAGGTACATTTCAGCAACCATGTAACCAAACTGAACAAATGAAAATAATTGTTACATCATAAAAATAAGGGGTTGACAGGTACGTTTTTCCCTGGAATCCAGAATTCCTATCATACATCGTGTCCAAAAAATAATGATCCTATTAGCATTCTTTAAAGAAAACGACAAAAGAAAATTGTTGAAGAGAAGGGTAAAATAGAACAAGGGGAGAGGATAAGATACCCTCAAACAACAAAGATACTAAAAGAAAACAATGAACGTAAGAGCCACATATTTTAAAAATTGTTCAATTCTGCATCTATCAGAAGGGAACTCAACACTGCATAGAACCCCAAAAAGAGACCATAAGCAGAACCCTACTCCATAACATTGGGTTTAATTCAATCATGTAACAGTGATCAGACAATGCAAAAACCCCAGAAGTGATCACCATAAGCAGAACCCTATTCCATAAGCAGAAGCACCCTTAAAATTTGCCATGAACAATGCAAAAGAAAATTAGCCAATTCACAAACTAGCCTTACACAAAAATCCATATTGGTATTAATTCAATCATGTAGCAGTGATCAGACAAAAAAGATTTGACATTAGGAGGAGTTTTGTATTCCTGAATGGGCTAGTCAAGAAGGAAACCTACCCAATTAGGAGATGACTAAAAAACTAAAAACAAAGCTAATAAAAATACACACACAAAAATAAATAAAAAATAAAATCAAGTGAAGGCTGATGAAGGTATTAAAAATCATTAGTCTCTCTACCCGTCATAAATTACTCGAAAAAGTGAACATTCTTTAGAACCCCTAATGCGATAAAAAAAAAGTTTGGACGGGTTAACTGAGAGAGAGAGAATAGAAATTATATTTGCACACATCTAGTTTCCCAAACTTTCCACCATAAAAAAGGACCACGGAATTAATAGACAAAACAGAGGGAAGCGACAAAAAAATTAATGGAATATGAGGAACTATGAAGTGTGAAGAGCACACTGCACAACACAGAAAAAAACAAAACGAATAGAGACCTGCCACACAGGAAGGCGTAAACAGAGCTGCGTCAACACTGAACAAAATCAACAGCGACTTGCATAAAGGACGTTTGTTGGAATGCGCGCAGGTTAGGAGAGGACTCCGGCTAACAGTGGGCTGCCAGAAAAAGCCGCGCTTTGCTGGAAACGATGCCAGAGGATCACACGTCAAAGTTTGAAACAAAGGTCAGGTTTTTTTGCGTGAATGATCAAGAAAGAAGGATTTCAAACCCTTAATATTTGCGATGCAACAAACAGACAGGAAATCACGAGAATATCTAGAAAAAGAAAAAAGAAATACTTCGAAAACTGAAAACGAGGGGCAACTATGGGTTTTTGGGTTATCACTCGTGACTGAGTACTCTGATTTCATCTCATGTATATGATTTTCAATTAAGGGAAAAAAATAAATAAAATAAAATAAAAATAGAAATTTAACAATCCTCATCCCGAACACAATAATAAGATAAAAATATTAAAGGAATATTAAAAGACTCATTAAGAAGACTATTTCATACTAAATTCACAAAACCCATAGGAGATATAAACTTCTGTACTAAAAAAAAAAAAAAGATATAAACTTGCAGTTGAACATATTGATTTTGCATTTCCAACTATATAGTTATTTCCCAGTGTTTCACACTACAGAAATCAAGCTTGGGCATTATTTTCCAGACAAATATTTTGAAAATTGACGAAAATTTAGATGCTAATTGGCACCCCATGGATGGGATTGAGGAGAGAGAGGGAGAGAAAGAGGTGGTGTGCATGAATGCATAATTTTTACAAGGAACTATGATTAGTTGTATAAAATTAAAGCAAAACGAAGTTAACATCACACCGCATATTATCCTTTTTTTATTCCTTTTTTTTTTCTTCAATTTTTTGATAGACATGGCAAAAATAATTAGAACCCCAAAGAGCTCCAAAACTAACTTCATATATAGAGAAAGATTATAACATATAGGCATTCAAGTCACTAAAACATGCTACTATTTATTAAGAAAATGTAACAAGCAAGAAAAAAAAATTTGAAAACCAAAAAAGATAAAATTAAAATTTATTTATTATAGTTAACGAGTGATTGAAATATATTTCTAATTTTCTATATAGATATTATGTAATAATTACAAGGGATGGGAAACAGATAAACTAACCAAGTCAGAAACATGGGCCTAAACTCGGAAGCAAATGTTCCTGGGATACATTGTCAGGAAAAATTACAATATACACAATCCTTCCAAAAGCCTCCACAAGTTTTCAAAATTTTCTTCACAGGTTAGTTGTATGTACTACACAGGCGAATCTAACTTTGAAGCACAATGTGTAACCTCAGCGTGTTGATCCACCAGCAACACCACTGAAAGATAACAAGCAGTCATAATTAATATCAAGAGTGATTACAAATTTTTCTTGAATAAAAGTTGACACAAGGATGCTACAGGTAAGTTGAATAACCTAAAACCTCTTATTCTAAAAGAAATTTGGTTCATGCACATGGAGGTATAATAATCAAAATCCATTTCTTCCCCACGTAAAGAATTAACCTATTCAAGTTTGAACTTTGGAAAGCTCCATGAAAAAGGTTCCCTACAATCATGAACACAGTAACCGATATTCCATATCCACCAGTTTTGCAGATGAAGTGGAAAATTTTCAATCCTGTTAAGGCTTGTTTGACAGTTGGGTTCATCTCAGAACTCTGATAAATCCAAAGTCAAAATTATTTTAAATGTCCCACTCCGCAAGTAGTTCATAATTTTTTCTGAAAAAAAAAAAAAAAGGAAAAATTTGCAAGGCATCTTATACTTCAATCGCGTCATATTGTCATGTGCTATAGGAATGCTATATGTAGCCTTTTCTTTCCTTTTCGTATTTTTTTTATTAAAGAAGACGGATACTAATAGAAAGAGGAAAACAGCAAAAGAAAAGAACAAGGAGAACAACATATCTCAAAGAAGTTCTCATTCTCCTCCAGTCATACATACATACATATCAAAACTGTCCAAATACACAAAGACCAAAAGAATTTCCAAAAGAAGATCAACCACAGAGAATTCTCCAGCAGTTGGCCAATTTTTTAATGTGCACCCAATATTTTCCAACACCACAACTTCAGGTGAGTCTTTAGAGGCCTAGGAATTCTTTAACAATAATTCTAATCCTCCCAACCAATCTTCCTAATTACTAAAAGTATTAAATGTTTTTTTACGTTCACAAGATAATATATATTGACCGCATTTACTTTTTTAATTAATATTTTCTTTATTAACTAATAGTGATTATTGACTACTCTTACTTTTCTTTCATGATTAAGCACTAGGAAGATGTTTTAGGAGGTTATAGAAAAACTCTTAAACAAGGTCGTATATGTCATGCACCTTTAGTCAATGGGGACACAAGCAGAAAATCAAAGAACAACCACCTATTGTAACTTATAGTTCAGCTGAACAATTAAACCATTATTGCAGAGTGCAATCCTTCCAAAACATATTAAAAACAAAAAATAAAATAAAAATGAAAAACCTTACTTAATACTAAGAAGACTCCAATCAAATTCAAGTGGGTCTCCAACAATTAACAGCAGGAACGTCAGGCCTACAAGGCAACATCTGAGGAACACCATGTCCTGAAGAAAGAAATCATGAGTATGATCCATAAAATGTAGTGTCTTAACAAGTGGAAGCTCAAAGGGAGTAAAAGAAGAGTGTTAAAAAAAATTAAAGCAGTAAAGAATTTAGCAAAAGTCACCTGATACTGGAGCAGCAGGTAGGTTGCTTGGAACTCGCTGAAAACCTAAGTTGCTTACCGGGGGTCTTTCCAGTGATGGCCGAAAATGACCTTCATCACCATTATAAAAACAAAACATTTATGTACAACATTCAGATTGCTGTTGCAAACAACACAAAATACCAATAACATTACTGTATCTACAAAGCTTTTACTCGAATCACCAAAAAAATGGTAAATTAAAAAATAAATAAATGGATGGGAATCTCCATAAGGAGCTGACAACTAACTTCAGGAATGACATACATATAATGAATATTCTAAAACAAACCATATTTTAATATAAAAGACATTTAGAATGGTAAGCCAAATAACTACACATACCTTCTTGCCCAAAGGGTGGACCAGGGCATGAAGGATTTCTCCCTCTCCATATACCATGTTGATTGTTTGTATTAAATTCACTCGATGACATTCTCCATTGCTCATCAGCAACAAATTGCCTCCGGCCATCTGGAAGAGACGGTAAAGGGAAGGAGGGATGGAATGAATGTGGAAGATGTTGCTGAACTGTAGGATTTGGATATGAGTACTGATTTGATGGATTTTGGGGTGGGGCAGGATGCCCGTGTCTCTGAGCAAATGAAGGGTTACCGGGCTGAAATTGATGGTTAGGTTGAGGAACTTGAGCATTTAGATATATATCATTCTGTCCGTATTCTAATTGCCTTGAAGGGTTAAAACCAGAAGGTTCCTGGGAGCTGCAGCCTGCTGTTGGGGCAAAAGCAGATGGCTGAGGAAATATTTCATTCTTTACAACAGCATTATTGTGACCTCCAGGAAAAGAATTTCCAGCCATTTGAACTATTTGGTTACCCTGTATAGAGGACTGCATTTGTTGACATCAGCAACTCAAACAAATCCATAAAAAACAAGTGATATCAAAAGAAAAAGTCTTACACTAGTTGTGCAACTAAAGTCATGAGGTACATTCTGCTGATACCCCAACTGTGGAGAAGACTGATGCGATGGCTGAGGCGGCATTAATGACTGGGAGGGAAGCGAAGGCCGGGATGGTCCAGATGATTGAGAAAGCAATGACACTGGAGCGGCTGCCGGTGGTAAAGGAGGAGGACGAGGTTGCAATATTGGGGGTGGCGGGGGTGGGGGAGGAGATGGAGAAGATGGAGGAGGAGGTGGTGGAGGTGAAGAAGGCAAAGGTGGGGGTGGAGGAGGTGAATCGAGTGGCAATGGAGGAGAACCCTCCGGAGTAGCCGACATTTCTGCTGAAATGTTTGAAGTTGGATCAAAATTCCTGTCTGAGCCCTGAAGTTGCAAATCAATGTCATCAGAACTGTTAAAAAATACAGGCCTTTCATCCTTCGGGTGACCTGAAACATCTTCCATTTCTAGCTCACCATCCACATCCTCCAAGATACAATGACGCTTGTCATTTGGGGTAACAGTAGAAGTTTCTGATTCTCCAAGGGTAAGTAAGGGATCTGCTGGAGATGCATCTTGTATATCCTTACACAAATTGATTGGTAAATCATCTTCATCTTCATCTTCATCAAATGCATGAGAAGATAAAAAGCCAGGCAGCTGAAATGTAGCATTGCTGATATACAACATCCAGGAGTATAACATGAATCAGAAATAGAAATTACTCTTTAAAACAAATAGAATGGTAATGGAATAGACAACAACAAATAAACAGTCAAGTTTCATGTCGAAAAGTCCAGTCAAGTAAAATCCGGAAATGCAAACCAGCGCCAATTTATTAAAAAACCATCTACACTTTCTATCTCCCTATCATATGATACTGAACCATAACCCATCTTACAAAATTCATATCACATTCAATAATAACAAAGTCAAGATGAAAATTTTATGTATCATGATATCTGCACATGTTTAAGTGGGAAAGTCCGGGGCAGTGGTGAAGCTACTCCTTTGTGACTGAAAGGCCACGGTTTGAATCCGGAAAACAACCTCTTTTGCAAATATACAAGGATAAGGCTGTATACAAAAATTGTTCACACCACTACCCTCACTAGTCAGGATTTAATGGGGAGTGGTGATATCTGCACATGTTTGTTTGATATGTTGATTATTTCTCCTATTCATGTTGTTTTAATATTTTGTTAACAATTTAAACGAGCATATTGCAACTGTAAGATGATAGCATAACAGGTGAACTTAATAAATCAGAAGGGCATTTTTTTCCTCTCTTTTAAGTAATTCATTGATCAAATAATAAAAATTTAATTTCAAAAGGGGAGATACCATTCTAAAGTAATATAGATAAAATAAATTATTATTATTTTCTCCTATTTATGTTGGAAGGGAAGTATACGAGTAAATACTTCTGACCACCACCATGTTGAGCTGGGCCATGCCACTAATATAAGAACTCTACTTTTTATATATTCTCCATCAAGTGTCCATGCTTCAATATTCAAAACCAATGCAATGGCAAAGCATGTCACATGTGATTATCAGAAGCTTGATAATGCTGTGAGATGCAAAAATGCAGCCACTATCAGATGATTTTAAATTTGTCAAGCCACAAGTTAGCTTTTAAGCCAAACTAGTTTTAACTTAAGGAAAATATCCTACAATTTACTTAATCAAAAGTTTTGAAATTTCACCCTCCCACTATTTCTATTTTATTTGGAGTTCAAACATGATTCACCAAAAAATACATGAAAAAAAAACTAGCAAAAAACCATTCTTTTAAAACACTCAAATATGATTTAAAATCAGTTTAAATTTATGTAAATGTATGAAACTAGTTTTGACTTAAAAATTTCTTAACCAGGATTTAAATTTGGTAAACTTGCCTCAAATTATAAAAGTGAATTAACAAAACTTTTAACAGAAACAATTGGCCCACTTCTTTTTTTCATTGTGTGTATTTTACAGTTTATTAAATCGCATCTCAATTTTTTTCCTTTATGTGCACCTTACTGTCAAATTTTTTTGTCATTCAGTAATTACAAAAATAATCTATTCAAACTTGCAGTTTATTTGCTGCCTCATTTAAGAATTCAGAGTTTACTGTCTCTCCTGGTTTAAGTAAGGATAAATTAATTTTACAAAAATGATCAGCAACTTTATAATAAATGAAAAAGAACACAAATTTAAATAATTTAAGACAAGCAGTCAATCTAAAAATTTGACAAAAGAATTGACTGACAGACCTTCCATACTCATCGACAAGCATGCCTTCCATTTCTCTAATTGGGTCATCCACAGCTCGCTCTGCTCGAGATGGACGCCTGAGAGAAAAGCTAACTGCCATATCATCATTAGAAACTCCAATATCATCCATGTAACGGCGAAGAATTGATTCAGGTAAAATTTTCCTTTCAAGCCACAGCCTTAAAACCTGTAAGCCACCCAAAATAGAAAATAAAACAAATATGATGTACACCTAACATACAGCATTCCTCCTTGTAAAAAGTAAACACCTTCATGCACTTATTTAAACAAAATCGCCTTTCATTTTAGAGGCTTCTTCCTAACCAGCCCATCTAGAAATCTAAAACAAGGCCAAGTGGTATGTATGCACAGTTGTACAACATTTACTCAATATATTTAATATAAAATGATATGTAGAATATTCATATGCCCCATACACCCTTTACATTGACATTTGTGTTATTTGCATTTCAAATTCAAAACAGCAGTCCATTTATTTCTATACTGTAAGTAGCTAATTTCCCTTGGAATAAGTCGTTTAGGGCGCTGGATGAATCTAGTGTTGCCCATTCACATAGGACCAGCATCTCCAGGTTTGTTCTAATGTTTTTGGACAAAAAAGAGGAGTGCAAAAATTGGTGGTAATGCGTGGCTTTTACACTCCTTGTACCCTACTTCCACTCTAGGATAGGGTTGTCTTTATGGCCTCTCACTAGTGAGCTCATGACAGTATCCAGGCAGTTACCTTTACTGATATCCACAGAAACAGGGTAGCTTTGTTGTATTATTGATTGTTTCTTTTTCTTTCTTGTTCTTTTCTTTTTCTGATTTGGAAGCTGTCTTGTGTCCTCCCCCTAGTTCTACTCTGCTTCTTTCTAAAATTCATTTTGTTGTTACTAACACAAAAGAAAAAAAGGGCTGACCTTTAGACACTGACGGCGATTTTCACGGGCACTAGGTCCAGGGGGAGCAGCAGCACCCAGAAGACGTGGCAATGCTGCTTGAACTATAGGTATGTAGGAGGCTCCTGCAATGCCTAAAATAGTCCTCTAGAATTAGAGATATAGATGCCATGGAGAGGGAAACCAAAATACCCATAATAAAAGCTGATAGATAAGGATTCTCTATTATTTTCACCTACCTTTTTGATTATGCGAGCACTGGGTGATAGAATCAACAAGAAAAAATAAATCCACTTTGCGATGAAAACTAGTTTCATTTTCCAGCTTTCGGATGAGAAGTTCAACCACCTGAACACAAGGACACAGAATTAAGTCCACTGTAGGTACAGTAACCACCAATTCAACATAACTGCTTAAATTAGTACCAAAAATATAACATCTAAGAACTATATTCACATTTCAATGAATGTTCTCTAACTAAATATAAAGCACACAAAACAAGGTGCATTCCTTATCTTCCATGGATCCTTGACATTCCTACTCCAAGATTTTCTATAATTCAAATAAAAGTTTATCATCACAATAATATAAGCAAGATTTAACCCAAAAGGCACACAAGTAAACTAATAGTCCAAGTAATTAATTTACAACTTACCTATATTAGTAACACAGAATAATTCTCAAAGACCTTTATTATCAATAAACTTAAGGTATAGCCTTATGCAATTATCCACAGGCTGAGCTTCCCTTTCCAACTAAACTGACAACTCTGTTTTAGGGGATACCAACCAGTTTCACACTTCCAGCACAACTCATCAATTTTTTTTTAAAGAAAGACCAAATAATAAAATTAAGACATTTTTTTAACACTATAATAGTATTTATTTATATTCTTACCTATAGCCTATAATGGTTCATATAGCTTGGAAAAGAAAATTAGGCGGGGGAAAGTCATTATCTGTTCCATAATTTTGTAAATACAAATAGTGTAATGGAGCAGACCTCGTTGGCAATGCCATACTTAGCACAATCAATGGCAAGACGAGTTGCACGCCCAATACTTTCCTTGGTCCTTGACAAAGTTTCAATCATCCCTTCAAAAGCATCACGAGCAACAGCAGCCTCAGTACCACCACTCAGCGAGCCTCCTAGACCCCTTTGCACTGAACTAACTCTTCTTTCCTCAATTTCATCAGCATCAAGTTGACTTCGAGATGCAGAGTGATGTTCATTAGTTGTTGGAGAAGCCAATGTTGTGTGCTCATAAACACCCTCCACATCCACCTGAACAAAATTGCTAGAGACAGACAGAAATGGCTGAATGGAGGAGGGGCTAGGGGTCCCCCCCTGAACATTGTGAATGCCAAAAGAAAGACAATGAGATTGAGCTTGTCTCCTTTTTGCCTGGGCAACTGCAATAAGATGCTTCATAGTTTTAGCAGATTCAGGAGTCCCAGAACCAGTATATATACTACTTTTTTCTTCCATGCCCACCTCCAATCTGAAATAAAATAAACAAGACAGGTAGGGAAAAGGATCATTAAATATTTCCAAAGGAAACAAGAAGAGTGAAAAGAACATATACCTATCAACATGTAGAGTTTCAGACTCCTTAAAACCAACTGCTGAGGCATGAACTTCAACTGTCTGCACCAATGTCTTTGGAATAGTTTTAGAAATTTCTGCTGAAGATGCAGGCTTCTTTTTATGAGTTGCAACTTGATTCTGAGAGGAGATGAGATTATGGGAAGACTTTGAAGAAACGTGATCAGCCTTCTTTTGAGTAGCATTACTGGAAACTTTAAGCAAAGGTTTGGAAGATTTATTCCGTTCAGCTTCTGACTTTGTTGCTGAGTGAGGTGATTTTACTGGAGAGGCAGAGCTTAATTTTACCACCTTGGAGGGCAGCTGCTTCGCATCTAATTTATCAGGACTATTAGGAACATGTACAGGAATTACTTCATCAGCTTTATCTTTTAGAGACTGCCTAATTGATGAAGTGTTATTACGTAATTGAGAAGATGGTTCTTTCAAATGGATATCATCAAGTTCACCAGAATTTCTGTGAGCCAGCTGAGCAACATCAGACTTCTCTGACTCTGCAATTTTTATCTTCTTGACTTCTGACACAAAAGGTGACTTCATACTTTTTGCAGCTCCTCCATGAACAGGAGTTTTAGGTTTATCATCATCATCATCATCAAAAAGGCAAACAGCTCTGCGTTTCCTCTGTACTTGTTTCATCATAACATTATCAGCATCAACCTTCAGTCTAAGAGAACTTCTTTCTTTTTTCTCATCAGAAGCAACACTAGCAGAATCAAGTGTAGCTTGCTGAGCTAGGCTATGATGTTTGGTCCCTGGTAGCAACTCAAGGACAGAATCATCAGAACCTACAACACCAATTTGACCCTTTGATGGCAAGCTTTTTTCTGTTTTCAAATTTGAAGCGGACCTTTTCAACTCTGATTTTTTAAATGCTTTGTCTTCCACAACGGTAGAGCAAGATAAAGCACTTTTCACATCTTTTGAGTGATAACCTAAAGGTAAGTCATCTTTGGCGTCTGCACGCTTCAACTTCTTGGAAGCATGTAATGATTCATTTGCTCCCACATTATGCTTTGAATGAAGTTGGGTCTTCTTTCGCTTACTGGAATTTTTACCATCAGCCTCCTCAGAATCAAACAAGATCTCCTGCAACTCATTTTTTACCTCAAGACTTGTTTTAACTTTTAGCAAGTTCTTATCTTTTTCTCCAGTATTACCATTAAAGTCTGATTTAAGAGTATCCGGGGAATCTGACTTAATAGCAAATGCATTTTTCCCTTTTATTCTACCTTTCAATGTCTCTCCAGACCTCGACAGATCAGCACCACCAGTAGAGTTTCCCTCCTTCAAAAATGTTCCTGCAGATGATCCACCATTTCTATTTCTAGCATCTGCAGCTTCACTTCTCCTCTTTGAACCAGTAACAAGCTTTCTTGTCTTGCTCCCATTTGTCGAAACACTATGTCCATTATCACCTTGCCCAAAATCATTAACGTTACTTGCACCTTTAAGACTAGATTTGGTAGCATTATTCTTTAGCTCTGAACCAATGGATAATTTACTTTTGCACACAGGAGACGAAACAGAAGAACTTTCATTTGGATGGCCAGATACGGAGTGTTTTTCATCTTGGCTATCACTCTCTTCATTTTTCTGCACACAGTGCTCCATATTAGAGTCAACATTACCCATGTAGATGCTATCTTTTTCGGCATTAGATACCGCAGCATCATTGACATCCTTCAGGTTACCCACTACCCCATCAACAGAAGGAGCCTCTGAACCCATACGAGAATCATCAGTGTCATCAGTCAAACCACTAGCCTTCTGTTTCTGTATCTCATCAAATGCTGCACAGATTTCTTTCACAGCTTGGGTAAAGTACTTTGTCTTGCCTTGAATCCGAGCAGACAACTTATTTTTAGCCTCACTGGTAAATGCCTGAATATCCACAGGGGCAACAAAAGCTCTGCGAAGGAAAAGAAGTTAACATAAGTGCAATTGTAAGAAAATAAAATGCAAGACAATCAATCTAATTAAAATAAACAAATAAATAAACAAGAAGGAAACAAAGCAGAAACCATCAGAGCAATCACCAAATCAGATTACCCAGATATTTGGATGAAGGTCAACAGCTCAAAACCCTTTGCAAGAACGATGCAATCTCAAAAAATTCAGTTAACACTGAAAAATCTCTCAGATCACTTGTCCATCATCAACAAATTTTCTATTAGGCTATTGCTAATCAAGAATTAATATTTGCAAACACAGATGCAGGAAGATCTATACAAATATTTGCTTATCAAGAATTAATATTTAATTATGACCATCAAAATCATCAGGTATACAACCTACATATCCTTTTCTTTTCAGTCAAGGGCCAGGGAACTTAGTTTGGGAGCCTAACAGGCTCCAACCCCTCCATCCCTTAAAACTTAATACAAGGAAAAGAGAGAGTAAGATACTGAGCCATAAATACCACAAGTGCTGTAACTAATTTACACTAGCTCTAAACCCAAATTTTGAGGCATAAATTGTTTAAGCCTCACTCTCACAGTCAAGTCATCTCCGCACTACCACCCGCATGGATCATGACAGAAGATTCCCACATTTTACAGAAAGGAATATATTGTGACAGAACAATATCTACAGCTACATTATATATTTCTCTCTCTTAAGATCCATAACCTTAAAAGTCCATTCAGTCAATGTTACAGATACAAAACCATTCCTAGGCCTCCACGTAAAAGTTTAAACTTTTAGGAAAGTTGATCTTTGATACAGTGATAGAGCCTCAAACACAAAGTGACTAGAAATTACATCCTTGCCACTCCCAGTTTTTATAGTTGAATTTCAGCATAAAGTAAAAAAAATGGGCATGTGCATTATCAAGGCTTTAAGCCCAAAGGGCCTTTGCGTGGGTGGAAGTGTTAGACATAAAAAACTATTATAGGGCCTCCATCTAACAAGTTAAGCTTTTAGATAAGTTGATCCTCGGTAGATTGCAAGGCTAAGTATACACTACAAGTAATTAATGGAAACAACTATTTATGTTCACCAATTAGACACCTCGTATCATCAATCTTGAAACCACAATTATTCCTTACTATAACCTTTACCACTGCTGTTCTTTACAAAAACATGTAATAAAGTACCAACAAGGAAATTCAAAAATGGAGTCCAGAATTATATAATAATGAATTAATTGGAAGCTTGTCGTTGTCGTTTCAGTTTCACTACTAAGGATACTGTTCTTGGAACACTACAATACACTACACACATCTACATTGTATTTTTTAATTTCAATATAACTTTTCATCAGTTGGTGTGCCAAAGAAAAATCTCCAGCAACTATCAAAAGGCAAACACTCATAATAGATTGCCACTCGATAAACAGTAAAGCAAAAAGTGCAAGGGTATTATTTCCGAAATTCCAGCCATGCATTTGTACCATCTTTCCACCTCCAAACTATATTACATACATTACACTTAATGTTGTTCCTCTTGACTAATTCACATAATAGTCCTTCTTTTAATTATGAGTTATTAAAAGCACTCCAAAAGAACTTATCACCATGCCACTGGTTACTAGACAACCTAGCCGTTCACATACATTTTAGCTACATGTTAGTTACAAGAGAAATGAGGTCAGACTGGCTTACATTTCTTTCGTACCAAAGAATTGAACAAAATGTTTCTTCGGATCAGGGGGTTTATCCCAATCTTCTGGCCTGCTTATCTGACGACAAAGAAGCAACAAAATCAGTAACCACAGTATCAATAACTGAAGGTTCAACTACCTTAAGCTGGTAACCATATAGCAATGCAGAAATATCACAGAAAGGGAAGGATAGGAAAATATCTTCAGTACTCCCGGAGAGTACGGAGACTCGGTACATCTTTTACTAAAAAGGGAAAAAAAAATACAATTCATTTTACCTATTCTACCCACTCTTTTATGGTTATGCAATCTAAGTCCCATTTTTTCCCATCTTAAAAGGAGTAGGTACATCAGGAGCATCAAAGATATGCTTGAAGGATAGATCAAATTAATCAAAAATCCTAACAATTTCACAAACTAATCAAATTCTGTACCCGAAGTAAATGCAAAGTACATCAGACATTAATAATGTAAAATCCCTCATCTGTGCAATTTCACAAACTAAGCGACAAAACAAAGGACTTGAAAGCTACGCTTACCCATTAATAATCCAAGTACTAATAACTAGATAATGACGTTACCTAATCAGCAGTGTCACGCAAAAAGATTTGCATCGCAACAGACACATATTCATAGGTGAAAACATCAATAATATTACAGTGTTCAACGAGAAATAAGAAAAAGTTCAATGAACAGAGTCACACCTTGGCAGGCCAAGCTGGGAAGCCCTTGACCTTAGCGAGCACAAGATCGCCGAGACTCAAGTGCCCATTCGCTTTGGCCTTGTTCGCTCCGCGTCGACGAGCAGGAGCCATGACGGCTCGTCGATGCTACAGAATGACTAAAATTGAGAAACGGCGTCGTGAGTAGGGGAAACGGAACAGTCAGAAAACCCTAGAAAATCCCGCGGAACCGCCGCGGTGATCTTCGGCGGGGTTTCACCGGCGAAGAAACGAGATGCGGCTAGCGCGACGGAGAACGAGGGCTGAGCATGAGAAAAGAAGGAAGAGAATCTATGAGTGAGGAAATTGCAGAAAGAGATTGGGGTATTTCAGAGAGAGAGAGAGAGAGGAGAGGAGAGAGAGAGAGAGAGAGAGAGAGAGAGAGAGAGAGAGAATAGTAGATTTTGTGAAGGGTGGCTTTGGGAAGAAGGAGTTTAGGTCCTAATGGGAATTTTGTTTTGATCTTTTTCTTTTTGGTTTTGGCACTGCCAACATTGTTTCAAGCAATCATTTGAAAAATCGTACCACACCAGCGGTTCCGGTAAATTACCCTCTAAATAGGTCTTATTTTTGTGTTTTTATTGATTTAATCTCAAATCATAATATTAAATTATGATTAAAAATAATTCCATTTTAAGTTCTTGTTTATATTTTTTGTTCATATCTTTACAATGAAATTAAGAAATTATTTTTTTGGATTTTAAATTTTTTATGTTCTATAATAAATTAGTGAATTTGATATATTATTTTTTCTTAATTAGGCCTCATGCGTCCTCAATTCCACTTAACTAGTATTATAAAACCTTACAATCCAAATCCATCAGGAGAATACAAACTTTATACGAAATTTTACGGGGATAGGATATTGTGACACACAAATAATGTTACGCACAATGTTACGACTACATCTTAACCGTTGATTTCCGTCAATCAACGGTCATCATTTATTGCGAATTAATAATTAATTAATGAGTTTGATTTAAAAAATAATAACCGTTAATTGGCGGAAATCAACGATTAAGATATGGTCGTAGTAACATTATTTGTGTGTCACAATATCCTATTCCATTTTATTAATATATAAATTACATGGATAATATTTACATTGTATAAAGTCCAAATAAAAAATTACTAGAGTAAAATGGTTGATAAGGACAGAAAAATTACATAAAATGATAACATATAACAAAACGAAAAATAATTATCAACATTATATCATATGTATCTGGATTTTGTGAATTTTTATTAATGCAGTCGTGAATGTCCGATCCATGTTTAAAAATTATGAATTTATGTAAAAACTAAAGGATAAGAATATTTGCAAAACATTTTTGTTTTATTCAAGTATTTGACAATGGGTTCAAATATTCAGAATATTCAATAAAAACTAGTATCCAACACATCATAAACAATTAAACATTAAGGGCTGATTTGGTGGACATGATAGGATAAGAATAAGATATGATATGGAACTGATAAGGATATGACATGATATGGGGATGATAAACCTATATTGTATCATGTGTTTGATGAGCACCTGATTAGCAATATGATAAGATTATGTAGAAGGAGAAAAGAAAAAAAAGAAGAAGAAAATATAATGCAATAAATACAAATATATTGAGTAGTGTGAGAAATATTGGGTAGGTGGAAATTTATTGGGTATTTAATATTGATATCCTATCATATTGAATCCTAACCTAGCTCCCCCCATAGGATAAGAAATCATGCATTGGATAGGATAAAATAAGACAATAGGATAAGTTAATCATATCCTATTGACTTACTAAACAAGAGATAAGAGTAGGATATGATAAGTTATCCTATCCTATAAGGTGCTCCAAACAGGCCCTAATCGATTTTGAATGTGAAAAGATAAAAACCAAGAGATATTCAGTTTTGATTTTGTCTTACAAAATATCTAATACGGACGATATCATCGAATATCTATTATCCAATAACTAACGTCGCACAAATGCAAATACAAATAAATTATTGGAAAAAATATTTCTGCAGTGCAGATAAGTTATCTGCATTTATTCTCAGAACGACGTAATTTTGGTATTGAAATCTTAAAAAATTATAAGTATAAAGACTATTATAACCCTAAAATAAATTCAAATTATAAAAACACTATGATTTCCGCCCCAAAACGACGTCGTATTGGGCTTACTGCAGATAACTTATCTGCAGTAACTGCAGAAAAAGTGAACCCTAAATTATTATAAGAAAAAATATTTTCTCCGCAGATTTCTTAGGATCCCAAAATAATATCATTTTAAGATTTGAAAAAAAAAATTAAAGAACATTTTTAAAAACTTCAATTCTCAATTGCAATATCAAATTTATCAAAATGCCTAGTGTTTTTTTTTTTTTTTCCAAAATGACAATGTTTTATTTTGGAGCTACATAAGATAATTTTACATGGAAGCACAAACGCTAAAGATTATATTTATGAAAGAAGTTCTATTCCCCCCCAAAAAATAAATTATAAAAGAAGTTTCAATCGTTTCTTGCATATTGAATTTATACAAGAAAATACTTTCAAAATTTAAAGTAGTATCTGATAAAAGTATATTGCATTTGGGATGTTTAAGGCATACTTAAATGAGTTTCGTGTAGAAAGATAAATCGACAGCAACTACAAAACACCGAACACAAAATTATCCAGGTACTGATAGGTTTGCATCCCACTCTTATTCAAATATTTAGTTCAAAAATTCAAAAGCTTTTACCAAAAAAAGAGAGAGATAATAAAATAAAATCAAAAGCTGGCGCTTTTGTATGTAATCCTAAGGTTTCCTAGATACAATAATTTATATTCTATCCCAAATCTATTCAATCATCTCTCCCAGCTTCCATAATATTTGTTGCCAAGCTATGGACGTGCAAAATAACCAAATTGTATTTTTCTGAATCAGTTTTAAGAACCAAACTAGTTTTATAAAGTAATTCAAAAAATTGAACGAATCAAAAAAATGGTTTCAAAACCGGTTTACATACCCAAATTGAAACATGAATAGGTTTTGAATGATTCCCAACCTGGTTTTGAACCGGTTCAAGAAGGATAAAACCGACTCAATTAAATAAAACAGTTTGGTTCAAAGAACCACACCAGTTTAAATCAGTTGGATTCAGTTCAGGGGGGAAAAAACAGTTGAGATGACTATGCACACCCTTGGTTGCCACCCGCAAGTCTATCCTGGCACAATAACAAGTTTCGTTTGTTTCATATCCTTAATAGGTTCTTCAAATATCTGTTCGAGATTACCATTATAACATTCTGTTTGGATCCTCTCTCTTTTAAGCTAGAAGCTACTTATAAGTTAAAGCTAAAAAAAAAAACTTTAAACAAAGCTAAAAGCTGTTTAGTAATCACATAAAAATTTTAGTTTAAAAGTTACTTAAGCACATATTTCAAAAAAATTACATTTCTCTCTATCGTTATAACTCTTCATATTAAATAAAAGCACACAGTTCAAGAAAAGAAAATAAGAGCTTAAAAAAAAGCTCTTCGTATAAGCTTTTAACTTTCAGCTTTTTTCTTTATTATAAAAAAAGAGCTTTTCATTATAAGAGTTTTTCCCAAAACCTGTTTGGCCTAACTTATGCTTATAAGTAGCTTCTAGCTTAAAAAAGAGATGATCCAAACAAGCACTAAGTATCACCCTCTGGCACTATTATGGCATTAAAGGGGGTGGAGCAACTTGTATCTCATGTAAGTATGTTCCTTTCATTAATTCAAAACGCTGCGAAAGGCACCAAATTTATGGGAAGACCAGACCAGAATATCCAAACATTTTTTACTCTTCATTTACTTCATGCCCTTCTTATTACTAGTTCCAAATTTATCACCAAAAATAACTGCATTTTCCAACCGCAAAGGTTTTATCAGTTTTCCGCACACTCGGTGTGGTTTTGTATCGGACAGCGAGTGAAGGGCAACTTGTCCCTTGCTTAATTTTAATACAAGTTTAGATCATATAATCATAAGTAGTAGGTTGCAAGAGTCACTATCAAAAACAAGTCCACATTATCAATTTATCATGAATGCATATGATGTCTACCATGACCATAGAATTAAAGGATCTGCTTTGAAAGCACATACAAAGGACACAAAAGCATAAACAGATTATGAGCATGGCGATTAAGGTTTGAACATATTTGATTATCAAACCTTTCTTCTCAATCTCTTATGATGATTCCTAATCATACAATTAATCAATATGCTGAAATTTCATATAAAGAAATGGTGACATAACAGAAAAAAATCAATACACCAAGAGAGCCTCATGTATAAAAACCCCAAAGATATCAAAGTTTTACTTTTCACACACACAAAATAGATCTCAAATATACAACTAGATTCCCTCACCAAAAACAATCATCTGATATTATTGTGGATAATTAGCAACTTCAACAAGATGAGGATACTTAAAAAGTTCAAAATATGTGTGGCAAAAAAAAAATGCCAATAAAACCGAATTGAGGCACAAGACTGAAATTCAATGGTCGGATCTAACAACCGAAACTGACAAACATTATGTCCAAGTGATAAAATTATCTCAACTGCAACTAATAACTAAGATGGCAGACATGGCATTTAAAAACAGCAAGGAATCCTCAAAGAAATCTTACCCTCCAGTTCTAATCCGAACCTTTATCTTTGCCTTCATTACCAACAGCATCAGAAACCAAAGCTATTGGTCTCTGATCAATAACCTCATCAATAATCCCAAACTCCTTTGCCTCTTGGGGAGTCATGAAGTTATCCCTATCCATATTCTTCTGAATAACCTCAACATTTTGGCCCGTATGCTTCGAGTACAACTCATTCAACGAATCCCAAATTCTAACAATCTGCTTGGTATGAATTGCAATATCCTTTGCCTGGCCACTATAACCACCAGAGGGTTGATGAATCATGATTGTTGCATTCGGAAGAGAACGCCTCTCACCCTTTGCACCCGCAGCCAATAGAAGAGAAGCCATGGACGCAGCTTGACCCATACAAATTGTATTGATCGGAGACCGAATATACTGCATAGTATCATAAATTGCAAGGCCTACAAACAACATTGACATCAATCCAAGTCTCAGAAAAGAACGCCATACAATTAAAAATCATAGCTTTTACACATCAAAGATTGGTTTCTGCAGAAAATTTGGGATTTTGATAAATGTGTTCCTCAAAAAATCAGATTTTGAACAAAGATTTGGAATTAGAGAAACATAAAGGAGAATGAAAGGAAAAGGGGTTGGGAACTCACCAGCGGTGACGGCGCCACCGGGGGAGTTAAGGTACATGTGGATGGGCTTGGAAGGGTTTTCGGATTCGAGGAAAAGGAGCTGAGCGACGACGACGTGAGCGGTGTCGTCGGAGATGGGTCCGTTGATGCAAATGATGCGCTCCTTGAGAAGACGAGAGAAGATGTCGTAAGCTCTCTCTCCTCTGGAAGAGTGTTCAATCACCATTGGGATGAGGCTATATGCACGATTGCATTGTGTCAATTCAGTGGTTCTTCTTCCATGGAACAACTTGCTCGCAAACAGTTTCGTGTTCCACACGAGGCCTCTCATGGCTGACTGAGCCTGCCTCACACCACAACGAGATTGGGGATTTTCTGATTAGGGCTTGTCTAAGCAAAATAAAACATCCTCCCTTTTTGTTGAAAATATAAGCAGTATTATGTAGTATTCACCTTTTTGACTAGTCCAATTGTAGTATTCAATCCTTTATGAAATTTGGAAGAAAAAAAATAAAGGAATGTTGGTAGGTGGATTTTTTTTTGAGAATGTGAAGAAAGCAATTCACAAATGATCATATTTTATATTTGGTATGGAGTAGGAAAAATTTGATTAGGAAAAAAAATTTGATAAGGAAATTTTTGTAGTATAAAAATGAAAGAAAATGTGCACTTGGAAATTTCACCTTGATGGTGGTATTTTGATTTTCTTAGCAAACTCAAACTTGTAACAATTTTACACCAAATTTTTTTCAATAATATTTCAACCTACTTAACAACTTTTTTTTAACTTTCTTAGAAAAATTATTTTTCCATCTTTCCCACCATTTTTGTAATAATTATATTTTCCTGGTAAAAAAAAATTTCTTCTCTATCAAACATCTCATGTTCTTGTTATTTTACTGCCTAACTTTCCCTTCTAATATTTAGAGTTGATTTTATTGAGGCACAAGCAAATTAATATATTAGAATTTGATGTCAAATTTTTTAATATTATATTAGTGTAAAAATATTGGGGAAAATAAGTATCATGTTATAGGATAATTATCTTCTCATGCTACAGAGACAATAAATATGGGGTCCACCATTTTTAAAATAAAAAAGAAAAAGAAAAAATGCAACATAAATATCGATGTATGTGTAGAAAACTTTACATTTTTCATGCAACATCACAAATACAAAACCAAAAATATTCTATCGCAAGAAATAATATAACAAATTTTTTTCATGATGCTAATCTTTCTATTGTCACCTAACTTCTACTTTTTAATATATATTTTTAGCAGGAAAAATGTTTCTCCAAGAGGATATAAGGTTATTTTCAATGATTTGATTTTTATCCTTTTAAAAGATATAAGATTACGTTATTTTAAATAAGAGAAAAAAATAAAAATTACGAGGAGAGAAAGTGAGTATTTTTAATTTAAATTTTAAATAAAAAAATATTAATTTATGCCTTTCTCTCACTTAAAATGATAGAACTCTAAATCTTTTAAAAAATAAATATTTTTTTCTATTATCAGTAACGTCAAAATAACGTCATCGTGAAATTTAAAAAAACTAAATCCAAAATATTTTAATAAATAAATATATAATATCAAAAATATGCTCTTTTTATCATAGAAAATAAATTAATTCAAGATAATATTGTTTTGGGATTAAGAGAAAATGATATAAGATTTTTTTTAAAAAAATTCTTATATCACAAATTATACTAAGATATCATGTTTTATTTTTTTTTCAAAAATGACGTGGTCAATATATTATATGAAGAAAAAAATGTCTATCTTTTAAAAGATGCTCTTTTTAGATAAATATAGTGTAGTTTTTTAAATTTTAATTTACAAACTTTTCTCTCCATTTTCTTTCTCCCGTAATTTATTCATTTATCTCTTTTAAAAGAAGGGTTCGCTTTTTCTACAGTTACGAGTACGACAGATAAGTTATCTGTAGTAAGGGCTCGTTTGTATTGCCTTTTCAAGAAATGTCTTTTTATCACTTCCTTATTTTAAAAGTACTTTATATAAAAGTTACAGCTATTTAGATTTTTTAAAAATATATTTGATTTTTGAAAAATATATTTGGCTTTTGACTTCTGCTTTTTTTAAAAGCTAAAATTTTTAGCTTTCAAAAAAAGTAGGTTTTTGACTTTTTTTATGACTTCTGCTTTTTTAGAAGCAGGCATCCAAACAGACTTTTTTTTAGAAGTGTTTTTTTTTTTTTCTTAAAAAAAGCAGCTTTTGAAGAAGAAAAAAGCCCATCCAAACGGGTTCATGGTATTTTTATAATTTTAATTTATTTCAGAGTTATAATAGCCTTTATATTTAAATATTTTTAAGATTTCAATACTAAAACGACGTCGTTTTAGGAATAAATGCAGATAACTTATATGTATTAACTGTAGAAACATTTTTTTCTTAAAAGAATATAAGTATGTATCATTTAAGAGGATACATATTTTTTTGGGTTTGCTTTTTCTGCAGTTACTGCAGATAAGATGCAGTAAGCCCAATATGACGTTGTTTTGGGACGAAAATTATGGTATTTTTATAATATTAATTTATTTCAGGATTATAATAGTCTTTATATTTATAATTTTTAAAAATTTCAATATCAAAACGACGTCGTTTTGGAAATAAATGAAGATAACTTGTCTGTATTAACTGCAGCAACATTTTTCCTTATTTTTTTTAATATTATTAAATGTTATTTTTATATTATTGTGACCTATTCATTTATTTATTTTTTATTATCAGGGTAAAGGATTTTTTCGAGATAAGTTATCTCTCGTGAGCCCAAAATAATATCGTTTTAGGACATAATTTAAAGTATTTTTATAATTTTAATATATTACAAAGTTATATTAATTTTTATTATTATAATATTTTAATCTTAGGATCCAAAACGACATATTTTGAGTTCAATGTTTGACTTGTGTGGAAAGAGTAGTCCTGGACTTCTAGTGCAGAGGTGGTTGGAGAGAGAGAGAGAATGGGGAAGAAAGAAGAGAGAGTGAGAAAGGCAGAGGCAATGGTGGAGAAAGCAATGAAAGGGAACGATGCTTCACACGATGCAGCGCATGTTTGGAGGGTTCGTGACCTTGCTCTTTCCCTTGCCCAAGAGGAAGAAGCCCTCTCTTCTGATCCAAACTCCTTGGAAATAGTAACTAACTAACCCTAACCCTAACTTCCTACTCCTAATTAATCATTCTCATTTTTACCATCATTGTTCTCATCCTTTCATTTTAGGTTGAGCTTGCTGCACTGCTCCATGATATAGGTGATGGATGAACTTTATTTTTTACATTTCTTACCTCTTTGCCTCATAATTTCAAGCATGTAACACGCAGAATAGTCTATTTTTCTTAATATCAAATTCTAGTCTGCTAATAATTTTACTTTTTTTTTTTCATAACTGCAGGTGACTACAAATACCTGAGGTTAGTAAGCATCAATTCCCTTAAAATTGTTGATAATGCCCGTATCTTGTTTGCATCATTTTTATTTATTTATTTTTATTTTCTTAACACATTTTTTTTCATTTTGTTCTACTTTATTTCCTTTTCCTCATATGAGCTAAATACTTTGTCATCTAGGGATCCATCTGATGAAAAAATTGTTGAGAATTTTCTCGAGGAAGAGGGAGTTGAGGAGAACAACAAGTCAAAGATTTTGAAGATCATCAAAGGAATGGGTGAGTTAGTGGAACACTAAGTTTTTTTTGACTCGACAGTGTTGTTGTTACTTTTTGTTTTTCACTAATTAAAGTTAATTCAATTTCAAGCAATAACCGAGCAGATAAGATCATCTTTAATTTTGATGCATGATCTCAGGGGGAGATAAAATAATCTGTTGGGATTTCTTAGCTACTCTTTTTTAATTTTTGATATTTTCCTTTATTTTCAATGCTTTGATTGTAAGAAGTTGCCCATGACAGTTTGTTGAGTAATTCTTTTAAGACAAAGAATCAAATGGTAGAAATATTTGGGCAACATAATATGTTAACTGTTAAATTGGCTTTTAAGGGAAAGAGCAATATTTATGAGTTATGTATGACACATGAAGATATGTTACATTTTTTGATAATCCAGGTTCCAAGAAACTCTATTTAGAGGCTTTTAGACATGCATAAATAACTAACTTTCAAGAGCGTTTGAGACACTTAATTTAATGGGATTGTCATTGTCCAAAAATTCTAACTCGTAAGAGTTTGAATATGTCTACCCCTAAACTGCATGCTATTTATTTCATTTAACTAGTTGTGAATTTCATAATTCATACATCATTGAATACAGATAGCAGCTAAGGATTAGCATAAGCTTTTCAGACTGGACAAGTCCATCTAAGCCTAACAACTTAATCTCAGTCAAAATTGGTTGGACTAATGCTGTAAAATAGAATAGTTTGGTTATTTATTTCATAGTTCTCTGGTTGCTTCTGTCAGCTTGATTTTACTAAATATAAATCTGACTGACCATAAAATCTATTACTTTTAGTATAGCCCATGGTCCATGCTAGCTGCAAAACTCCATTTGATAAAGGAATCGTCCCCATGTATTTATTAGTCTCTCTTCTTTTCTCATGAACACCAGGCTCTAGGAGCATCTCACAAATATACAACGGTTTTTATGTATCCTGGATTTTATTTGGAAAATGTGCTTTATCCCTGATGATGATAGTTCCTGCACTTCTTCTCATGATCTATTGTATATTTTTGAAATACTAGTAGTAAGTGTAGAATTTCTTTTATAAGTTGGCGCCTCTTGAAGTTTCTTGGGTGTTCTTTACAATAACTTGTTTCTGCCACTTTGCGTGTTACTTTTCCATGCTTATTTATTAGAAAATACTTAGTTTAGATTTGTTTCCAATATTCAGGTTTCAAAGAGGAGGTAGCAGGAAGTGGAAATAGTGAGTGGTTTCCAGAATTTGGAGTTGTGCAAGATGCTGATCGACTTGATGCTATCGGTGCTATAGGTACTTTGTGGAATTAAGTGTGTTGCAGCTATTCAAAGGAGGGGAGAGGAATATTTAAAAGGCTACTCGAATATGTTGTACTTAAATTCTAAAGCTGGTGCTGTAACTGGTGTATTAAGCATAAATGGGAAGCCTCTTACTCTGTCCCTTCAATATCTCAGGAATTGCACGTTGCTTCACCTTTGGTGGGAGTAGGAAGAGGGCGCTGCATGATCCTGCCATTCCACCACGATCTGATTTATCCAAGGAACAATACATGAACAAAGAGGAGCAAACTACTATTAATCATTTTCATGAGAAGCTTCTCAAGCTCAAAGATATGATGAAAACCAAGGTAAAGCTGTATTATGATTTTTGCTGACCTTATCAAATTTTCACTCTTACCTAAGCGTGCATATTTCCATGTTGCAAAATTTGTCTGCTGCATACTTGAACTACATGCATTTTTGTGTTAAGTCTGTCAAGGAGTTTGAGTGTAGGGTACCTATTTCAGGCTGGGCAGAGGAGGGCTGAGAGAAGGCATAAGTTCATGGAAGAGTTTGTGAAAGAGTTCTATGACGAATGGAATGGTTTAAGCTAAATAGAGCGTCAGTAATCCTTTCATGCTTCATGCTGCAATTATGATTACCTCCTTCGGGGCCGTGTCCTTGGTTATGTATACCCAGGATCATTCTCTTCAGTGTTTGTTTTGCTGATAAATTACATTATAAATGTGAGCATTTGTGCCTATTATCACTATTGACGTTCCAAGCTTCTTTTATCCTTTTGAACCAAAACTGCTCTGTTTGACAGGGGGCTGATCAATATTGTGCAATTGCATTTTATGGATGCAAAGATGTAGTACTGATGGATTTCATGTATGATAACTTACTTAGTAAAACCCAGTGTACAACTATAGTTCCCCTGAATAACATGTCTAAATGAAACAAGACATAATGTGGCGCAAATTTGTAATGATGGATTATATTATATGTTGTCAATATACTATAAAACAAGTGATAAAATGTTGAATTCCTCAAACTTTGTCCTTTTGAAACTTAGGCAAATAATTTTGATCTTAATTTAGTTTGATTAAAAAGTTATACTAATTTGGGTTTTTAGAAATAGTATTAATTTAGTTCTTTAATTTATGAAAAATATTTGGTCTTTTAATCATCTATAATTGAAAATAATTTGCTCTTTTAATCATAAAAAATAATTTTAATTTTGCAATTTATGCATATAAGGATGATTTTATATCATTTTTCATTATTTGAGGAATTAAATTAATATTAAATTTTTTTAAAACATTAACTAGGGCAATGGTACTTATATTTTTGAAAAGAAGTTTATTTTTTTTTTTAAAAAGGGCACAAAAGTCAAGATAGACGCTTGCTTGGTAGTGTAAAGAATAACTTTTTTTATCCAATTCAATTTAATTTGGTTTGAGCACTCTTAAATTCATATTAGGGAGGCTCTTCACTATTTTTTTTTCATTGAACTTGAATTCAAAATTTCTGGTTAAGGAGAATAAATTCATTTCCACCTAAACTAATGATTGTTAGTAGCGTGAAGAATAATTTCTACTGTAAAAGAAAGGCTGCATTGGAACCCTAGCTTTGATTGATGGAAATTCTTCGTCCTTAAACTTTAGATGCTTGCTCTCTTTTCCTATGGTCATGCTAGGACATTGACTAGCATTCCATGAATTGCGCTTGAGTTAGTGTGACCTCCATAATTTTTTTTTTTGGTTACATGTGATCTTCACAATTACTTGAAAGTAAAGAGGTGAGAATTTATTATTTCGTACCATGAAATGGACTAAGAATCTGTGGCCAAGTTGTGTTGCCATATATAAGCAATCAATCAAGTGGTTCTAGTTTATGTTCAAAAGCCTATGTTTTGAATCTTAATGGTCATGACTTTTTAGTAGTGATGATAAATAATTCTAAGATTACATCATTGGCATAGATGGGATTCAGCTATTCCTGCAACATGCTTACCTAAAGTCGTATTTGATAGAGGAATTTTTTTTTAAGTAAATATAATTACTAGAAAAATTGTGGAAAAATAAATTTGCTGGTAAAGTTAAAAAAAATTATTTGGTTGGATGAAATATTACTGATAAAATTGATTAAAATTTTGTAAGTCCATATTTGATTGAGGGTAAAATATTAATTGAAAAGTGATATAAAATGACAAAAATAACTATTTTTAAATTTTAAAAATTGATAAAAGTAACCTTAGCAGAGATGTGCAATATGATGAGGTTAGGTTAAAAAAGGAATATCAGTCACGTCTTTCGTTTTCTTTTATCAATTTACCCAATCATCTTACAATATCACATTGTAAGTGGCATTTTTCATTTGTGTTTATCGTCTGTTTTTCCTCACAATTGATAAAGGATGGTCAAATAAATTTGCTTGTTAAATTTTTAAAAACCATGAACCAAAATAGTTATGACTAGCTATCTCACAGGAATACCCAAACCAAATGCTTATCTAAAAAAATTACTTTTTAACTTTTGTATCCATAAAAGAAACTACTAGATGAAATTACTCAACTAGTCCCGAGGGACGAGGGGTTTCCTTGAAAAGAGATGACTATCCCAAGTGGACATTTAAATCTTATCTGAATGTCTTCACCTAGTTGAACCAAATAGTATGAACTTACCATTAGGGATGTGCATGAGTCGAATAGAACTGGATTTTTTGAAAAATCGAACCGAATTGGTTTAAATGTTCGGTTCGAAAGTGGTTCGGTTCGGTTCAAAACTGGTTCGGTTCGGAAGCGATTCGGTTCGATTCGGAACCGGTTTGGGTCGACCCTCTTTTGAAAAGAAAAAAATAAAAATTTAAAAAATAAAGTTATAAAAATTAATTTAATTCGGTTTGAAAATGGTTCGGTTCGGTTCGGAAACGGTTCGGTTCTTAAATCGGTTCTAAAAACCGGTTCGGTTCATGAACTGATTTTTTAAAAATCGGTTCGGTTCATGAACTGGTTTTTAAAATCGGTTATTTTATGGAGCGGTTCGGTTCGGTTCGGTTCATGGTTCGACTCAATTTTTTGGTTATTTTGCATACCCCTACTTAACACAACTAGGGCACAATCTTTTTAATTAAACCTTAACATAATAATATTACGTTATAATTAGAACTATAATTTCTTTAGCACTAAAATATGAAATTTAAATTATCTCAGCAATTTGGGTACTGGCCATTCATGCATATTTTTGTGAAAAACATTTCAACCCCATACAGGTGGGGGAATCATAATCGGGATTAGGTTTAGGGTATTTTCTGATTTTATAATTAGACTGATTATATTTGAATAAGCACATCTATAGTTTTCTTATCTATTAAAACGAATAATGCTGCACAAACTTGACAGAAATTAATTAAATTTTGTTTTAAATCAAGTGATTTTTGAATAAATCAAGTGATAGGAAGTTGGGAATCATTCATTCGTTAAAGAGAATATAATAAAATTAATTCATAAGGACAAAAATTCTAGTTATCTAATCTACACAAGGTCCTGAAAGGAAATAAAGTTTATACTTTATAGGCAATCCCATTCTCAAATATCCAATTAACAGCACAATGCCACAATCAACAGACAACATGAGCTCCATTATTTAGGTTCAGCTTCCAAGGACCAAATTGAACCCTACTTCTTCTTCATTATGTACTTACAAACATCTCAAATAATGACCTTCATTTTCCAAATAAGAAACACAAACTAAATAAAAAATATTTAGATTAACCATCATTATTAATTCATTTTAACCAATCTTCCAAGTATTTTTGAATTTCTGCTGCATCCCTTTTGTAGAGGTTAACTTTGATTCCATGCTTCATGTACATAGTTAAAGCAAGCTTTGGCACTACATGGTGATTCTCCACCACCTTAACATGGTAACGGTATATGATGCTGGCCGCAGCATATTTCATCTGATAGTATGCAAATTCTTTGCCTAAGCACAAGCGAGGTCCACCATTGAATGCAGTGAATTTGTATGCAGACTCACTCATGAAACGATCATCTCTTAACCATCTTTCTGGCCTAAACTCCTTGCAGTCTTTCCCCCATATGCTTTCCATTCTTCCCATTGCATAAATTGCATAGATCACTTTTGTACCCTTCTTTAGCACTGTTCCATCTGGGAAAGTCTCATCTTCAACTACCTGAAAAATCATAGTTGAACATCTTTCAATAGTTGCATCCATGCAACCTCGAGTCCCTAGCTAGCAGCATTCAATATGACTTTGAATTTTGTGATTTTTTAATTTTTTTTTTTTTTTTTTTTTACTATTTAACCATGTGGGTGTTTGGCAGATTTGCTAGATTCATCTTTTCCAATAAAATTTGACCTTACTCTCTAGGAACTCTAGGTCAAACTCGAGTCATAAGTCTACTTGCAGATATTCAACAACTTGGAATTTTCCCTTTATTTACGAATAGTTTATCATTGTTGGTCACCTGTGCCTAATTTTTATGAGAGTCTTGCCAAAGAGTTATGATTGTTAGGTAAACAAAAGGTTGACCAAATAGTACATACTTATAGCTCTGCATAGAATTCGGTTTGGAGAATTTAATGAAAACTCTTGTCAATTGATTGGAGAGAGAGAATCAATATATTTGTAATTTAAGACAATGAACATGCAGTGAAGAGAAGAAATTCAATTAAAAAAAAGGACAAAAAATATATATATCTTCAATTGACTCTCTGTGATATTAGGGGTGTTCGCGGTCTGGATTGGATCGGTTTTGGAAGTAAAAATCATCTGATTCAATCCCTTCGGTTTGATCATGTAATCATCCATTCGATTTGAATTTTTTTCGAATCCAATCTCATCTCATCCAATATTTTTCGGTTTGGATTGGATCGATTTTCGGTTTTTTGAAAATCCTAAAATTTGTTTCATAATTATTGTGCAAATAACATCTTTTGTATATATTGGCTTTGTACATTTTTTTTTTAAATACAAAAGCATCAGTAAATGATAATATAATTTTTTTTTTGGCAATAAGATAAGAAGCTCTACACAGATGAAATTTTTGTTGATGAGATGTGATTAGATTTTTTCTTGGGTTTAGTTGATGGGTTAATGAGTCTTGGTTTTAGAAATTTTTCGGCTATGATTGAGGAAAACTCAAGTAGGTAGAGGGGAATTAATATATTGGATCAGTTTAGATTGGATCGGTTTTCATTAACCAATCTGAAAACCGATCCAATCTAATTAAAATTTGCGGTTTTTTTTTTTCAGTTTTCGATTTTTCGGTTTTCGGTTTATTCGGTTATCGATTTTTCGGTTCGGTCACCACGGTTTGAATCGGTTTGGATCGGTTGACGAAGGCTACTGGTATATAGATTAATAACCAAAATGGAATTATAGTAAAGCACATATAGATTAGATTAGAATGGAAAAGGAACGAGTGTGACAAAAATTAATCAGTTACCTCCTTGTGATCCACAGGCACAGAAGGGTATAATCTGAGAGCTTCAGACAAAGCAGCATGCAAATAATCCATCTTTTTAATCTCCTCGGGCTTAAATGTCAAAGAATTATCAAATTCTTCCTTCTTTATGTCTTTCCTCTGCCTCACTACCCTGCATATCTCTGCTACTATCTTGTCCTCCACTGCAGGATTCTGATCAAGCAACCAGAAAAACCAGCTCAAAGCTACTGAAGAAGTGTCCCTCCCTGCTAATATGAAGTTCACACATATATCCCTCAAGAACTTATCTGAATATGGTTTTGCACTCTCATCCTTCAGCCTCATAAACACTGTTAACAAATCTGACATTTGCTCCTTATCCTCACATTCCAAAGAGAGTTCCTTCTTTCTTGTCCGAATAACATTCTCAGCAAACTCATCAACTCCTTTTATTGATTCCTTTAACTTTCTTTCCATCCCCAAGTTGAGTAACCTCATGGCCTTCCATATACATGTTGGGGTAACAAAACGAAGCAATGTGGCTTCTGTTGCATCCTCAAAGGCTTTTGCAAATGGTATATCAGGCAATCCCAAGCGCAAACAACCTGGATCAACACCAAATGCTATCATGCATACATTATCAAAAGTTAGCCTTAAGAGAATGTCTTGAAGGTCTATGGCAACAGATTTCTCAACCGATTCCTCTAAGACAAGTAAGAGCCTAGAGTGGACAAGCTCAAATAAGGATTGTGTTGTTAATTGCCTGAACTTTGTTGAATGAAACTCAATGCTTGCTGTCTTCCTTTGCTTTTGCCATGTCTCATCATCTGCATTGAATATACCATCACCAAGTAGGTCTCTAACTGTGTTCCTGAAGTAACTTCCTTTAGGGAAGTGAGGGAACTTGGTTTTGAGAAGATGCTCAAGGTTGCGAGGATCAGAGGTGACAATGCAGTTGAGGCTGCTAAACCAAGGCCCTTTGAATCTAAAGGTTCCATTTTGCCTTTTGAGCACATCAGAGATCCATTCATACATGTTGGTTCTGAGTCCTGTGACCAAAGAAGGTAACATTCCAAGGACAGGCCAAACTGGCAAGCCATGATGCTTCTTTTGCCTAAGAGAATGAATGATTATGAAGACAATAACTGCAATGAAAACCTCAAAAATTTGTATGTCTTTGAGTAGGAAGAGGCTAAGTGAAAAGAAGTTTCCGGTGGCAGGTTGGTCGGAGGTGAGGTTGAGATTGAGATTGCTTGGTTTGGTCATGGTGTTGGGATGATAAGGAATGTGGAAATGCATGGACTCGGTTAGTTTGAAGGGTTTAATGTTGATGTTGGTGTTGGTGTTGGTCATGTATGTTATATGGAGTTGTGCCTTGTGTGTTTCTTGTCGTGCTTGATTTTACACAAGCAGTTTGATTTGGTGATCTGAAATGTTTGCCAATTGGGTCTTTCCTTTAATGATTAACTTTTTACACTATTTTTAACTTCAACTATATATGTATGAGTAATGGTTCACTTAGAAATTATGGGAATAGGGAAAGTAAATTATGCTACAAAGTTTGAGTGTCAAATAGGACTTACTAAAAGAGGTGATACCTTTTTTTGTAGCACGTATGTCCAAGGAGGATGAGAAGTGGGTGCGATGGATAACCTAAGTGAGAATTTGTTTGTACAGTTTTGATGTTATAAGTTTCTTTATGATTATGAGCATTATTATTCATTACTAACTAGTTGTTCCTTTTTACTTATATTATATTGGAATGAATATTAATGGCAATTTCTTATTGACCCTTTTTAACTGTAATACTCGGCAACATGATCCTCCTCTTCATGCTTAATTTATGTGACTACACTTGGCAAACACTCACGAGGAGACGCGCTCAACCAACTCAACGAGCGAGAAATTTGGTGTCCACGTACGGATGATTATTTTTGTTTTTGTAATAAGGATAATTGTTTTTATTTTATCATGTTTGTAACTTGGGCAAAATAAATACGACGGTCCTTCTCAACGGCCTTAACTAACGTTGCCGTATAATTTTACATGACTATGATAAAATAAATAAATAAATTCAAAAGTTTAAGTTATTAGATAAGTTACATTGATACTTTTATATTTTTATTGACATGACACTTCGCATAATAGTTTATTGGACATTTTTTTTCTCCAGGTATCCTCCAACTAACAGCTGACATCTAACTAACAGCTGACAGTCGAAAACTTATTCTTTGAGGCGAAAGATCATATTAAGCGGGTAAATTTTTTCCAACAAAACTTTTTCCATACACATGGCTAGGCATAGAATCTCTGTCAGTATGTTTAAGGAACTCAGCTATCTACCAACTGTATACTGAGCTTTGTTAGTTTTTTAAAATAATGAAACCAAGAAAGATTATGTGAAAAATCTAATTCAACACAAAAATTTAAATTATTCAATGAAGTTAACAGGAAAGGAAAAAAATTCATGTTAACCCATGAATAAATGTGCTAGTATTTCTTTTGATTTTTATTTTTTTCTTACAGTGGAGCCCAGTCTATCCCAAAAAAAAATTCTTGGCATGTAATAGGATGAATGTATTCCCTTTTTTTATAAATAATATGTGTGAATGTGAGTTCTGGTGCTTGAATTTCTCTTTGGTTGAAAATGGGTATGTGAAAGAACAATTTTTTCCCCCTCTCTATTATATTGCCTGCTAAACGTACATTTGTGGGCTGTTTCTGAATTTGGTTGCGACGTTTAATCAAAGAGTTTACTTAACTTGGTTGCACTTGTAATTGTGGGTACAATATTGCTTAATAAAGAAGCAAATTAAGGAAGTTAATGCAAGAATTCCAATTTTCCTCTGCGATTAATTAAGAACAGAGTAATTAGCTATGGACACGTAAAACAATTATAAAAGAACAAGATACCTTTAGTTAGTACCATTGCACAAAGTTGTTGATGGTTAGTCTAAAAGAATGTTTGACACAAACTTGAATTTGTGGTTTAGATTTAATTGTAGTTCTAGGAATATTGAAATCCGATGATAGGCAAATAGGTAGGAAGGAATGTAGATGAGGCCTAGAGCCTAATGCTCACCTAATACACCCCGCAGACATTTAAGCAGACTTTGAAATTGGGATTAAATACAAATAAAATATTAGCTGTGCTTGATATAATTATGATTATTAATTATCAGACATTTGAGAAATTCTTCAGTTATGTTAGAACAAGAAAATTTAAGTCTTAGAATTATTATTACTTTTGGTAATTGATCCTAATTATCTCTTTGAAGCAAATCAGAACCTCCCGGTATTCTCACGGGTTCGACTCTTTGAGTCGCCTATTGGACTAATCCAGAGTTCGTGTGCAAGTCCAAGGATTACGGTACTTATGCCCCTCCCCAGATGATGTTGGTGGGATTCGAACCGAGGTCTTCTCTTATCCCTCAGTCCCCATACTACCAACTGAGCCACCACACTTGGATAGTCATTAAAATTATTTTAGTAGTGAGAGGTTTGAGTAATTCATATGATGTTATAAATTCGAATTCATTATTATATAAAATAAAATGAAAAAGAATTTTTTTTTTCAATTTTTTCCGTTTACGGTTGATTATTTATTACCAAATTTATGTGGGTTAATATTATCTTCCACTTTAATCATATATTTCATGTTACAACTCGTGTTATACATTTATTGGTACACACTACACAACAAAAGAAATTATTTTAAATAGGGAAATATTATGTTACCCATAAAGTATTGTATATAAGGTGAGTTGTTAAATATTTATTAATTTATAATTTTGTCATAAATATTTGACAAGTCATCTTAGATATTATTACCTTTAAAAAAAATGAATGCAATCTCCTAAATAAATATAGTTAATGTAATTTTTAAGATTTAACCGAATCTTATGTCATCAAACTTTAATTTATATTATTGTAAAATATATTCTTCTAATTTAATCACTTTTTTTCGTGAAGAACCAATTTAAACACATTCTAGTTATTCTTAAAATGTTAATGTAATGCTTACCAAAAAAAAATTGTTAATGTAATAATTGATTACTAGTAAAGAAAACACTTAGGAAAATTTATTTTTTATGTTATATGAAACAAAATTATTTCATGCACACACATAAAACGGGTGAATCCACTTTTTTATATATTGCATGCAAGGTTTATAAAATCAAATTTTTACCCAAAAATGAAAGGAGAATAAAAAATCAAAAAATGAAAAATCATAATAAAAAAGGTAAAAAACATAAAAACAAAAGGAATGTTACAAAACGTTTTGGTGAAAAAAAATCATAAAAACGCCAATTTTAAGTTTTAAAGCGAGTTTTTAACTACTTGATTGCATGAGATAATATTTCCCAAATACTAAATATGAATTGAAAGTGCTGTAGTTTAATATAATTTATAGTTTTAAATATAAATTCAGTTTGTTGCACTTATTTCTAGACATGCTATTGGTAGCCCATTTATATTGAAATGGGTCCAGACTACACAAGAAAATATATTGGGTTCTTTGGCCCAAAACCTATTGCAATGTGAAATAACCGGATCATCCTAGGCGATTTAATTTGACTTGTATGAACTCAAACGAAAATGATAGAATAAATTTGGAAAAAGGAGATGTTACATAAATTCGAATGTTAGAAATATATCCACTCACTATTGGGTATTTACTATTTGATAATATGATGTAAAATTTTCAGTACAAAACTCGTATGAAATTCCTTCAGAAAAGGGAATCGGGGTATTTTTTGTCATACTTCAAGGCCACAAATTAACTCATATAGTCATGAAAATGACCAGAGTATTTTGTACGTGACACCCAAATTTAATGACCTTAACCTCTCTCGGCCACGGAATTTTTTAACGTGCTAGCACAAACACTATTTATAGTTCTTTATTCTTTTTGAAAAAATATTTGACTCTTGAATCCTTCACTTTTTAATAATTTTTCTCTCAATTTTTTTATCCCTTTTATTTTTGGGAGGAACCAAAATGATTCAGAACTATCAAATAAGATTTCTTCGATCACATAACTTGAATAGCGTTTCATTTTTTAGAGGGACCATAATGATCCAGAACCATCGAATAAGACCTCTTCAATCACACAACCTGAGTAGCGAAATAATTTAATTATGATAGAGAGTAATATGATATTGATGGAAATATAAGAAAAAATAAATACAAACATGGCGAGAACAATTTTTTTTAAAACACGAGAATAATTTAATTACTCTAATATTACATATATTGGCACAAAGGCCGAGAAAGAAATGGAAAGGATGAAAAACAAAAAATTTGGATTAACAGAAAAATTTCACCATTTAATGTTTTCTTTTCTCCCTTATACGGATGAGATGAGTCCAACTCTAGCTTTAGACCTTATTAGTTATTGAAATAACTTGATTATACTTTGGTCTGTTCTTTTTTTTTTTTACAAAACTAAGTAGGTTCACTTTTTTATTACTTCTTTGATTTATCTCTTTTATTTATTTATTTATTTATTTATTTATTTAAGTTGACTAGAGTTTGGTCTGTTTCTAATCAAACTATTATCGTGACTACAACCTCTTGGTCTCGGTCTTCGTCTCAGTCTTCGCCTTAACCTTCAACTTTAAATGCCAGTGGGGCCTGCTCAAAAGGGAGAGAGGAACAAATTATGGCAAGAAATTCAAGGTTAATATATTAATTTATATTCTTAACTTTCTCACTATGATCTCTTTCTCATTGGGTTCCCTATACATTAATCTCAACATCCTCTCGTGATATTAAATTATTAATTCAACTCACTCCCATCTATCACATTTGGGAGTATAACTCTGAAGAGTCATGGGAGTAGATATTCTTTTATTAAAAATAGAAATAAAAATGAAATTCGTGTGACATTAACCATAAAAAATAGATAGAATAAGTAAAATTAAAAGTTTTTTTTTAAATTTTTTTTTTTATAGCAAATGATGTATTGATTTTTCAGTATTATGGGAATATTGAAAATATTTTTCACATTTGGCCCTGTCTTCCTTTAGAAAATCCTAGTTAAATTTATTAGTTGGATATTATATAGAGTAAGTACAATCTTAAATATTTAAATTTTGGTGCTAAAATTACTTTTCGCAAATTATTAAAAAAATAAACTATTGCTCACTCTCTCTTTCTTTCTTTTTTTTCTTTTTTTATAAATCACGTGTATTTTTCATAGGAGGCAATCCTATTTGGGGCTGGTCCAGAATTAAGATTTTTTCCCTCTTTAAGTATGAGTAATTTGTTAAAAAAAATTGGATTACAAGTCAGATGGAATTCATTTGAATTTGTAATCTATGTTGCATCGACATTGATACGTGACATGGAACACGATAAGACACCACATATTAATTTTAAAAAATATTAGATTTCGATACATTAGGATATATTTTGATATTAAATAGTATTTTTAATTTATGTAGTATATAGTATATTTAATATTTATTATTCAATAATTTAATAAACAAATAAAACTAAACTTATATTATCTATCAATTTTGTAAAGAAACGTAAGATGTAAATATTTACTATTGTATTTTCAAATTGAAAATCACTTATACATTCCAGTGAGATTTATTCATGTTTATTTTTAATTTTTATAATATTAGTTTGATAAAACATCAATTAATTTTTTTCATAATATGTAATGAAATTTTAAACACTATAAATGTGAGAGTGTAAAGAGTGTTGTGATGTTAAATGATGTCGCACATTATACTTTAGATTTTTTGAAATATCGTTGCTATGTAATTTCTTTTTTTTAAATATTTCATCGGTTCATCGCTTCGCGATTAGTCCGATTCGGGGCGGGTCTAGAATTAAGGCTTTAAATCCCTCCCAAAGGTGGTACTGGAGAGATTCGAACACATGCCCTAACCCCTACCTGCTCAGCTCCCATGCGCCAACTGAGCTACCAGTATTTGGTTTGGTATGTAACTTCTAAGTATAAAGATTTGCCTCCCCCCAACCCAATAATTTACCTTTTAACTTTCTTATTGACCATGTGAGTCCCCATTTTCCACAATGGGGTTCATTTATAGGCTAATAGCTCTCACCCTTTTGTTCGGAGTATCCAATAAAGCTATATACTCACCCAAAATCTCTCTTTTGTGACTAGTAACTCAACTCAACTCCAATCCAATCCAATACAATGTCCATTTTCTGGAACTTACTCTTTTACTGCCTCCTCACCACAGTTTCCACGGGAAGAGAATATTCCGGCAAAGAGACACCGCAGCAGGAGGCTGATAGAGTGAAGAACTTGCCCGGACAACCACCTGTGAAATTCAGACACTACGCTGGTTATGTGAAGCTAAGACCGCATGAAGAGAAGGCACTGTTCTACTGGTTCTTTGAAGCTCAAGAAGCACCCTCTCAAAAGCCTCTTTTGCTTTGGCTTAACGGAGGTATGCACCATCCCATGCATTAACCATACTCTCTTCTTATCATAGTTTTCTTTATTTCAAGATCTTTGAGTGCAATATTTACAATACTTTGGAATTTTAATATAAATATTATAATATTTATCTACACACCACACAACACAACCCACAAAGTTCCATACATCTTTCTTGCCGTGCAACTTTAGCTATGATTCTTTCAGTCGTTGGATTCTTTTGTCTGGTAAGACTTGTTTTCTTAAAAAACAACTCAGGCGGACAAATAATTTTTAGAGTAAATAATTTTTTTATCCTCAGCAAAAATTTCACGATGCCCGTTTTAGTCTTTAGCAAATAAAAAAGTTCATTGTGATTCTTAAAAAATTTAAAATAGACCCATTTTAATCCTTTTGAAGAATTAATATAAATCTTTTTTAAATTTGTGAGGAAACATAATTTTAACTAAATAAATCTATTTTGAATTTCTTAAGAATTGATGAATCTTTTTATTTATTAGGAACTAAAACAGGTTTCGTAAAATTTAACGATAACTTTTAAGAAAAAATTGCAGCTTTTGATTTTAATCTGAAAGGTAAGAAATCTATGATGAAGAGTACTTTTGTACAGAGTAGTTTCTGATTCACTGTTACCAATGTTCCCAAAGCCCAAAGTACATTAATTTGTCCACAGATTGTAACGGACTCAGTGACAATGTCATGGAAATTTTAACGCCAAGATCCACTCCCCAATCTCATACAGATATTGTCATTGTTTCAATTTTCAAAGCAGAGAGAGAATATTCCCAGCTGCTATTTTAACCGGAGAAGGTTTTTATATGGTTACCTGTTTGGTACAGGATAAATTTTTATTTGTTCAGAAATTTTTATTTGTTCAAAAATTTTGAATTTTAAAAATATGATTTTTATATTCAGTTTATGATAATATCTGAAAATTTAAAATTTAAAAAAATTTAGTTTTCCGAAAATCTTACAAAATGCCGCGTACCAAACAGCCCCTAGTTTTCTCACGTAATAGCAGATAATAATGACTCATTTGTGTAGGTGGGGTCCATTTCAGGGAAGAGAAAAAAAAAAGTAAAATGAATTTATTTTGAATTTATGTGTGTAAGAAATACATTCTAGCTCTATGTAACATAAGAATAATAAATCTTTTTTTATATATTAGTACTTAGTATAAGAAACTCTAGGATTGAGGTAGATACGTATACTAGGATAATTTGTACGAGGTCATAAATTCATAATCGTTATATAAAAATAAAATACACATGGGAAAATAATTATTTAAACGAGGGAAAGGAAGGAATCTATGGAAGATTGACCAAAGTGTCACTCTTTGAATTTTTTTTTACCTAAATGTCATGCGAATAATATTTTTTATCAGACTACTACGTGATATAATTCGTTACGACTGGTAGCGAATTATGTTCGCTAACGATTTCGTGACACGACATATTTTCGCAGAAAAAAGCTGACTGGACGTAATTCGCTATTAGTGATAGCGAATTTGGTATGCAATGTGGTCACGAAATCATTGACAAACGTAATTCGCTACCAGTCGTAGCAAATTACGTTACGTGACAATATGATAAAAAGTACTATTTACGTGGTATTTGAATAAAAAATTTGTCAAACAGTAATACTTTGATCACTGTATCGGAATCTATAGTGTGTGTGATTATCAATTAGAAAACTATGGTTGCACATATTTTTTTCCCACTTTTCTTTACACCACTCTTATTTAAAAAACAAATAAAAAACAGAGAAGTATGATAGAATATTCATTTTTTATTTTATTATTTTGATATAGTAAAGCACAAGTAATATAAGAATCATAATATAATTAAGGAGAATAGTGTATAAATAAAAATATCACTATTGTTATCATTAGTCAAGAAGAACCAGTTTACACGAAACTAGGCGAGGTCCCTTTTTTCCTAGGTGAGTATTTGTCCACGATTCAATCAGAGGTTTTGTCAAGGCATATGAGTATCACAAGTTAACAGTTTGCTTTGGCCGTTTTGAACGATGCATGTACTTTTTTCTTCTGTGAATTCTTTTATATTTATTTTGTCCTATACCTAATGCGACAAAATTATAGGACCCTTCTTGCCCCTACTATAATTACAGACACCCCTGGCCCATGCTAAAGACCAAATATCATGAAAAGCGACCCGTTTAGAAACACATTATACACATACCCAATATTTCCACGGTTGATAATGTCCTCTTCTGTTCTCTCTCCCGTGAACAAAATAAAATGATAATTACATGACATGTATGAGGACTTAAGTCTGTGTATGTGTCGTTATCGAGCTTTTCTTCTGTGTTCTTTCTTCACAAGCATCTAACTGTGCCTTCAAAATAATGAAAGAGAGAGATATAAGAGTACAAAAATATATCAACCGTAAATATTCCTTGACTATAAGTAAATTCTTATTCTAAAATCATGCAACAATTTTTCATTCATAGCCCCATTTGGGAACAAAACTTCAGTGCAACCGATGCACTGAGGTTCAGTACATCGATAATTCATTTATCATAGGATACGTAGAGTCGTAGACGGATTATGAGATTCTAGAAATTTACGCAAGATCCGTCTACGTATCTTAAGATAAATAAACTACATCTCAGTGCATCAGTAGTAGTGAAGATTTCCCCCCGTTTGGAAAGCTAGTGGTAACCGATGTCGTACTTCTTCTTTTTTACTGTGAATTGGAATAATGAGTGAAGAATTTTTCCTTGTTTTTCTAAGAAGAGAGAGAAACTCAAATGTGAAGAAAAGTGAGAGAAAAAAAAAAAAATACAGGTTTCACATATTTTTATATGTGTGTAAGAAATAAAATTATCTCATACAATATAAGAAATATTAATCCCAAAAAAATATGTGTACAAAGAAAATTTACAAAAATTTCGGTATAGGAATAATATTATTATGTTTTGGAACAGTGAGAATAAAAAAAGAATAATGTTATTGTTTGATTAAATATATATTGCACCGAAATTCAAATTCAAATAAATTAATTTGCAAAGTAATTTGATTAATGCTAACTGCTTTCTTATTCGGACTGACTAACAATTAGTGGTGTGACATTAATTTGGTGGTACTGTTTCTACTTTCTTGACTAGGACCTGGTTGCTCCTCCATTGGCTATGGAGCTGCACGAGAGCTGGGTCCATTTCTTGTTAAAGACAAAGAACGCCTCAAACTTAACAAATTCTCTTGGAACAGAGGTAACTGTATAGTTTGATCATGTCACTATTCTTAATTTTGGTTTTATTTAATTGGATACTTAATTTGGGTTTTCCAATAAATGTGTGTATTCTCTCTTCCAGCTGCAAATATCATATTCTTGGAGTCCCCAGTTGGTGTGGGATTTTCTTACACTAACAACTCCAAAGATTTACAAGAGCTCGGGGATCGAGTGACTGCAATTGATAACTATGCCTTCTTGATTGGTTGGTTCAAAAGGTTCCCAAGCTTCAGATCCCATGACTTTTATATTGCAGGAGAGAGCTATGCAGGTACCCTTTTAATAATTCTAAAATGAATTTTACATTTTGATGCTTCATATTTGATTAAAATAATTCTTTCCCAACCATGAACAATCTTTATAAGTAAATAACATTAGTCAGTCAATTAGTGCATTCATTTTGTGGTTTAGTTTTGTTGAAATATTCAAGTGCGATAAGTCTCACACGTTAGTTGGTAATGGACTAAGTGAAGTTTATATAAGTGAATGAACTCATGAATTCAATATCTTAAGGTTTTGGGTTGAGATATGATATCAAATCCACTTGATATGATGGTAATCCCCGTCACATGCACTATTTGTCAAAGTATCACTACGCCGTATTCTAATGTTTTTGTATGCTTGAAATGATAGGTCATTATGTTCCACAGCTTGCTGAGGTCATCTATGAAGGAAACAAAGATACCAAAAAGGGTTCTTACATAAATCTCAAGGGATTCATGGTAACTAAAGACTCTATAAGCTAATTATGTAAAAAGATTCTAGGCAACAAATTTAAAAATGATATACTATATATGCATTATCTTTCACGAACATAGCAATGGATTAACAAATTTGGTGTGACCGAAATTCAGGTGGGAAATGCTGTAATGAATGATGTTACAGATGTAAAAGGAATAATTGATTATGCTTGGAGCCATGCCATCATATCAGACCAAGAATACTATGGGATAGTAAAAGATTGTGACTTCAGCAAAGAAAACAAATCAAAGGCTTGCGAAATGCGAGTAGGAGGGTTATTAGAAGCTTACTCGGAGATTGACATATATAGCATTTATTCACCAATTTGCATCAGTGACTATCAAAGAGCAGTTTCAGCCAAACTTCTTGTTGCTCCTCACCTTCTCACATCACATGTAAGTCTTTTCTTTCGCTTTATGCTCGGTTGCCAGCTGCCAGTTAATAACAATATTGACTATATCATAGCAAGGAGAGGATGTGATATATTATATATTAATTTGGGGCAGGTTATATTTACAAATTTTTTTGTTTACAAACTACACTATGTAAGACCGGTCCTACATTAATCACACAATGTACGACCGGTTCTACATTAGTGTGTACGACCGGTCCTACATTAGTGTAATTGCAAAAAAAAATTGTAAACGGATCCTGTCTCTATTAATTTTACTATATTTACACAAGGTTGGTCGGAAAATTAATAGGAAAAAAGGGTGGAAAGCTACTTTACTAATTAATATCATGCTAAGAACATAAGACACAGCATCATAAATATTGCTGCATCTTTTATTGAATTTTAGGACCTATGGCATACGCTACCGGCAGGATACGATCCTTGTACAGAGGATTATATAGACAAATATTTCAATAATGAGGATGTTCAGAAGGCTCTACATGCCAATATCACCAACTTGTCATATCCCTATACCCTTTGCAGGTAGGCACGTTCACTTATAGTTTCACTATTCATCATTAGTGATTACTTTTTTTTACTAGTAACTAGCACAATTAAATAATTCAGCCTCCATTCATTATATAGTCTTTGTTATGCTGTTAAACTATTGGGAAATTGTGCTTTGACAAGTTATGATATATGTTTTATGAAGCGCTGTAATTAGGAAATGGAATGATTCACCAAACACAGTTCTGCCAGTTATTAAGAAGCTCTTACATGCCGGTTTACGCATTTGGATCTATAGGTACTTCAAAAGAACTTATAATTCAAATAACATATGTTGTGCTAATTTGAACATTTTTAAGGTTTTGTAAGAAAACTCTAATTAATTGAGTTATGATCATTAATTATAAGTTGATGAGTTTTCACGTGCAGTGGGGACACGGATGGTAGAGTTCCAGTGACATCAACAAGATACAGCATAAACAAGATGGATTTGAAAATAAGGAAAGAATGGAGAGCTTGGTTTCACAAGAAACAAGTGGCAGGGTGGATGGAAGTGTATGAGGGTGGCCTCACATTTGCCACCATTAGAGGTGCTGGCCACCAAGTTCCTGTCCTTGCACCAGAACAATCCCTTTCTCTGTTCACCCATTTTCTCTCTTCTCACACTCTGCCATCTTCTCGCTTCTAACTATGTTATATCATCATTATGCTCTTTTGGCACGTGACCAAATTATTTTCCTTCAAATAAAAAGAACAGATGAATGCATTAATTATATTTAGTTTGTCAAATTTGAACTCTTTACACTTATTTTGTAATTACCATCGTCCCTTATATTACCAATAAATAGTGAATCCATTTCTTCACCTTGGAGCCAATTATGTCGTTCGTTTTAAATAATAGTACTCATGGGTAGCCGTAATGTTAAAAATCAATTCGACCTAAAAGTTAAGTTGTTGGGTGAGAGTCTTTCTAATAGTTTATATTATTATCTAACATACCTCCTCACACAAAAATCCTTTGGACTTGAAGCGTGAATATTATATATGTCTAATTTTTTATTTTATTTTGTGCTTATTTAATATAGAAAACTAAGAGGATTTGAATATGTTGTTATATTTAATGAAATGGCTGATAGCCAATATATACACAAGTCGGTTATACAGAATCAAGGAGGATCAACTAGAATAAAGTATACTGTTCAACAAACTATACATGGAATAATAACAAACTATTCTTGCTAAAAACTAGGACTTAGTTGCTAAAGGATAAGATCAAAGGTGATCTTCTCCTAACACGCCCCCTCAAGTTGGAGCATGAAGTGACGAAATGCCCAACTTGCTGCGAAGAAAACTGAATTGCTTCATGCCAAGCGGTTTGGTAAATATGTCTGCGAGTTGCTGATCTGTACGAACGTAGGTAGTAGTGATTGTATTGCTGAGAACATGATCGCGTACAAAATGACAATCAAACTCTATATGTTTGGTACGTTCGTGGAAAACTGGATTAGCAGCTATTTGCATGGCAGATTGGTTATCACAGTGCAACTGCATAGGGTGTGAATGTGGAACATCAAGCGAGTCCAGAAACGATTTGATCCATAACAACTCAGCTATAGCTGCTGCCATTGAACGATACTCAGCTTCAGCGGAGGAGCGAGACACTGTGGGTTGCTTCTTTGTTTTCCAAGAGATAGGAGAAGTACCCAACATGATAAAATAACCAGTAATTGATCGACGGGTGAGTGGACAGCTAGCCCAATCCGAATCAGAATATCCACGAAGAAGGAGATCATTGTCGGATCGAAGGAGTAAACCTTGGCCAGGATCAGTTTTGATGTACCTTAAAACGCGGATGACAGCATCATATTGAGCAATAGTAGGATTTTGCATGAACTGGGAAAGAACATGGACGGAGTAACTTAACTCAAGTCTAGTAATTGTCAAGTAAACCAAACGTCCTATGAGTCTTCTGTAACGTGCGGGATCCGAGAATGGAGGACTTTCTGTAACTGCAAGCTTATGATTTGTTTCGAGAGGGAAGGCACATGGTTTGCACGCAAGGAGACCAGCGTCTTCCAATATGTCGAGAGCGTACTTTCGTTGGCTCAGAAAAAGACCTAATGGACCGTGAGCTATTTCGATGCCAAGAAAATATTTAAGAATCCCCAAATCCTTGATGTGAAAGCATGACTGGAGAAAGACCTTGACATCGGTGCATAAGGCATCATTGTCGCCCGTTAGAATAATGTCATCAACGTAGATGAGAAGAGCAACAAAGTGGCCATCTTTGTGTAAGGTGAATAGGGTGTAATCTGCCTTGGATTGGATGAAGCCATATGATTCAATGGAAGACCGCAACTTAGCAAACCAATTGCGAGGGGACTGCCGCAAACCGTAGAGAGATTTACGTAAGCGACATACTTGATGTGGTTTGTGATGATTGAAACCTTGTGGAACGCGCATGTAAACTTCTTCGGTAAGGTCTCCGTGTAGAAAGGCATTCGTAACATTCAACTGGTATAGGTGCCATGATTTGGCAGCAGCTACCGCAAGAAGTGTTCGGACACTCACCATTTTGGCTACAGGAGCATATGTATCGAAGTATTCTTCTCCAGCTATTTGATTGTTACCGGCAATGACCAACCGTGCTTTGAATCTCTCCACTGTACCATTTGAGTTATACTTAATGCGGTATACCCACTTGCATGGAATGACACGTTTTCCTGGTGGCAAAGAAGTGAGTTCCCACGTGTGATTTTGTTCAAGGGCATCTATTTCTTTTCGCATTGCTACACGCCACCTTTCATCAGTTACAGCATCCTTGAATGTTTTTGGTTCAACACCAGAAGAAATGGCAGCAAGGAATTGTTGATGTTTGGGAGAGAATCTAGAACAAGAAACAAAGTTAGCAATAGGATAAGCCATACCTGAGGAAGGACTGGAAGAAGTAGAAGAAGCTAGTGGATTATGTGCGATGACTTTGGAGCATTCGAAATCTTGGAGATATGATGGAGGACGGCGAGAACGGTGACCACGTCCCAAAGGTGCAGATGGATGTGTGACTTCTGGGGGCTGTTCTTGTCGGATAGAAAGCTCATTGGAGACAGTAGGGGCAGATTCAGGCTGAGCCTGTTCAACAGGGAGAGTGTCTTCAATTAAAGGGACAGGGTTGGTAACAACTTGGGAATCAAAGGATGGGCTTTGTGGAGCAAGGGTTGGTTCGGGTGATATGGGGTTATGGGGGTTTTGGTCGTGAGGAATATCAGTGGTAGGAATGACTGTGGTTGGTGCAAAAGGAAAGGTGTTCTCTTCAAATACCACGTCTTTGGATACAAAAACAGTATGTGTTTCAAGGTTATAAAGCCTCCAACCCCTTTTGCCAAAAGGATATCCCAGGAACAGACACCGAGTTGATCGAGCTGCAAACTTGTCCAACGGTTTGGGACGTGGATGAGCATGGCAAAGACATCCGAATATGCGAATATGATCATAGCTGGGTGTGCGGTTGAAAAGACATTCATATGGTGTTTTTCCTTGGAGAAGAGGAGTGTGGGTTCTATTGATTAAATGTACCGCAGTTAGAACACATTCACCCCAAAACTCGATAGGAAGACTAGCTTGAAAGCGTAATGCTCTTGCAACATTCAAAATATGTCTATGTTTCCGTTCAACACGACCATTCTGCTGTGGTGTGTCTACACATGATGTTTGATGTATAATTCCCATATCGGAATAAACCTTACGGAGATTATGAGCACAAAATTCTGATCCATTGTCGGAGCGTATTATTTTGACCATGGTATTAAACTGATTACGTACCATGAGAAGAAATCGAGTTAAGTATTGGAACGTTTCAGACTTGGTGGTCATTAAATAAACCCAGACGTTTCTGCTATAATCATCCACAATTGTTAAAAAATATCTTGCACCGGTTAGAGAGGTAGTTTGATATGGACCCCAGATATCGCAGTGAATAAGATCAAAGCATGCAGTAGTTTTATTAATGCTAATAGGGAATACAGTACGAGTTTGTTGTGCGCGTAGGCAAATGTCACAAACTGAAGGAGAATGACCCCTATTTTTATTCACTGTAACAAAAGGAAGAAAGCTTAAAAACTGAAATGAAGGGTGACCCAATCGACGGTGCCAAACATCTGCATTCTGTTGAGTGTGAGCCGCACATGCAGTAGAGATGGATTTGTTGTTGGATGAGTGATGCACATAAACACCAGCTTGCAATCTACCCAGTCCAGTCTTGATCCTCGTTATGGGGTCCTGCAATTCACAGCCATTATGAGTAAAAGAAATGATGCAATTTGTATCAGCAAGTAATTGAGCAACTGATATGAGGTTGCATTGTAATTTGGGAACATATAACACATTCTGAAGAGAAATATGAGATGTCAACTTGAGACTGCCACTGTGATTGGAAACAAGTTGATCACCATCAGGTAAACCTATTGTAGTGGGTGGAATAGATGTAACATTGGAGATTAAATGGAGGTTCCATGTCATGTGTTGAGAAGCGCCACTATCCACCAACCAGGTAGAAGGCAGAGTGTGCTTACCAGAAAGGGATGTAGTGTTAGCAGACGGTGTAGTGGAGGAAACAACCATGTTGGCAATTTGCTGTAGAAGCTCAGGACTCAGGTTGAGAATCGAGTTTTGGTTGGACACTATAGGTGTTGCAGCTGCTGTTTGTGATGCAGAAAAATTGAATGGGTTGGGACGCTTGTCATTAGCATTGATATTGACAGCGGAAGAATCTGAATCAGAATCAGCCATTGGGAAAGTGGATCGATACCTTCGCTCTGATACCATATAGAAAACTAAGAGGATTTGAATATGTTGTTATATTTAATGAAATGGCTGATAGCCAATATATACGGAGAAGATCACCTTTGATCTTCTCCTAACATTTAATCCAACAAAAAGGTGATGATGATCGAATTCATGATCTCGTGATCATTAAAACTCGATATCATGTAAAGAAATAATTTAACTCAAAAACTTAGTGGTTGGGTAATGACCTTTTTAATAGTTTATATTATTATCTGATAATTATCATATTTGAAAGGTATGGGACAATTTTGTATTTGTATTTTTCATTTTTAACATTGAAAGTTAATAGTTAGTACCCTTGAACCTAATACGTTTTCCATTTCTATAATATCATTACGTTATATACTTTTGTATACATTAAATACAAATTCTCATAATACGGCAAAATGTGAAATTACAGAAGTTGGATAATGAGTGATCAATCTTTCCATTAACTATCAAATGATCATATCCCTATATAGCCATCGGTTCATCGTTAACCCATTTTTTTTCATTCATATATATTTTAAATTATATAATATTTTCATTTTATTTTTCACTAAGGGTGTGTTTGGTACAAGTATTTCAAAAGGATTATTGGTAAACCTTTTTTGGTAAACTCAATTACCATGTTTGGTAGAAGGAACAAAAATCAGTTCCCGAATATTCAAGGATTACCGGTAATTTGATTTATAAAGAAAAATCACTATTCAGATTACCAAAAATAATATGATAATTCAGAATACCAAGTAAAGAGAAAATATATTTACGAAAAAAAAAGAAAGGGAAAACACAACAATAATTTTTGAGACAAAAATACCCTAACACACATAAAAACCTAGACCTAATCTATCAATTACAAAAGTAAAAATAGTTTGGGGTTATTTTTGTAAAATAACTTCATATTCCAAGTCATATTTCGTTTTAAACCAAACATGGAATCATTAATCTTTATGCAATATTCCCAGTAATATTTTGGCGAACCAAACACATTTTTCGTAAGATTCCAAGTAAACTCAATTTCTATTGTATTCCCATTAATTGTGATTCCCGGATACCAAAAAATTTCTCTTATACCAAACACATCCTAAGGTAGTGTTTGATATGGGTTTTCTGAAAAGATTCCCAGTAATCCATCGTTGGTAAACGTTGTTGTCCTTGTTTGGTAGAGAAGTTTTACATATTTAGCCTGCGAACTCATTTGCCCAGCAATCATCAACCATGTGAGAAAAGAGAACAAATACACTGTTCAACTTTACCAATTACAATGTTGTATTTGTAAAGAGCTAGGCATTCTACCAAAAAAAAAAAAAAACTAGGCAAGTGGAAAAAAGCAGACTTGCATCATGACTTTTTTACCTTCTTGGATAGTACATCGAACCACACTCACGAGTTTGTTCTTATAATAAATTATAATAATAAGGGTTATTTTCGTCTTTTCAACTTACTTTCCCATCACTCTTTTTATTTCAACCAAACACAGACTCACAAAATTTAACTCAAATTTTCTGGTAAAATTTTGGCAAATCAAATAACTTTTTTTTAATTTTTTTGCCAAATTCATTTTCCCACCGCATTCTTAATAACTCCATTTTCCCTTGTAACCGAGACTCAACTATCTCAATTCTCAAGTTCTCAACGAATGTTGAGTCGTCTTAAAAATCCATTTCACTATGTTCTAAAAAAAAAAATCCATTTCACTAAAAGAAGGGCTATTCATTGGATTGGGACTCAAATGTGGACCCAAATCTGTTTGCACAAAACGTTTGGGACATTAAGAAGCTGGGCCGACCCAAATACTTAATTTTAAACTAAGTTTGGTTCTATGAAAACTGAATAGCTGTCGTTTTCATACATTTCACAACCTTTGCCGTCAAGGGCGGCGACGGTGGTGATTGTTCCTTGAGCTTTTAACTTCCCAAGGTTCACTCTTTTACTCTTTTCATATCTGATTAGTGAATGCCCACCATTTCTTTTTTGAGTTTTACTTCTTAAATAAGTAGTTATAGTATCATTGACGCTGATATTGTGTTGAACTGTTGATCTACCTTTTTATTTATTATTTATTTATTTATTTTTATTTTTTTGTGGGGTGTGGGGTGAGAGGGTGTTTGGATTTCCCTTTATCTACACCATTAGCAGGTACAACAGTTCTATGCCTTTTTTTTTTTTGGGCATTTTTTTAATTGGTAAAAGGTGAAAGGTATGCTCTGAAAGAATGAGGTTTCAGAGCAATGAATACTGATATTGTTTTAGGTGGAATAACGTTGGATTCATTTGCTAATTGTGTGAATTGTCAGATGCCACTACATTTATGAGTAACAAAGCTGAATCATAATAGATTGAGTAGATAGGGAAATAGTGGGGAAGTGAGGATGAGTGTATCCAGAACCTCGGATAAGGAGTGTAGAATAAGCATTCCCTCTATTGGGATAAGAAAACTGGATGCAACCAGTGTTCACGGGTTCTTGGAGGCTGATTTCGTTCCCCTGGCTTCCTAACATAGAGAACAAGTGCTCAGCTTGTCAGCTTCTCAAGTAACCTGACTTGGACAAGGCCATGAATCTGGTAGGATTTTTTCTGTTGAGTTTGTGAGAGTTGTGATCAGAAGGTGGGTTATTGTTGATGGATCAACAATTCCAGTAATGCACAGTGGTTGAGCTGCATTGAAACAATAACAGCAGAACAATAGCCTAATTTGAATGAGAGAAGAAGGGTTAGGAAGGAGGTAATTTAATGTTGATAGGTTTCCTACTTGATACTTATAAAAACACCACCATGCGGTGTTGCAAGTATAGCAAGCTGCTTATGTTTTTACTATTATTTCAGTTGATTTCTCTCAGCTCAAGCTCTTCCGTGGTTAATCTTGTGTGTGTGATTTATATAGCCCACTTTAATTTTCCGCAGACGTCACTTGTTTTCTAACTCATGTTTATGACTTGTTTGAGCCTCTTTTTTCTCTGGCAGTACATTTCCCGCAACTGAAACTTAATGTGCATTAAAAACATGTTCGGTTGTGAATAGGAGCTTCTTTTTCCCCAAATCACCGATGGCTTTTTTATTTCAGAAATTTCAAGAGGTATCTCCTTATCTTATGTATGAAAAATAATTTTTTTTTTGGTGTGAATATACCAAAATATGTGTGAATTGTTATTATTTAATATTGGTTAAAATTACAAAATATGGAGAAATGACAAACAATTTAAAACGTAATATGTAACTGTCACTGCCCTTATGTATGACATGTGATCTTGAATGAGTGACTAAAGCTCATTTAGATATTAATATCTTTTGTTCGGCAAGTAGAACAGAATCAATTGTACTAGAAGACATTCAGTGTTCCTATATCATGGAAGTGTGATATCTTATTTTCCACATGTTATAGTGTTAGTTTTTACAGGGATTAGTGTCTAATGAATTCTCCATGGTCTTATGCTATGCTAAACTATAGTTTTTTTATCTGTTGTACATCCTATGAAACTTATCACAACATTTGTTTTCAGGCTGTGAAAACCCTCGCAAAAAATCCGGCTTTTGCTAGGGATCCAAGACAACTACAATTTGAAGTTGACATTAACCGCTTGTTCCTTTATACAAGGTCATTGATTTTCTGTTATCCGAGTTTAATAAGCAATAGTAAGGTTGCATTAAAAATGAATCGTGAAATTCTTTTTTTTTTTATTTTGCTGATTTGTGAAATGTTATTCATTTGTGTATCTTCATCTCTTTGCGTTATTAATTTAATTCAGAGTTACTTTCTTGCCCCTATTTTGTTTTTGGTTCCCTCTTTTTTTTCTTTCTATCCCTTCTCCCATGTTAATGGAACATTTTTCTGTCTATACTTTGTTTCACGCACGAGCCAATATTTTTTATAAACTCAGAATTCCCTTCTCTCTTAACCATCCTACTTGTTTTGCTTAAAGACTATTATTACTGCTGATACTTTAGGGTTTAGATGGAAAGAAAAGAGAGATAGAAAGTGCCCAGAATATATTACTAATTACACAGATTGGTTCAATAAAAATTACTGACCTTATCCCCTATTTATATTAATAATCAAAGGTTGCTCAAGCCAGTCAAACAGATCTGTCAGCATTCAGTATAAAAAATGATTCAGATGGCTCAAATAAAATTGGCAGTAAGTGGAGATGTCTTCGGCCGCTGTCTTCTACCTAGATGCTAATCAGAAGCCTCTTGCCATGATTACATTTGTTTTTTGAAAGCACATCTGGAAATATGTGAAATATAGATGCCCACAGCTTTGAATTTGACAGCCAGCATCTCTAAAGTGAGCTGCCAAGTCAAGCTGCATTCCCTACCATTAAGTTATCCAATTTGGGATAGCTTAAATGGTCTTGTTCCAAATTCCAAAACTTCAATCCATTGCCCTATATCTGAAGAATGATAATGAATATTACTTCTGATATCAACAGGATTGTGTGCCAGGGGGAAATTCTACGAATATGAATTGAATATAAAGGTAATGTTATGATAATAGAACCATTGGATAGCCCTTAAGATGTTGATAATGTTAATAAATATAATAATGATTGACTCTGATTGTCTTTTGAGGTTGATGAAGATGAACAATTGCTTCTTTTGCGAGGAGACAACGCACAAAAAATGGAGTTGACATCTGAGAAAAGTGAAAACCACATTTAACTTACTGCACATTAAAGAGATTAGCAATACTGAAGTTGTTGATACTCTTGAAGAGACCAATAAATTGATGTTATTAAGTAGTAATGAAGGAACTCCAAAGCATAATAAACAAGAAAGATAAAGGAAATTGAAGAAAATGCACAAGAATTAAGTTAATTTTAACATTGAGATGTTAGATCTTCAATTTTAAGGTTCCGTAGATAAAACATTATCTATTTGATGTTGTTTTGGGTTTGCATAACTTTAATGCTGATTATTTCAATTTTTCTGTGGATGTGATATTTTTCCTTTTTAACATGTTGACATATTTTGCTCATGCAAAGACTTAAATATCCAGCTACAATCGGTTGGGGAAGAATGCTGATGAAGCAGACGCAGAAGAGATTATTGCAATAGCCAGTAAAGCCTCCGTTGCTGATCAGCAGATGCAAGTACAAGAAAATGTTCATTCTCAAATTAAAGCATTTTGCACGTTCATGGATGAAGTTCTTCTTCCAAATGAAAAGATGGTGAATGGCCCCTTTGAGTTATCTCATCAAGCAAACATTTTACCTCACTGTACTGGGCTTAGTTCTCCTAACGGTAGGTGTGACCCACCTACTAACATTCCTGCAGAGTTTTTTTTTTATTATTATAATTTTCCCTTTATTTTGCAATATTTTGCTCATGGCTTAGTCATCTCATGCTGTTCCTCTTACTTTTGATCCATGGTGGTATAGAAAAATAACCTATTCTATTAGCAATTGGTTACCTCTAATTATTTACTTATTCACATTTTTCATATTATTGTGAAATTTTCTAAGACGACAAGCCTTGAAACAGTGGTAAGATTGTGTAAAATCGACCCTCCCTCCTATCCTCACAAAGTCAGGGAGTTTTATGCACCGGGATTTTCCCTATTGTGAAATTTTATAAATGTCACCTTTTTACTCTATTTTTGTTATTGGTGTGCTTCTTGCGCAGCTCTCCCTAAACAAAGACCATTAAGCCAAGATGAAGTTTCTCAGAAATTAAAGGATCAACTTGGCTACACTCTTAATGTTAAACCTTCTCAAATATCTCACAAGGATGCTGGTCAAGGTCTATTTTTAGATGGTGTAGCAGATGTTGGTGCTGTTCTTGCCTTTTATCCTGGTGTAGTCTACTCTCCAGCTTATTATCATTATATTCCAGGATACCTTGATGAGAAGAACCCCTATCTGATTACAAGATATGATGGGACTGTCATCGACGCCCAACCTTGGGGTTGTGGAAGCGACGAGCAAGAACTGTGGAATGGTAGGAAAATGGTAGAAAACAAGCCTGATATGGAAGGAGCTGAGAAAGGTTCAGACAGCCAGAGTAAGCCTTTGGAAGGATCCCAAGTGGATACTAATGATGATGTACTTGAGCGTAGAAACCCATTAGCCTTGGGGCATTTTTCTAATCACCCTGCAAAAGGGATGCTTCCAAATGTCATGATTTGCCATTATGACTTTCCATTGATTGAAAACAACATGAGAGTTTATATTCCTAATATATTATTTGGAAATGCAGAAGTAAATATGAAGAGATTTGGCAGCTTTTGGTTCCAATCTGGAGTTTCAAGAAAGAGTGAATCACATGTTCCTACTCTAAGGACTGTTGTTTTGGTAGCAACTAGGGCTCTTCAAGATGAGGAACTCCTCCTGAACTACAGGCTGAGCAACTCTAAGCCATGGCCAGAGTGGTATGCTCCCGTGGATGATGAAGAGGACGTGAGAATATGAAACTAGTCGATTACTATTGGAAGAAAACAGTTTCTGTAGAAATTGAGCTGTTATGCACCAAGGTTTTCATGTCTACTCCAGTTGCAGAAACATTCCTAAAAGTGATTAAGGAAAATTCTAGCCACATCTTCATTGATACCAATTAGCAATTGCTGGTTTCCATTAATAAAACATTGGATTGGAATCAATTAGTCTTAATTAGTATAAATGTGTATTTGATAGTTTCTATTAATAAAAAATCAGTATCAATTAGTTCATATTAGTATCAATTCCCTTTATAGAATTTCAAATCCTTGTGATATATTTATAAATGAAGTTATGGAATAGGCTAGCAATTAGCTTGTAATCTCTCTATGTCTTCTCTCTTTGGAATTTTGCCATTATACAATGATCCTTTAATAATTTGTACTTTCATCGACTTTTGCCTCAACCATGTAATGCATAAACCCGTTCTCAAGAACAGAAACTTATAATAGAAAGTCTCATGGGCCATGGCATTACTTAACAAGGCTGATCCGCGCTTCTTTGCAACCCAACCATTAACATTACCACTATTGTCGACTGATACATTTCTTGGCAGTATTACAGCACAAATCTTCGGACAACGTGCCAACGCATATACATACTCTTCATTGCATGTATTATAGTAGGCATTGGAAGGATTGATTGACCCAGTAGGGACGGACTAAGGGAGGGGTTAGTATTGGTGGTTATTTATTCCAAAATTTTGATTATTTTATTATATTATATATATAAAATGATATTTATTTAATAATAATAAATTATTAGTGCTAATAGTTAGCCCCTGCTCAAAAAATATTTATTATAATTAATCCATTTTATTATTCTCAATAATATTGAAGAATCCAAGTATGAATGATTAAGTGAAAGAGTCTTACGTTAATTAAGAATTGACTGAGTGAGCATTATATAAATGGAAGGATACGTGCACCTAATACCTTAAGGTTTTGGGTTTGACTGTGATGTTCCAAATTCACTTAATATTGTTGCTCACTTGGCTCATGGTTGGCGGTCTCTCCCCCGCCGTGAGCTCCCCGTGCACGGCCCAACAAAGCCACTGTTTGCTAGCCAAATTGTCTTTGACTGGTTCTATCCTCGACTTGTTTATCTTCGAGTTGCAAGTCTCATAGTGCATGGTGATTCAATCTCATTGATTTGTGGACCAATCTCATTGTTTTGTGGACATGCATGATGCACTTGCATTGGCATGTAAGTATGAGTCTCAAGTTAGCGAGTCATGCATATCTCAACAATCAGCCATATTTTTTCAGTCGTGACCCCTCAGGAGCACCAAACCTGCCGCCTTTCAATTCTCTATCACATCACATGGCTTCCTATTCCTATCAAAATAAACAAAGAGATAATACAAAGAGCGATGCGAATAAGATTATTTCAATGCGACAAGAAGTTTGTGCATGCGCAGGCAAAGGGTCTTTACGACATGGAGAATGACTCGCTAGTGCCTCAGCCTTTTAATCTGGATTTACCTGACCTATTCATATGCTACTTGCTATTCAAGTGTGACTAGTTATCATGTGAGATACTTAACAAGTCTTGCAGGTGTTGATTTAGCAATACGACCTTGCGTTAGCTGTCACGCGAGTCCAGGGAAAGCCAGTGGCGGGGGATCACCACCAATGAGCTAAGGCTACACCAACCGTAGCAAGTGGATCCGACACAATGTCTCAACCCAAAACTTTAAGGCATTGGGTTCATGGGTCCTTCCACTTATATACTTTTCACTTAGCCCATTACCAATGTGAGACTCATCACACTTGAATATCTCAACAATCTCCCCCTCAAGTGTGAAACTCAACATTGGTACATTCCCCCTCAACCGAGTACCCCAAGGCCCAAGTACTCAACCCGCCTCCTAGCCAGTCACCAGGCTAGCTCGAGCCCAACACGGCTCTGATATCACTGTCAGGTGAGTCCAGGGGAAGCCAGTGGCGGGGGGCCACCACCAATGAGCTAAGGCTACACCGGCCGTAGCAAGTAGATCTGACACCATGTCTCAACCCAAAACCTTAAGACATTGGGTTCATGGGTCCTTCCACTTATATACTCTTCACTTAGCCCATTATCAACCAATGTGAGACTCATCACACTTGAATATCTCAACACTAGCTAGGGACTCTAGTTGGGAAGATGAGCAAGCATTTGATATTACTTATCTCCAAAAAAAGGAGGCATGTTACACATCAAGGTCTTCATATTTAAGCCATTAGAATTAGTCTAATGGTGAGAGGTTGGGTAGTGGGTAATATATGCTGTATTCGATTCCCAAAGTATTTTTTAAAAAAAATTCACATTTACTCAAAAACATTCCTAAAAGTGGCTAGGGAGTATTCTAATTTCTAACCATGTCTTCTTTGATATCAATTAGTAGCTTTTAATTAGTTATATTCAATATCAATTAGCATTTGTTAGTTTCTATTAGTAAAGTATTGGTATCAATTAGTTCATATTACTATTAATTATCTAGTTAGTATTTCAAATCCTTATAATTTGATGTGATTAAAGCCACAACAGCTTTATGGAATTGGCGAGCAATTATCTTCTTCCTATTTTTCTACCCTTCTCTTCTCTCTCTCCATTTCTGTCATTCTAGAATTACCCTTGACAAGTACCTTTATGAAGGCAAATCTTTTCCTTACTTTTGTGGTCTCATAAAATCTATTGTAGTCACCTTTTTTTGTAATGGATGAAGCTTGAGATGATGAAATTTTACGTGATTGATTTTTGATTCTTTTTTTTAAATATCAAAATCCATGTCAAGGCACCTGGCAAAATATTGATACAATTAAATTAATAATTGTTTCCGGTAATACTGTGGAGGTTTCAAACTCGAGATTTTGTAGTTTTCCCACCATCTAGTAATTCATTAAAATCACCATGAAATATCACGTCACATAATTAACTAGGCTTGTATTGTTTGCTGAAGTTGTTGAACCGTGGCACCGAAAACAATTGAGAATTAATAATGCATCTACCATTTATTTTCTTTAACTAATTAAAATATCATTTGATGAAGGTAAATTTGCGTTTTCTTTTGTTACGAAATTGATTGAGAATTGAATGAATGACAAAGAAGCATTGAAATGTATAAAACGAGAACAAACTCAACCGATCAGACATATGTGGAGGATTCATGCAAGGAAAGGCACCGTTCCTAATCTTCGCGAAAGACAAATGGACCCATGTGAATTGGTTGGGATGGGGTCCACTTTCTAACATAGTAATAAAGAGCTTTAGTCAGCAATTTGAGTCCCTGTTGACTCTCTCATTAAGAAATCTTAGGTAAGCACATCAAAAAAAGAAGAAGCTGTCTTTGTTTATTCTAAGGTCTTTTGTTTTCTAGTACCTAAAATTAGCCATAAAACTATTTCCATCATGGGATGGGTAATATAAACATTATTTTGAAAAAATGACCATTCTATTATATACGTCAGCAGGTAGAATTTATAATAATAACAAAAAGTCAACGATTTCAGGGCAGGGACTTCCACCTCAGGGCAACCATTCAAAATAGCGATGATTCCAATGGAATGAATAAATAAATGAATAATTTAGTCCTTCGAAACTAGTCACCGATTGTTATAACGCCCAAAATTAGTTACCTCGGGAAAATATTGAATAAATAGAGTAGAATATGTTATATTCCATTAAAAGTCCGGTTTTTTTCATATTGGATGAGACAATGCAACATGAAAAAAATAAAATTCTTAAAAGTTTTATCAAAAGTTGAGGGGACTCATATACTTTTATGAATGGAGTATAATTATTTATTGAGAAATATAAGAATTATGTTATAGTAAGAAAAATTTATTCATATTATAGATTATAATTATGTACTTCGGGTGGTAGTACATAATTATAATATTAATTTTTTTCACCACATAAGTCGACAGTTTTATGAAAAGAGAGAGAATTTTTTTTTTGATATTATAATTATGTAATACCAGTAATATATAATTATTATTTTTTTAAGATCAAATGTCTTTCGTGCAACATCATGAATTGAAACCCCTTATTTATATTATAAAATTCAAAACTAAAATAATTTTTTTTAATCCAACCCAATTTAATCTAGTTAGAATATATTATTGGATTCATATTGAAGGTAATTCTTTTAATATCATTTTTTTTTCATTAACAAGATCCATCTGATTAAGGAGAACAAATTTCTTACTGCTTGAACCAAATCAAATGAGTGAAATTATACATACTATAAAAGACTTACTTATATCACATAAAACATAGGGGAAAAATATACTTACCACCAACAAAGTTTACAACATTTATAACTAACCTAATCACCGTTGATTTCTGTGAATCTAACGGTTATGATTTATTAGAAAGTATTGGGTCGCATTTATTAATTAATTATTAATTCACAATAAATTATAACCGTTAGATTAACAGAAATCAACAATCATTAGATTGATTATAAAGATGATAAACTTTTTTGATAGTAAACATATTCTTCCCCTAAAACATATACCAAAGTCGACATTGGAGAGGAGGCCGGAAGCCCACATGAGCCCCCTCCTAGTCTGCCCTTAGCATGAAGGCTCATAATTGATTCCAACAGATCAAGCCTCTCTAATTATGCCAAGACGTACAATCCTTTTCAGCTAGACATGAACTTTGTTTAATTAATTAACATTAAATTTTATTTTAGTTTGCTTAGTTTTTGAAATAGTTATTCAAGACTTCTGCTATGTTATCGAAGTGCATATTATAACAATTTTATTTTTATGTTTTTTTTTTTTTTTTAAATTTTTTAGAATAGAGGATTATTGAATCAAGCGAAAGAAATATGCATGCGTTGATAGTTAATCTGTTGTATTAAGGAAAGAAGAAAAAAATAAAATAAAATTAGAAATAGACATAACGAAATTAGTTGCTGTTTTGACCACCATTGAAAATAATATAAAAAGACAAAAAAGAACTTTTAAATTTGGCCGGTTATAAATATTTGGCAACCCGTTTGACGGGTTTTTATTCTTAAAAAAGTTGCTTTTTAAAAAAAAAAATTGAGAATTTTTAGATGTTTGGATAACACATTTAAAAAAAAAAATTAAAATGCTGCTTTTTTTTAGCCAATAGTTGATTACTTTTGAAAAAAGCAGAAATTAAAAGATAATATAAATTTTTTCTTAAAGGATAATATAAATTTTTAAAATACAATTTTAACCCATTCTATCATATGTATTTTATCTCTTCTTATCCTACGATGATGCTATTTTATCTCTTCTTTATTATAATTTTATATATAAAAGTAATTTTTTTTATTTTAACATCCAAATAACTTTTTTATACAAAAGTGATTTTCAGATCATACATTCAAACGTAAAATAATTTTATCTTTTTTTAAAAAATAAAGCATAAAAAAATCATTTTTTTTTAAAAAGCTGATCCAAACAGATATTCTCTATGTTAAAATCTATTGTGGCGATCATATCTACTACTGATAAAAGTCGTTATAAAATGCTTCTACCTGCTTAAATTTGAGGAATATAGAACCGTTATTGAAATATGAAGTCTCAAATGGTGTCACAGAAATTCGCAAATCTCTGAACTCCTCAATCAAATCATACTCTGCAATCATCATGCTAGCTACACTCGTGGTTTTTCTGCTCAAGGCATCAGCCACTACATTCGCCTTCCAGGGCGATACTGAAGGTCAAACTCATAATCCTTTAGGAATTCCATCCATCTCCTTTGTCTCATATTAAGCTCTTTTTGATCGAATAGATACTTCAAGCTTTTGTGATCACTAAAAACTGTGAAGATAGCACCATACAAGAAGTGTCTCCATATCTTCATGGCGAAAACCACATCCGCTAACTCAAGATCATGAGTAGGGTAGTTCTCTTCATGTAAAAGCATAGGCCACTACCTTTCGCTCCTGCATCAACATGCACCCTAATCCATACTTGGATGCATCACAATAGATCTCAAATCTCTTCTCTGGATCAGGAAGAATCAGAACCAGTGCGGTAGTCAACTTATCTTTCAATTCTTGAAAACTCACATCACACCCAAGGGTCTATGCCAATGGCACCCCCTTTCGGGTCAACCTAGTCAACGACAAGACGATTCTAGAGAATCCATTGATAAATCGCCTTTAGTATCCGGCTAAACTCAGAAAACTCTGAATTTTAGTAACCATCTTGGGTCTCTCCCAATCCAACACCGCTTCTATTTTACTCGGATCAACAGCCACTCCTGCAGATGAAATGACGTGTCGAAAAAACTGGATCTCATGTAACCAAAACTCACACTTGTAACTATCATCAAATATCTAATCTATTAAATAAGGCTTCTCTTAAAGCTTCGATACGATGATAAATAATCATACTATATAAAGGCTCAAGCTGTTAAATGATGGATTTTAATTGTTTTTATTTATATCTCTTTAACATAATCATCATGTAGGGAAAAACACACGTGGCAAATAACTTCAAGATGTATTTACATAAATGTATTGATAATCGGAAATGACTCATTTTTCTTGGCAACTAGGATTAAATTAGCAGTCCATATAATTTGACTAACTAACTACATACGATTATCATTTTTTTGTCTTTTACTTAAAGGAATTTGATTAAGGAAATCTAGTTAACATTCAAATGTTTTTGTAACATACGAAAGAACAAAGTAGGATTAAACGATGGTAGTTCAATTAGTGTCAGGGAACTAAGCATGTGAAGGTAAGAGTATGTGTTCAATACTCCTAATACTATCTTGAGAGGAGTTTAAAACGTTAATCTCAAGATCCGTTCCGAATCGGATTAGTCGCAAAACGATTAACCAATTGAAATATCTCTTAAATAAAATAAGAACAATGTAGGAAATAGAGTGGGGTTTGGCCTTAAAAAGGAATGTTTCAGGTAGTGGAAACTGTTCTTATTACCACCTTACTACTTATCAAATCACCATTGGATCAAAGAGAGAGAATGTTAAAAAGTTTTTGAAGAGAGAGAAAATATTAATCCAATGGTGATTAGATAAGTAGTAAGGTGGTAGTGGAAACTTGTACTAGTAAAAATATCATCCCTCGTTAACATAATGCCCCAATTGCTTGTCCCAAAATCCCACCTATAGCCTTCCTCTCTATCTATAAAAACTCCCACCATCTCCATCCTCTCTCCCACCAACACCTTTTCACTATTCTATTTTGAGTCTCAATCACCTCTCTTAGTTTGTGCCCCAAACACCATGCAACTTTTCACATCATCACAACAACTCCTTCCTTCACTTTCAATATTGCTCTTGTTTTCTTTGTTTCTTGTGTCTCTTTTTCTCCAATGGTCATACACCAAAGTCAAGCGCTTGCCCCCTGGTTCCATGGGCTGGCCCTACATAGGAGAGACATTCAAGCTCTACACTCAAAACCCAAATACCTTCTTCTCCAACAGGCAAAAAAGGTGCACACACACATATATATGTATATAGCTACCATATATTCTTGTATATGTGTATAGTATATATTTAAATTTGTTATACATGTTTTGATGATTCTGAATTGTACGTAGGTATGGAGATATCTTTAAGACTCGCATACTTGGTTATCCTTGTGTAATGATTTCAAGCCCAGAGGCAACGAGAACTGTGCTTGTGACTCAAGCACATCTGTTCAAACCAACATACCCTGCAAGCAAAGAGAAAATGATAGGTCCAGAGGCTGTTTTCTTTCAACAGGGTGATTATCACTCCATGCTCAAGAAGTTGGTTCAGGCCACTTTTTTGCCCTCTGCAATTAAAAAATCAGTCTTTGAAGTTGAGCAAATTGTCCTTAAATTGTTGCCAACTTGGAACAACACAACCATCAATGCCTTACAAGAGATGAAGAGGGTACGTTATGTCTATATAATATTATATATTATATATGTATGTATGTCGGTTATTGAAAACTGCACATTATGAATCTTTATAACTTTCTCTCTTTCTGTATTGGTCTTTTTTTAGTATGCTTTCAAGGTAGCTGCTATCTCAGCCTTCGGTGAAATAATGGAGCTTGAAATGGAAGAAATTGAATACCTGTATCGGTGCTTGGAAAAGGGCTACAATTCCTTTCCTTTATATGTTCCTGGAACCTCCTATTGGAAATCAATGAAGGTGAATTTTTTTCTTTTTTTTACCTTGTTTTCTTTTTCAACATGATTATGTACTTCAGTTTTGGAAGTATTTGGCTAGCAAGATTAATTTATTTTCTTTGCACTTATCTGTTTCTTTTTCTAAAATATATGAAGGCAAGGAAGCTTCTGAATGAAACTATAAGGAGATTAATACATAAAAGAAGGGAAAGTGGGAACTATGGAGGAGGGTTGTTGGGAGTATTGTTGAGAGCTAGAGGTAACAAAATGTACCAGCTCACTGATTTTCAGATTGCTGATAACCTCATAGGAGTGATCTTTGCTGCACATGATACCACTGCTAGTGTTCTTACATGGGTTCTCAAGTATTTGCATGACAATGTCACTCTCTTGGAAGCTGTCACGGTCATATATACTTTCTCCCTCTTTTCCATTATTTTTTTCTTCTTGAATTATACTCTGAATCCTGATTTTGATTCTTTTTCTCTGTAAATCTTTCTCTTCGCAGGAAGAGCATGAAGGAATTAAAAGGAAACTAGTTATAGAAAATCGTGGCCTTACATGGGAAGATACCAGGCAGATGCCACTCTCTGGAAGGGTAAATTAATTAATTCTAAATAAATTCCATTTTTCTTCTTCTTCTTTTTTTGAAAAATGGGAAAATTAATATCTATCAGTCATGATTTAATGAAATGAATCATGTTAAGAAAGTATGTGATGGAATTAATGCAATTCTGAAATGGATTGATCAGGTTATCCAAGAAACACTGAGAAGTGCAAGCATACTGTCATTTACATTCAGAGAAGCTGTTCAAGATGTTGAGCTCCAAGGTTACTCTATTCCAAAAGGTTGGAAGGTCCTTCCCCTTTTCAGAAGCATTCATCATTGTGCTGATTTCTTCCCTCAACCAGAGAAGTTTGACCCTTCCAGATTCGAGGTAATTAATTAGCATCCCCTCATTGTTTATTTTGTTCAAAGTACTAAGAAAAAAAATAAAGAGACATGGATATTTGATTTAATTAGTTAAAATTATGTGATGGTGCAGGTGCCACCGAGACCAAACACATATATGCCATTTGGAAATGGAGTCCACTCTTGTCCAGGCAGTGAGCTTGCTAAGCTTGAGGTGCTTGTCCTCCTCCACCACCTCACTGTTTCTTACAGGTTTATTTCTTCCCTCTTGTGAAGCCACATTTATTTGAGGGATAGGATCCGTTTACAAACTTTTTTGAATTTTTTTACAATTTACACTATCTTCTCCCGGGAGAATATAGTGTAGTTTGTAAAAGTTTGTATTCTTCTGGGTGAATATAGTATAATTTGTAAGAGTTTGTAAATATAACCTGTCCCTTTATTTGATTATGAATTATGATGATAGACAATGTTGCTATACAGCTTTTGTGTTTGTTTAGCTAGATCTGCATGATATTATTATCACTAAGTTCATTAATTTATCATATGCAGGATGCTATAAGGTTAACAATAAATTAGTTTATCTGCAACTCTATCTCAAATTGACTGGTAATGGGGTGGTCTCAATTTGTGGTATTCCTTAGAATTTGGAAGTGGTCCTTCTTGAAGTGTAGCGAATCATTTGGATACTCTGGTCTAGCTACAAAGGATAGGGTCGAGTGATCTCACCAATAAAATAGTTGTTCATACATAAAAATATTCTTTTTGGATTTAATATCCGTTTGTTTACGTGGCAAATATGTATGGTACCTTTCCCAAAGGTTTTCCTAAGACTATTGCACATGTTTGCTAAGACTATTGTTAATGCAAAGTATATAAAAAAAAAAGTATATGTAAAAGTCACCACTAAATAATGACATGATTTTTGGTTTCAATATTATTATATTTTAATCATAAACACTAGCCAAGAATTATTGGATTCAAGAGGCAAAAAAAAAAACCATAATAAAACACGTGGATTGCCAGATGCGAAACTAGAACAAACTCCATGACGTGTTAGCGGTGAAGTTTCAAATTGAGACACCAATTATTTTTCTTGAAGGAGACCTATATATTATCATTTTTCTTTTTCCTTTTAAAGGATTGTGTCTGCTGATTATTCGGAAACTGTTAGAATATGTGTCAATATCTGATGCCTGCACTAGGAGTTTTTAGTACCGTCTCATTGAAAAGATGGATTTTGTCAATTCTATGGACTAAAATAATTATTTATATATACCAAATAACAATTATATAAGTTTATGACATCAATGTATTAAATGATGTGGGAAGAATAAGGACGGAAGTGTTGTGCCAAAAATGTCAGTTTCTCAAAACAGATCATGTCAAAATTGTACTCATCCTCTTTTTGATGGTTGATTGCTTCATTCAGGTGGCACGTTACGGAAAATGAAGATGGAATACAGTACGGTCCTTTTCCTGTGCCCAAACATGGACTGCCAATAAAGATAACACCAAAAGGAACAAAATAGTTACCTGAGAGTTCAGAACATGTTAAGACAGACAGACAGTGGGGCCGAAGCAATGCATCCTTATCATAAATAATTTGAACTCTTTTTCTTTTTCTTTTGTAGTAGAAAGCCATCCCATTAAATAAAGCTTTTGGTATAGACATATCTTGCACAGTAGACGGTCCATATCTGTGTAAAGTGTAAACTCCAAATACAAGTAAATAAAATATTTTAAATAAGGTAAATTACTAAACTATCCAGACACAAAATTAGCATAATTATTCTTAAATATAACAAAAAATTCTGGACAGTGTTGTATGTGGTTGATCACCTTTGGTATAAAGGCCCCAGATCCATATAAAGTTGGTCACATCCACAAGGCAGCTAGCTGAGTGGCATGAGTGAATTGTTGATGCTACATAATTTTCATGTGGGTAATATTGTTTCAGTTTCAGCACTCAAAAGCTGCCTCCATGGTTAACTGGCCATGTCGTAAAGGATTGTTGCAAGCGGATTTCCCACACAAAAACCTAAAAGGTTAACATTTCTCGTCAATATTTATTAATTATAACTTAAATAAACAAATTATTGTATGACCACAAATCATTTTCCAATTATTTTAAGATGAGATGTGACATTCATGATATGCCATGATTCATGATTTTCACATAACCTCGACTTTTCTACAACTAATTATTTCGTAAATTTTCAGACCAAATATATGTATTGAATCTAATCAATTTGTTCTCACATTAAGCACTATGGACAGTGGTTAACACTATCATTATCATGCTGTTGAAATAGGGATTAAGTGCCCAAACGATTAACAAAATAAGCCATCTTGAAAATTATAACATGAAGCTTCAACTAACACCAATCCATTTACTGTCATGACAAGTGAATCTTCATTATCACAAGCATCACGTATAACATTCATATTCGGTAGACCATCAAAAATCAACAATTCATGGGACTTAAGGTCAACAAACGGGTAGTGAGAGACAACGATAATGTTTTCATTTATAACTTAGAACAAAGTTAGGAGGCTTGTGATAAGGCGGCTCGAGCAGAACGCCTTTCTAGTGCCTTCAACCTATTTGCTTCCATTCGAGCTCTCTGCTCTTCTGTTATTTCAGCTTTGCCGGACAGACTTGCTGCATTATTTGGGACTTCATTTGATGTCTTTTCAATTGCAATGCTTTTGGAAGCAGTACTAGCACCAATCACATTTTGCATGGACTGAGAAGGTTCCTGTAATAAAAAGGGGAAGGTAATTTCACCGTTATGACTTCGGCATCAGCTACTTGTTTACAAATTTTTTTAGAACAATTTGGTTTAATTGAAAAGCTCCGTATAACTGGCTAACTGCAGCTATATACGATATTCTGAAGAGGTCATGGCATTTGACTTCATAATAAAAGCATAAGTGTAAAGAAACCAGGGACAAAAGGAGAAGGAAAGCTAAAATGAATATACACCAGATGTTCGAGTAGTCTCTGCTAAAAGCATACAAGATCATGAAGTTGTATATTGCGGGTGCTGTTACTCTTGCATTTCACATCACTCTTTATTTTTTCGTATGCTACTGGATAAGGATACAATTCAGATTACACACGGTTCTCTTACAAATAAGTGAGAGAATCTGTATCTTTAAAAGATAAATTTTACTTCTCCCAGATTGATTTAGATAAATATCGAAAAAGTTTCTTTCACCAAGCAAAATATCCAAATGTGTTATATATCATGATACATGATAATAAACAAACTTTGTTTAAAAGAAAATAAACTTACTTCAGTAGCTGTATCATATATATCATTAAGCATGTCTTCTTGAATGTCATTAACATTTCGGGATTCTGCAAACACATCTCTCTCTTGATGAATTGCTTCCCCATCTTCTGCAGATACAGCAAAGCCCCAGGATAAGGATTTAGCATAGATGCTTAACGATGTAATTAAATAAAACCAAAAAATTCTCCAGTCAATCATCATAGCAATGATGGTTATTAAGTCATTTAATTAGTTATTAGTTAGATAGTTGGTTAGTCAGTTAAACTGTTACAGTTTCTTGGCGCCACTTTGTAATCTTTCTTTTTCTTTTTCTTTCTTTAGATATCTGTTTACACAGATACAGTACTTCATATATAAGTACTCCTTGTATCTGATACCAATTCAGTTAATGAGAAATGATGTATTCTTCATCTTCTTCGTGCCACTGCTCTCTGTCTTCCCTAAACACTTTGATGGTATCAGAGCTATAGGGCTCTGGTATTGTCCACCTTTTTCCTTTTTGCTTCCGCACTATAATCTTTGTTACAGATATGGTTCAATCATCTTCCCATGTAACAGATGATCAAATTAGCCAGTCAAGTCCGTATTTTCTGCATTCCAATGAAAATCCATCGTTGGTATTGGTATCTCCAGTGTTTGATGGCAAGAACTATCACACTTGGGCAAGATCCATGAAGATGGCACTGAAATCCAAAAACAAGTTGGGATTTGTAGATGGCACAATCTCATCTCCAACTCAAGAATCTGATCCGCTGTTCTTGGCGTGGGATCGTTGCAACACAATGGTTCTGTCTTGGTTGCATCGTGCAATTGCAGAATCCATAGTCCATTCAATTGTGTGGATGGAGCTAGCTTCTGATGTCTGGCAAGATTTAAAGGAGCGTTTTTCACAAACTGATGTGTTTCGAATTGCTGATATTCAAGAAGATATGTATCGATTGAATCAAGGTGATAATTCAGTAACTCAATTTTTTACTCAGCTTAAAACATATTGGGACGAACTTGATACCTTGCAGCCATTACCAAGATGCAAATGCATACCAAACTGCACTTGTGGAGTAACAATGCAGACTCATGCAAAACAAAGCAGAGAGAAGGATCATGTCATTCGATTCCTGCGTGGACTCAATGATCAGTTTGCCCATGTTCGTTCCCAAGTCATGTTAATGGATCCACTTCCAAACATTAACCGAGTATTTTCCCTGGTAAGTCAACAAGAAAGGCAAATCAATGTTGAAACTTCTACTGATGTGAAAGCCTTCTTGAGCCTTCTTGAATACCAATGATCAGTCCTTTGCACGTGGTCGAGGAATTTACAGAGGCAGAGGCCGTATCACCTATGGAAGAGGGAGATCCAATCCTAATAAAGTTTGTACACACTGTGGACGCACGAATCACACCATAGAAACATGCTTTGAGAAGCATGGCTTTCCCCCAGGATACAGAAACAATCTGAATCGAAAAGCAAATCTAGTTACACATGACAATACTGCTGATGCATTTCAATTTGAAGATTCAAGAATTCAATTGCCAACTAGCTCAGATGAACAACTCCATTTCACAAAAGATCAATACCAAAGTCTACTTGGGCTGATTCAGAATCCACTTGAAAATATGAATCATTCTTCCAACATGGTTCAAACCAATGCTGTATCATCTAACCAAGGTAATGTTCAATTTCAATGGATTCTTGATACTGGAGCTACTGACCACATAACATACTCTCTTGATTTTCTTTCTTCACCTAGACAAATCAATCCTATACCTATCAAATTACCTGATGGTACCCAAGTCTTTGCCACTCACTCTGGAAATGTGATTTTGTCACCACTTCTTGTATTGTATAATGTTCTTTTTGTTTCAAAGTTCCATGTTAATCTCATTTCCATAACTAAACTAACCCGTGATTCAGATTGTTATGTCATTTTTCGTCAATTAACCTGCTCCATTTTGCAGAATACCAATGGGAGGATGATTGGAATTGCTAATCAGCATCATGGTCTGTTCACACTAATAGCACAACCTGGAAATCTTGTTAAAAACACAGCATACCAGTCAAATAAGAGCTACTGCAATAGCATAATAGTCGATTCCAAAACATGGCATCACAGATTAGGCCATTGTTCTTCATCAGTGTTAAAATCCATGTCTAAAGTCTTTCCTTTCATTTCTTGTAACAATAATGTTGATGTATGTGATGCATGTCATTATGCAAAACAGAAAAGAATTACATTTCCTTCTAGCACTTCTGAATCTCTACATTCATTTGATCTTGTACACGCAGATATTTGGGGTCCTAATGCTATTACTTCAATCCATGATCATCGTTATTTTTTAACCATAGTTGATGATTACTCGAAATTCACTTGGGTAATGCCAATGAAAACAAAGGCTGAAAGCAGACCCCACTTGCGTAACTTCTTCAGTTTTGTTGAAACTCAATTTCATACAATTGTCAAAATCATTCGTACTGATAATGGACCAGAATTCAACTTGAAGGAGTTTTATAACTCCAAAGGTATAATCCATCAGACTTCATGTGTTGAGTGTCCACAACAAAATGGTGTTGTGGAACGCAAACATCAACACTTATTAAATACTGCTCGGGCACTATTTTTCCAATCCAATGTTCCAAGTGTCTACTGGTGTTATTGCATTAATCATGCTGCCTACATAATTAACAGACTTGTCACACCTATTCTCAAAAACAAATCACCTTATGATCAGTTATATGGAACACCACCTGTCTTTACTCACTTAAAGGTTTTTGGATCTTTATGCTTTGCTTCAACTCTTATTCATGGTCGAACCAAATTTGAACCCAGAGCTAGGAAGTGTGTATTTCTAGGCTATAAACAAGGAACTAAAGGCTATATACTACTTGATGTTCATTCAAACAGTATCTTTGTGTCTAGAAATGTACTGTTTTATGAGTCTCATTTTCCCTTTTCTAATTCCAATCTTTCTGTCTCATCCTTATCACCACCTTTTTATATTCAGTCATCTAATGTTCAATATGACACTGATGTTCCTTTTTCAAATGTTCAACCCCGTATTCAGTCTCAACCCATTATCCCATCTGATGCTTTGATTAATAATCATAACATTTCTGTTTCCACTGATACTGACAACAGTGATCCAGCTCTTAGACGTTCTACAAGGTTTAAAACCAAACCTTCATATTTGACAGATTTTCATTGTGGCTTATTAAGTATGACAGACACCAATCACTCCTCAGGTATTCATGCTAATCCCTACTCTCTTTCTAAAGTACTTTCCTATTCACAATGCTCTCAACCATATATGAATTTCTGTCATAATATCATCACCGAGACTGAACCCACCACATACAAACAAGCTGCATCTTTTCCTCATTGGCAAGAGGCTATGCAAGCAGAGATTAAAGCCCTGGAGTTGAATAACACATGGTCCCTAGTAGAACTTCCACCCAACAAGCAATCAATAGGATGTAAGTGGGTATATAAAATCAAGAGAAAGCCAGATGGTTCTGTAGATCGTTACAAGGCACGTCTAGTAGCCAAAGGGTACAATCAATGTGAAGGAGTGGATTATTTTCAAACTTTCTCACCAGTTGCTAAAATGACAACTGTTCGGGTTCTTTTGGCACTTGCAGTTGCTAAAAATTGGCATTTGGAACAATTGGATGTAGACAATGCTTTTTTGCATGGTGAGCTCCATGAAGAAGTCTTCATGTCCCTACCTCCTGGCATCTCTTGTTCTGTTCCTAATGGAGTTTGCAAGCTTCAAAAGTCGTTATATGGATTGAAACAGGCAAGTCGCCAATGGAATGCTAAGCTTACTCACTCTCTTCAATCATTGGGTTACAAGCAATCTGTTGCAGATCACAGTCTCTTTGTTCGCAGAACTTCCACTTCTTTCACAGCATTGTTAATATATGTTGATGATGTGGTTCTAGCTGGTGATGACTTAAATGAAATCCAGCGTGTTAAATCCACTCTACACAGTCAATTTAGAATCAAAGACCTTGGTCCTCTACGGTTTTTCTTGGGATTAGAGGTAGCTCGATCCAAGCAAGGTCTGATTCTGAACCAGAGGAAATATACTCTTGAGTTATTGGCTGATTCTGGCCTCCTCGCAGCCAAACCAGCTTCTACACCTTTGAATCCTTCAGTCAAACTCCATCAAGATCAGGGTGAACCTTATTCTGATCCTTTAGCTTATAGAAGACTTGTTGGCAGGTTATTGTATTTGACTACCACGAGACCCGACATCACACATGCTGTCAATCACCTTAGTCAGTTTGTATCCCATCCTATGATTGATCATTTTACTGCTGCATGCCATGTCCTGCGCTACCTCAAAACTTCTCCTGGAAAAGGTTTAATGTTCCCTGCTTCGAATTCCTTACAGATTGCTGGTTTTTCTGATAGTGATTGGGCTTGTTGCCCTTATACAAGAAAATCCATTACTGGTATCTGCATTTTCATGGGTGAAGCTTTGATTTCTTGGCGATCAAAGAAGCAGCACACAGTCTCTCGTTCATCATCTGAGGCTGAATATCGTGCCATTGCAGCTGCAACATGTGAGCTCCAGTGGTTGGCTTATCTTTTCGCTGATCTCCATATTCCATTTTCTCAACCGGTGCCTCTTTATTGTGACAATCAAGCAGCTGTATACCTTGCTCATAATCCTAGTTTTCATGAGCGTAGCAAACACATCGAAATCGATTGTCATATCACCAGAGAGAAAATTAATTCAGGTCTTCTTCGTTTACTTCCCATTTCCACTCACCATCAATTAGCAGATGTCTTCACAAAGTCTCTCCATCCTGCTCCATTTCGGGAGATTATTTCCAAGTTGGGATTGTTTGATATTCACCTCCCAACTTGAGGGGGGCTATTACTATTAACTATTCATTTATTAAGTCAGTTAATTAGTTATTAGTTAGATAGTTGGTTAGTCAATTAAACTGTTACAGTTTCTTGGCGCCACTTTGTAATCTTTCTTTTTCTTTTTCTTTCTTTAGATATCTGTTTACACAGATACAGTACTTCATATATAAGTACTCCTTGTATCTGATACCAATTCAGTTAATGAGAAATGATGTATTCTTCATCTTCTTCGTGCCACTGCTCTCTGTCTTCCCTAAACACTTTGAGAATCAGCTGGCTAACCTACTTGAAATATGAATCCCGTGGAAATTTATCAAAATTGAGATTCTACCTAGAATTGGCCAATGAACTCCAAAGATCAAATTGTCGATCATAAGATCCTATCCTACCTCATGTGCAATTTTAACATTAAGATATCCATATACTCTAAGAAAGGAAAATTATAAAGAAGGTATTCTTGGTAAAAATATTTCTGAATAACTAGACACTGAGGCGGTTAAGTAAATAAGTGGTACTGATTAACTACTTGAAAACCATTAACTGATTTAGTTGATTCCTCCGTTCTATAGGATGTTATTCACTAAGATTACAATCACAGATCCAAGAAAACAACAGTTAATACCAAATGCATCTTGAGACAAGGTAGATACCTTGATTATCATCTGGAATGTCTTGCACAACTGGTGGTTCACGCAGTTTTGTTGGATCTCCACCATTTGCAACTCTTTCTCTCAATTCTCTAAGGCAAGTCTGGTTAAAATGAGATAAAAAAAAATAAAAAATAAAAATAAAATATAAAAAAAGCTGAAGTCAGTAACAATCTATTTTTGTGTAGAGACTGGAAGCATGCATGCATCATTCATGCAAGCACATGTACATGCAACAGATACCCTCTCAACACACGCAAAAATGTGGGAGAGACACGGAGAGAGGAGACAAAGGTAGGGCAAATCATATAAAAAAAAGTATAAAAGCATGTAGAAACAGAGCAGAGGAAATGTAACACTTCATATACTTCTATCATGTATGTATCAACTCAATTTTAAAACAAGTATTAACTGAAAATGTTTTCTGGAAAAAAAGTTATGGAAACATAGATGTTGTGTTCATGGATTAAAAAAGTCTCATCCTCTTTGCATGCCTAGAGCTAATATATACATATTCAACATCAGGGATCTACATCTGACCAACGAGCAAGTACCCATGGTAATTTGTTCCTTTTAATGGGCTTTGGATACATCTAAGTATACAATATGTATAAAAATTAAGAGAAAATTAACTACAATGCAAATTACATATAGGATAATGAGTCAAATATCCAAACATATAACATATACAAAAATTAAAAAGAGATAAGTCATCATCTTATAGCTCAACAAGCATTAACTTAAAGGATTTATTAGACGGTGTAGGTGACAATTCTTATACATAGGTCAATGGGACCTTACCCTATCTATGTACCTTTCTATCTGTATATTAATGAATATCAAATATATATAATTATAGGGAAAAGTAATAAAGTTATATCGAGTGAGTTCAAAACGACATCGTTTTGAGTTATTAGATTAAGAAATTATAATGAGAAAGATTAATATAACCTTGCAATATATTAGAATTTAAAAAACACTTTGATTTCCGCTCTAAAATGATATCGTTTTAGACTCACTAAAAATAACTTATCTCTCTCCGGAGAGATTCTTTACCCGTAATTATATATAAATAATATAGTTCAATCTGAGTTGGAAGAAACAAAAATTGCATTAAAGAGAAACATTACCTTGACTTGCCTTGTAGCAGCAACTTTCTCCACTTTGTGAACAAATTCATTGAAAGAATAATAAGGAATCAAGCGAGAGTGCCATTCAGAGTACAACTGAAGCAGATTACCCAAATCACGAACCTAACAGAAAGCAGGAGGAGGATCATATACACATAAGAAAACAATTCAAGTGGGCCAAACCCAAGCCCACAAAACAACACATGTACCTAACCAAGGAAGTTACGCGAACCATCGATTAAAAAAAAAAAAGAACAATGAAGATGGTAAATGATAGATAGGAATAGGAAACCTCGTTGCCACGACCGCGGTATTTGAACTCGCGAGGAAAATAGCGAAGGACGTAACCGAGGCCGTCATCGGAGAGAAGAAGAGAGGGAGTGAGTTTGGGCCTCGTTCTGGGAACCTTCTTGGGCTTCTCGATAGCGGATCTGGGGGCAGAAGACTTGAAAGAAGAGGAAGAAGGAGGTGGATTCGGATTGGTGACGTCATTAGGGTTTGGATTGGGAGCAGAGGAAGGGCAATCTCGGGACCAGTGACCTGGTCTACCGCACTTGAAACACCCTGTTGCTGTTCCTGTCGCTGTTCCTTTTCCCTCCATTTCTCTTCTCTCTCTCACTCTCTCTCTGCTCTCACAACTCACACTCACACCAGATCTCTGTAAATTATTGTATTTCTCTCCCTGGCTTTCGCGGGAATTGGCGGGAAACACCACCACAAATTTTTTTCAATTAAATTTTAGGTATTTGTGTTTTATTTCGTAAAATTAGGAGAGTAATGAATTAAAAAAAAAATTTAAAATTATTTTAAGATTAAATTTTTTGTAAATTTTAAAAACCATATTGAAAAATATAATAAATTTAAAGAATTTTTTTTTAAAAATTTACAATTGAAATTTTAAACTTATATTATTAGAATTTATAAAATATGAAAAATTATATAAATTATATAAATTTTAGTATATATTTATCAAAAAGACAACAAATAAATGTAATGATATTGATAAAAATAAATAAAACTTAATATTCTTAACTTTTATAACAATTTTTTATTTTATTTTTTGGTAAACAACTTTTATAACAATTTAATAATAACAAAAAAGTTTTATATATATATATATATATATATAGGGAAAAATATTTCTCAAGTTGCTTGAGACAATGTTATCTCCGGCCACTCTAAAATTACGTCGTTTTATTTATTTATTTTCTTACATTAATTGATTGACCTTTGAATGGTTATGATTCTATTTTTCTCTCTCTTCCTTTATCACTATTGATTCATCTTTGTACGGTTATGATTTAGTAGCCAGAGATAACATTGTCTCAAGCAGCTTGAGAAATGATAAGCCTATATATATATATATATATATATATATATATATATATATATATATATGGCATCTTATTCTTATATCGATATATGTAGGGATGTTCATCAACCGATTCAAACCGCGGTGACCGAACCGAAAAATCGATAACCGAATAAATCGAAAAAAAATCGTAAATTTTAATTGGATTGGATAGGTTTTTGGATGGGTTGATGAAAACCGGTCCAATCCAAACCGATCCAATATATTAATTTTCCACTACCTACTTGGGTCTTTCCCTAATCATAGCTCAAAAATTTCTAAACTCAAGATCCATTAATGTTACCGACAATGTTATCATTGCATATGGTATTAAGCACAGTTACAATCACAGTAATTGCGTTAATTAAATTACGGATCAACTTTTTCTTTTATTAAATCCTCATTGTTCACAATTAACTATTTCTGTAACTAATTAAAACAACGTCGTAATTGTAAATGCAAAACTCGTGGAAGCATAAAACATACTAATTATCATCTCTCTAAGCAATACCATTTAGGAAAAAGTGTTTGCCATTTTAAATGACATAACACTATGTCCTTTTAAGAGAAAGACAAACACAGAAAAAAATTTAAATTTTAAATTAAAAAAAACCACTCACTTTCTCTCTCCCATGATTTCCATTTTTATGTGTCTATCTCTCTCCTAAAATGACATAACTTAAGCCATTTAAAATGACAAACACCAAACCCTACCATTTATTTTAGGTTTTAAAAACACTTATTTTCAAAATTTACACTGTGGTAATCGATTACCACTCTTGAGGTAATCGATTACCCAAAAGTTCAAAACGATACAGTAGCTCAATTTGGGCTCCCCTGTTTCTGGTAATCGATTACCTTGAGATAGGTAATATATTACTGAACTAGGTAATCGATTACCAATGCTCAGGTAATCGATTACTTTGATCACAGTGGCTCAATTTTGCGTCCCCTGCTTTCAGGTAATCGATTACCAAGGAAAAGTAATCGATTACCTTACTGCAAAATGACAGATAACAGCATTTTAAAGCACAAAATGGGTGATGTAACTTACTCCTAACACCCTAGTACTCATTATATCACTTACACAAGTTCTAATGTAGGCACTAGGCACTACCATCACGCATAATCTAATACCAATGTATCATTTACAACATTCGCCATTTGTCTTGCCATTTACACATCATATGGCTCATTTACATTTCAAATCTCCCAATGCCTCAAAACACCAACTATGTGGCCATGGACAAGTACCATGCTCACCAAAATACCAATATACAGTAGGCATATACATGTACATCAACTACCAAGACTTCGCATACAGTTATGAACACCCAAAAGCATGGCAATATCAACATGCGATATGTTCATAACCTAAGTCCAAAATACTAAATACAATGTTATGTGCATCAATTATAGTCCTTCAAAATGTCATGCTCTCCATATGCACATCATGCTTAGCTCATCCACTAAGCGGGTCTGTTGCCCGAAGATCCTTCATGCTCACTATAACCTGAAATGACGTCCCCAAACGCGGGGTGAGATATACAAATATATCTCAGTAAACCAAAGGTACTAGAGGATCACTCCACCCCATGGCTCACTCAATGTGCAACAATAACATAATGTAAAATGCATAACATACAGAATCACAACAACTGGGCACAAATCCAAGAACATCCACATCAGGATTTCGTTCTAGGACCCCATCATATAACTCCCGGGAAGCTTCCCGGTGCCTCTCCCATGGATGAGACGACCCCATGGCAAAACTCAACTAGAACTCCTCATGAGCCCTATCCAGCGGAAGTTCCACGTTTGGATCATCCTGGTGTCACTCCCATAGTCGGCCCCACAACAAAACCCGACCCGAATCCCCAAAGGATATCTCCAGCGAAAGTCCAAACCACACACATCTACTGGCCAGAGATCACACAATTTCACACACAACGTGCTCCAAACATGTCACACAATCAAGCAATAATGCATGAACATACATATTCACACAATGCCAAAGGCACAAAATCCAACCACAACCTTCCACTAGGTGTGGTGGAGCACACAAGGGATTAAAATCCAAGTTCCAAAGGTTTACATCAACTCCGCAATTATTGCTCTTCAATGTAAGCTCCAAGCTTATTCCACTTCTATTGGTCCCATGAGAGGCAACCTATATGATCAAACAATAATGATCAATAATACAATTCACAAGGCAATCAATTCACTTTCAAAATACTCATACACAAACCCATTCACTTAGGCCAAAGGGTTATTTACACTTATTTTTCCGTATACATCATTATAGGTCAAATTACCACATACTTAATACATCCAACATTATTCCTTTCATTTCCACAACATTATACCAACCTCTTATCCATTTAAATACCATTTACAACCATACAACCTCAACTACACAATTTTTACATCATTTTTCCTCCAAACCCTTTATGGTTCGAATTCTTCAAGGAAGCATACACCAAGGCTTTCAATTCAATTTAACACTTTCACATGTCTTACAATCTCATTATTAACCCATACCAATGCTCCACAACTTAATTATCCAATCCCATCATCATGATCATTCATAAAGTATTGAAATCTCATCATAAAATTTTCTAAGTTAAAAATTCCAAATCACAATAATTTTTATTACATCAATCATCATCCAATTTAATGCTCCTAACTACCATAACTCAATTTACAACTTCAAAATCCTCATCCAATTTATGATCTCCATTAAAACTCAAAGAGAGTGTGAAAACTTACCACCAATAGCTCCCTAGGGTCCAAGAGGATGATCTCCAACCAATGAATCAACACAAGGATCCCCAAAATTTCACCAAAATGCCACCAAATTCGCGGTTGTAAATGATGGTTTTCTACCTACACAAAGCTCTCCACAAGATGCACTCTACATGAAAGTCACTCACAAGATGATGGGGAAAAACTTTGTAGTTGGAAGTTTCTCTCAAAAGTGTCTAGAAAAAAAGTTAGAATTTCAAAGAGCCAAGACCCCCTCCATGGCCATTTGTTCGACGTGAAGAAGGAGAAGAGGAGAGAGAAGTTTTAGAATTTTTGAGAACATTTGGCTCTAAAGTCACTTAAGTCACTTAAATCATAACCTACGTATTTTTCTCGTTCACGTCATATTTTTATTTCCTAAAAATACTGATCATATTTTCACGCTTATCGGTACAATTATACCGCAGTATTTTACACCGGAAAAATCATTATTCATCAAATTTTTCGAAACTTGCCTATCCACTCAATTTTTCGTCCTGAATCCATTTCTGACATTATATTTATCATTTGAGACCTTCTACTCAATTTTTTCATGCCTAGGGATACGTGTTTGGTAAATTATCATTTTGCCCTTTTTACGTATTTTGGCCCTAATTTCAGGATTTTCACTAATCCTACCATTTAATCATCATTATCTCATATAATCATCTCATATAATTATACACTTAGAAATATGAGGTGTTATAATTAACCCATCAACTAAACCCAAGAAAAAACCTAGTCACATTTCATCAACAAAATTTCATATGTGTAGAGTTTCATATCTCATTACCCAAAATATATATATTATTGTTTACTGATGCTTTTGTATTTCAAAAAAAAAAATTGCAAAGCCAATATATACAGAATATGTTATTTGCATAATAATCATGCAACAAATTTGAGAATTTTCAAAAACCGAAAATCGATCCAATCCTCAAAAAAATGGATTGGATCAGATTTGAAAAAAATTTAAACCGAAGAGATTGGATCGGATGATTTTTGCTTCCAATCCAGACCACAAACACCCCTATCTGCAGCCGATTTGTTAACATGTAATTGGTACAAAAGCACATCATAAAACTATTATTTAAGCAGAAGACTTAATCTATGTATTGCATTTACCTATGTAAAAAGATAAATAAACTTTTTCTTTTATCCTTATACTATTTTTCTTATGTTATTCTTAACGTCTTAAAACTATTTTGCTTATGTATGTATTTATTTTCTTTACGCTAATTTAACACGCTTATGCCTTTACATATTGCCATGCGAAATTCCTAAATCCAATTATTGTAATTTGTACAATCTCATACGCAAGCTTCTTGATTATTCTACCTACATCTATTCTCTACATATCTATACTTAACAGAAATGGTCTATCCAAATATGATCACAAGGACCATTTTGAACAGAAACCTACGGACATCATAACAGCTGTAATCTGGACAATTCCAAATTCTTGT